ACAACCTAACCTGCTTTAATACAGGGTGGCGCATCGAAAACGAAAAAGACGCATTTACTGGCAGCTCAGTTTTTTTTTGGAAAAACGCTCAGAGCCGTCGGTTTTGTTTTCGAGGGGGACACAAGTTTGGCAAAAAATGGAAAGGGGCGTCGAGTGATACCTTATTTTAAAGGTCTTTCATTTCCCTTTATAATGATTTAAAATACATGAGCTTCAGTTCAGTAGTTTTGAAGATTTATTGATTTAAAGCTTAAAGTAGACTTTAATATGTACATCAGATTAGTTTGTACTACTTTCAGAAAAAATTTGACTAAAAGAATTTACTCAACAAGTAAATGCTTTTCTTCACTACGCCCACGGCTTGTTTATCATTTTGTTGTTGAAAATAGCTATTAGAGTGTTTTTTTGTGACAGAAAAGTTATTTCTTGAAGAAAGATAAGGAAATATCTGGTACTTATTTTAAATAGGAATTTAGTACATAGTTTGCGATTGATTTGCCCAAACTTTGTTGCTAAAATAACTTGTAACGCGTTATTACATAAATTAACCATGGTATATTCCAGTGCAGAAAGTTGAAATTATCGAAATATTTTTCGGAAATAATAAGTGCACTAATAGAACAGCTGAAATATTTAATGAGCGACATGAGAACAGTAACGGGCATCGAAAATATGTTCTAGAACTTGTAGCTAAATTTCGGGAAACTGGTTCAGTCGCCAATAAAAAACGCAACATTGAAAATCCCATAAGGAACGAAGCAATAGAAGTGGGAGTTTTAGGGCAAGTTTATGTAGATCCAACGTTAAGTACCCGCAAATTGGAGACTGTGTATGGTGTTAGTCGACGACCTGTCCAACGGATTCTAAAGGCCCATAGTTTTCATCCGTATAAAATTCACCTGGTACAAGAACTTAATGAAGACTTGTGTCCCCCTCGACGGGTCTGAGCATTTTTCAAAAAAAAACCTGAGCTGCCAGTAAATGCCTCAGTTAAGTTTTCGTTGCGCCACCCTGTATAACCTAACTATTCATCTTTCAAATATGATCGATCATGCAACATGTATATATCATCTTTGTCAGATATATGCAAATTAGCAATACAGTTTGTTTAGACAATAAAATTCTGTTTGTTTCTGTCTAACTTATCTGAAACTTCATTACAAATATTCCTACAAATCGCTGTCGTTAGTCTTTGCTACAGACTAAAATGATGACGTAATTGTCATCTTTCGTGATTTCGACTATACGTATGTATGTAGGGCAGACTTTTTACGGAGATATACATACGGTGTGTATTGTTTGTCGAATTTATCTAGTATGGACAAACTCTGGACGAGACCTCCGCAGGAGTATTACGTATCTTTAAAAGTGACATTGTCGTTTTTTTACATTATATATGTTTTTTGTGACATTAAGTAGGTTTTTCTACATTATGTCAACTTGCTGTAGCTGCTGTTTACTTGATGTGCCCTCGTTCTGTAGCTTTATGTGTTGCCTAAACGTCATGACGCTTCAGCTATCAATGTTTTGCTCTAATGTGATGTAATATCTGCTTCAGAGAGAGGCATTATTGGAGGTCTAAGCGGTTAGTTGTATACTATAGATGGAAGGAAACGGGCGAAACGACAGCGAATAAGTGCCTAGTGAGGATTTGTGTGCTAATAATCTGTGCTGATGATAATTCCATTGGTTTCTTGTCTCAAAGACACTTACTTGAGATGTATGCAAAGTTAAAAATTAGTTGCCGATCCGCTTTTTCTTATTCAACCTGAATATTACATATATGCAAATTTGCTGAATTACAAAAAAGAGAGCGATAAGAAAAGAAAATCCCTGGTTGATGAAGTACATTAAAACAGGTGAGAAAATACGGTACATACCTGTACATGAATATTTATGAAGTGTAAAAAAGTTATTTTATTCTGCATTGATTTTTATTTCCAGTCATTTAAATTTTATAGAAATTTATTTTACGATGTCAGGTAGAAAATACAAATCAGCGCCTAGACACAACGCGGTGCGGTGCTGATTTCCGGTAATCGTCATATGTAATTTTGAACTCCTCTCTTCAGAAATGATAACACAAATAACCCGTCTGGCATAGCTAACAGATATATTTCATGGGCAGCATATTCAGTAATAATTTTCTCACATAGCAAATATCTCTGGTTTTATTCACAAGCAGACGAATATACATAATAATCCAGATGACCAACAAAGCATGATGGGGAACTTGCAGCTGGCAGTATGGTCATTAAGCGTGTCGCGTCGTTGAGTCATTCCTCCATAGATGGACGCTTTTGATGATGCTCACACCGCTCATAGCGAGCAAACACGGAATGTACTATTTGCACACTAGGAACTATTTAGACAGCAACTTGACATTTCGTCAATTTTTTTTGCGTTTTATAGGTTTTTTTAAGGTAATAACCTTGCCGGTCATTTTCCATCGAAAGTTGCCTGTCTGGTGCTCCGCTCTCTTTATCTCCTAAAAGAGAGCATGGTTTAACATTGAGCAAGTTGAGCCAAGGTCACCCCGAACAATACTGGATAGGCTGAAAGTTTTGGAAAACGTAGACAGGGTATTGTCCTCTGCAGCTAAATCTCGGCGTGGGTAGCTAATTTCAGGGGTGCAAACATGTCGTTGATCCCAAATTCAGGTTCAGCGTCGAAAAATACATGGGAATACCATGCTTCAGCTTCTGGCATCCGAAACTTAATTTTCACCCCACCTAGGGGTAATTTTGGGCAGGAATATCACGCCTACTGACGAGGAAGTGCTGAAAGCGAGAAAAAGTACATCACGAAAAACCATGTCACTTATTTATGCCGGTCTCTCTGTCTGTAGGTCCGTCGGCCTATCCGCTAATCCTTGGACCGCCTATAACTGGAAAGTAAATGTCGGATTTGGATGAAGTTTTCAAACAAGATTACAACTATGCCAAGGAGACAGTGGTTTTTGAGAATCGATCCAGTGGCGGCAAAGCTAGGGGAAAACACGAAAAAAATTACTCAAGCCTCATTTTGTGACATTTCAGAGGCTGATCATTTTCAGAAAAAATATTGTAGGGGTAGAACATCGGTGGTTGGAGTTGTAGAGGGTGGGGAAGGTATATCTAATTTTGTTGGCGACAGTATACGTAGTCATGCCATAAGTTCTGTCCCTCGTTTTCAAACAAGTGTAGACCTGTTAATACTTGTCCGATTGTTTACATTGTGGTGTCAGTTGATTAAGCGCTTTTCGGGTAATTACATATACCTCAGTTTGTATTGATCTCTCGAAGCATAACGATGGAGTGGGGCAAGGCAGAGAACCGTATTGCAGTGATAGCTTTACATAAGTGTAATCACAGTGCTAGTCAGATTTTTGAACTCTTACGCGGCCTTCAAATATCGCGTAATTTTGTGTCTAGGACCATTCAGCGGTACAATGAGACGTCCTCTGTTGATGACAGGCCAAGAAGCGGAAGACCTCGTCAAGTAAGGACTCCAGCAGCCATCAAAGCCGTAAAAGCCAGGATTCAAAGGAATCCACTCCGGAAGCAGAAGATCCTATCCAGGGAAATGAAGATTCCTGTCCGGACGATGTCGCGCATCATTAAACAAGACCTAGGGCTAGGGGCTTACCGGAGACGTACGGGCCAGCGACTTACGGCCACCTTGCAACACATCAGGGCGACAAGATCCAAGAAGCTCTTGGAGAGGTACGCAGCTGGGGGATTCCGAAAGATTTTGTTCACGGATGAGAAAATCTTCACCATAGAAGAAAAATTCAACCGACAAAATGACAAAGTGTATGCAAGGAGTTCACAGGAAGCTTCGGAGATCATTCCGAGAGTTGAGAGAGGCCACCACCCTGCGTCAGTCATGGTTTGGTGGGGGATGTCCTACGAAGGGGTCACTCAGCTCCATTTCTGTAAACAGGGCGTGAAAACAAAAGCGGCAAACTATCAGAGCGACATACTGGATCCTATCGTCAAGCCTTTAAGTGGTACATTGTTTGCCAACCAACACTGGGTCTACCAGCAGGATTCCGCCCCCGCTCACAAGGCTAAGAGTACGCAGCGCTGGCTGGAAAGCAATGTGCCAGAGTTCATTGCTGCGGAAGATTGGCCCTCAGGGAGTCCGGACCTCAATCCTTTAGACTACAAGTTGTGGGACCTGCTAGAGCAGTTGGCCTGCTCCAAAGCCCACCGTAATATCGAGTCCCTGAAAGCGGATTTGATCCGATCAGCGGCAGCTATTCCTTTGGAAGCTGTGCGTGCAGTGATAGATGAGTGGCCCGCGAGATTGAAGCAGTGTGTGAAGGCCAAGGGGGGACATTTTGAATAAAACTGTTTGATTATGAATTCTAAAAATGTTGTCGAATAAATAATATCTTTCATATAAATATATCTTATCTTGTTTCATTTTTATCATGAGATTATCATGGGACAGAACTTATGGCACGACTACGTATTTATAAGCTTCCAACCCCAGTAATTTTACGCACCTATTAGTACATATTATACATCAAAGATTTTCCTGTACATCTGCCCTTATAACTTATATTTCTAGACGAGTAGTAGTAGACTTTCAGACGTCGAACCCTGCCTTGCGCCTGACAGTCACCGGCAGGGATGTTATAGAATCTTGGCAGGCGCTTATGACGTGTTTGACTAGTGTGGTCCAGCAGCATTGCCAGATGGTCAATACTTAGGGCAGAGAAGAAACTAGCGTTAGTGTTATCAAATGGATGGAGCTTGTACTAATTAGTTGTGTATGGGCCTGTTTGGCTGACTTGATCTATTTAAATTTTTGATTATACATGTTTGTAGAAAGCTCAAATGAACTAACTTGGACCGAACATAATCCTTTATGAGCAGATGACAGCGTTGCGAGGGTAGTGCAGAGTTAACCTACTTCACGCCATTTTTGTGTGGGGCTGTGTTACAAATATAAAAAATCGTAAAATGGTGATCTGTTTTAACCCTTTTGTATAACCCGGTTTTATTAAATAGTGTTCAAAATGGATAAGAATTGTACAAGACAGCTCTGCATACTTTAGTGTGGAGTATCCTGTCGGAAATGAAAACAGCAGCGCGAGAATTGCCCCTGGGATGGCTTACAACGTCAGGATCACCTTCAGACCTGCTACCATCCAAGATTATTTTTACAAAATAACATTTGTTGCGGAAGAAGAACAGTTCGAGGTGCCAGTATATGGTAATTTTTATTTGAATTATATTTTCAATCTGGGAAAATAAAATTATATTGAATTGATCCTTATAGCTATTGGATACAGGCCAATTCTGAACCTACCAGACGTAGTTGCTTTAAAGCCCACTGCAATAGGGATAAGAATGTACAAAGCGCTGGCGTTACATAATTTCGGACAAGCCACTGCTTTCTTTGTTACCCAATGCAAACCTCCATTTTCTGTGGAGCCTGAAAGAGGTGTCCTAAAGCCCCATGCTACAATGGAAATCAAAGTTATATGTACCCCAAACTGTTTGCGAGGATATTTGGAAGATGATATTTTCTTTGTTTGTGATGATATCCGCCTGAAGGTAAGTTATACAGGGTGTTCCTTAATGATATACGAATATTTAAGGGTGTGAATCTACATAAAAAAATTGATGTTAGATTGCTTTATAAACTATGGTACAAAAATGTTTCCTTACAAAAACTCGGGGTGTTGAAGTTTTAGGAAAGAAATGGAAATTAATTAATATATTCAGATATTTCACTGATACTCAGTACGTAGCGAAAGTTGATAAAGCTGCATATTTTTCAATGCAAAAATAATTTTTAGCTTTAACATTGGCGTGCATACGGGTATTGACTTCGATACTTGGTGCGCCAAAGGTTTTTTGCCAAATAAAAACTATTTTTCAATTCCCCGTTCAATTTTAAAAAAAAGATCTCTCTAGAATTATTTTCCTCAGATGCGCCATTTTTAAGTAAAAAAATAAAAACCGTTGTATTGTCTAAAATTATTATTAATTTAATTGGGAAAATTAAACATATTAGGGGTAATGGACAACAACAACTGACAACATAAACATAACATTAAAACCAACGAAATGATTACAGAAATTGTTAAAAATGGCCTCCTTCACTTAGTATGCATGCTTCCGCCCTCCTCATGGAATTGCACACTCGTTGAAATATCCCTGGAGAGTTTTTTATTCTATCGCAAGCTGCAACTATTCTTTCTCTTAATTCCTCTACAGTGTTAATAGGACTTGTGTACATTAGTGTCTTAAGATAGAACCACAAAAAGAAATCTAAACTCTTAAGGTCTGGGGTCCTTGGTGGCCATTCTTGGGGCCCACCGCGGCCAATCCAACGATCTATATAAACAGTTTGTAAATAATTACGAACCGCTACACTGAAATGCGCTGGAGCATCATCATGCATGTACCACATGTTGCTTCTTATTACTAACGGAACATCATCAAGCAGCAAAGGCAACTGTTGTTGAAGAAAATTGAGGTAAGTCTGTCCGTCAAGTCGTCCCGGCAAGAAGAATGGGCCAATAAAGTGGCTGCCAATAATTCCTGCCCGTACGTTAACCGAAAATTGGTATTAGAAACGGGTTTCGGTTACGGCATAGGGATTTTCTTCTGTCCACAAATGATTATTGTGGAAATTCTGAATGGCATTTCGAGAAAAATTAGCTTCGTCCGTGAACAGAATCATTGATTCAAATTGCGGATTTTGTGTAATTTTTTGGAGATACCACTGACAACAGGTCACACGCCTTGGAAAATCAATGGGAAGTAATGCTTGTACTCTTAAAATATGGAAAGGATATAACAAAAAATCCACTAAAATTCTCCAAACAATTTGATGGCAAGTATTTAAGTGTCTAGCGATCTTCCTCGTACTCGTTTCAAGATGTTCTTCGACTTCGTGCAGCACTGCTTCCTCAATTTCAGGTGTTCTCACACTTAGAGGTCTACCTTCAGATGTTCCTTTTCAGACAGAACCAGGTTCAACAAGACGACGATGAACATTACAAAAGGTTCGACTATCTGGCAAAGCACGATCGGGATATCTTTGGTGATAAATCCGTCTGGCTTGCTCACCATTATCGTCGGCAAGGCCATATACGTAATGCATTTCCGCCATCTCTGCATTTGAATAATTCACCATTATTACCAAGATTGTAAAAGCTAAATAATGAAAAAGATGTCACAGCGAACAGATTTGAACAACAGAGACTTGTCAGATGTCAAAAGCCAGTTACATATTCCAGAGCAACTAGATATTTATTGCTAAATTGCATTCTTCAATTATTACATTAATTTTCTTGGACAATAGAACTGTTTTTATTTTTTTTACTCAAAAATGGCGCATCGAAGGAAAACAATTGAAGAGAGATCATTTGTTTTAAATTGAACGGGGAATTCAAAAATAATTTATATTTTACCAAAAACAATTGGCGTACCATTTATTTCTAAAAAATAACGAAGTCAATACTCGTTCGCACGCCACTGTTAAAGCTAAAAATTATTTATTAATTAACTTTCACTATTTATAAAATATCAGTGAAATATCTGAAGCGGTTCTGAAAATATTAATTAATTTCCATTTTTCTCCTAAAACTTCAACACCGCAAGTTTTTGTAAGGAAACATTTTTGGACCATAGTTTATAAAGCAAGCTAACATTAATTGTTCATGTAGATTCACACCCTTAAATATTCGCATATCGTTAAGGAACACCCTGCAGATGGATAATTATGATTTATTGTCTGAGGAATACAATCATTCTTAATGGTAACGCTAATTTAAAACTAAATTATAACATAGTTACATATGTGGATCTTAAGAAGGTGAATTGTAGAACTCACACATGGTATAATATTGTTTGCACAATAAGAAGTTTTTAAGTTCACGGCGGAATATCTTTAAAATCTAATTCTTTTGATAGCATCAGAAAGACATGTACATTTTCAGACGTATGAATCATTGAATCTTCCACAAGTGTTGATTTAGGTAGGTAGCTTGTAACTTCTATTTATTGCTTCAAATTTAGATTTATTTAACAAAATAATTGTTGATGTTTCTAAAATGAACAATGATTCGATTGTCATTATTTTAAGATTCACAACTAAAGGCCTTCATGTAGTTCTAGGATCGCTTTTAGTTATGTATCTAGTTGTTCGTTTTTCTAGAACAAGTACTTGTTTAAACAATTTTGGGAACAGACACATCACAGTAGAATCTTGTAACTCAATCAACTTTCAAAAAAGGCGAATTAACCGCTTAAGGCTGTGCTTTTCTCTACGTTGTAACTAATTGTTCACAAAGGAAAGTTGAGCATGCAACTGGTCTACATGATTAGTATAATCTAATTTATGATGAATGATCAGCAGCCTAGATAAATGACTGCATGATCGACTGTACAACCTTGCATCTTATGGACGGTTGAAGCTCAGCTCAGTTCCATAGCTATATTTCGCTGGGAACTGTGTGGATATCGGTTTAATCATGTGCACATCATGTGAACGCGTAATTTGCATGTATTAGAGTCATTAGTACCTACGCATGTATAAGGAATGAACAAGGTGAGAATTCACTACCTTGAAAAAGTATCTACCTGCGTTGCGCTGTGCCGAGTGCCCGAACAAACAAAGAGTAAGTCTGAAACTGCACGCATGCGCAGTTACCACGCCAGCTCTATCTTTCTTACCCCCTACAGACGATCTATAAAAGAGTGTATCAATCCTGGCAGTCCTAATAAGGATAATGGAAAACTGTAATCGAATGATTGCATTCTCATCGGTCCTTGATACGTGTGCGCAGTTTCAAATTAATCAGACATACATACATACATACATACATACATGCATATACTAAGTGACATATAAATTCGAACACCCAGTTTAAATGGTTTTATTTTAATAAAATTTTGTATAAGTACTTAATGAAGCATAATAAGTAAATGATAAAAATTTCAAAATGATTGCACTGCTTTAAAGCCCTTTGACCTTTAATAATGTGTGGATGCAACCTGATGTGCTACGCATTCTCCAACGCGCCTAGGCATGCTTCTGATCAGGTGGTCAATGTCCTCCTGTGGTATCTCATTCCAGGCAACCACCAACTCCTCTCGAAGTGCTTCTAGAGTCTGAGGAGGACGTTGCAAATTGAGCAATCTCCTACCCATCATATCCCACACGTGCTCAATTGGGGATAAGTCGGGAGATCTTGGTGGCCATGGTAACAATGTGACATCATTATGTTGAAAGAAGTCTATTGTGACTCTTGCAACATGTGGTCGGGCATTATCTTGTTGGAAAGTTGGATCTGCCAGGGTGTCAAGATAGGGTAAAAGATGGGGTTCTAGAACTTCGTGGATATAACGCTGCGCGTTCATGTTACCTCTGATGAAGATTAAAGGTGACCTGGAACCATAAGCTATAGCACCCCAAACCATAACTCCAACAGTGTGATGAACATGTCTTTCAACAAAAAACTGTGGATTCCTCCTTTCACCACGTCGCCTCCTAACCCTGGCACGACCATCGTGCATGCCTAAACAAAATCGAGCCTCGTCACTAAAGACAATACTGTTCCATTCCTGATCCCAGAGTGACCGTTGTCTGCACCACTCAAGGCGATTACGTCGGTGTTCTCGAGTTAAAGGGAGGACCCAGTGTGGCCGGTATGAAAACAAGCCAAAACTTCTCATTCGTCGGTAAACACTTCGCATGCCAATACGTCTTCCGTGTTCTGCAAACCATTCATTTGCAATGGACCTGGTAGTGGAGAAACGGTCCCTTAAGGCCAATAATCTTAGGCGGCGATCTTCACGGTCTGTTGTTCTACGGCGGCGTCCAGTGCCCCTTGCTCTTTGCGTACGGCCTTCTCGAAGCCATTCCTGACAACACCTAACCACAGTGTCTACACTTCTTTGCACTCTAACTGCAATTGCCCGAAAAGAAAGTCCAGCGTCCCGAAGTCCCACTATACTGCCCCTATCAAACTCACTAAGTTGACGAAATCGTACAGGTCTCCGTACTCTAGGCATCGTAACCGATCGTAAAGGATGTCAAGAACCAAAATCCGCCAACGTTGATTCTTTACTGCGGCTGAAATATTCATTTTTAGAGCGTTAGTGAATTAAAAAAAAGCAGTATAAAAACCGGAATGTCCAACTGATAAGGCTGAAAATTTTTTCACTTGTTATTTACAGTAAGATAAATACATTCATCAACTTTTATTAAAATAAAACCATTTAAACTGGGAGTTCGGATTTATATGTCACTTAGTATACATACGCACATACAGGCCAAGCTAATAAAAGCGTGTTAAAAATAGGACCGGACCTAATACCGATCCTTGCGGTACCCCTGCCTTTATATTTAATTCATTTGAAGCATAACGTCTTGATAATTTTACAATTTACAATCGATTATTTAGATATACAACTGTATTTTGTTATTTTTGTATCACTATTTATATCATAATATACACAGTCAAAAGCTTTGGAAAAGTCACAAGAAGTGTCTATTGAAATTATTTACCGTTTAAATTTGACTATAATTGTTAGAATAATGAGAAAATAGCATCTGTGGTATTTTTTGTTTTTGAAATTCAAATTTTGTTGGTTTACAGAAAGAATCTTAATCTAATTTGAACTATTTTTGTGCTATAACAGTAATTAATGTTATAACTTTTTTATAGATCTTAACACTAATTGGAGTTCATAAATGTCGGTAGAATAAAGTAAAAATTTCTGATCTATATTTATATGGTTTAGAATTGTTAATGGATCATCAGTATTTCGTATAGTATTTTATATAATCCTATATTCGCGCGTCTAAAATATTATCCCACATAAAACGAGATACCGTAGCGTCATCTATGAGAATTTGTCACAGCAGATTATGTATTTACTATATGGATGGTGTAGTGAACAAATAATGTTGTAGGGGATTTTCTTTTACAAATCACTGATCCACAAGAAAATAATAATAAGAAGTGAAGCATCGAATACACAAGTGTGGTAAGTGATAAATACTTTAAATGAAATGCATATAAATTTTATAATACTTCTGGCGCCACCTGCCAGTAGGTGCAAGTAATTGTGGAATGCAGATTTCCGAGAGCCAATATTATAAATTTACTCAGTACATTTGTACTTTAGCTTTGTTCTTATTACATTTGTTCATTTCTACACCTTTGATATATACTTTGAAAAGATGACACATAGATGGCGCTGCCTATACGCTCGTATATGCTCATAGAGTTGAGAGCTAGCTAAGAGGCCTAAGCCACGCACACTAAACAATATTTTCTATTCTAAAATATAAAAAATTGTAGGTAAAGGTGAGTTGTGAAGTGGTCGAAGCAAACATCTTCATGCACGACAGTAAGATTTCATTTGGGGAAGTCTTCATGAATTTACAAAAACAGGAAATAGTGAAGATAACTAATAAAAGTCCATATACTGTTAATTTTTATTGGAGCTTGTACAAGTCTAATGCCATTGATGCGTTAGAGAAGAACAGGTCAGTAGCTCAGTATTAAGTGCAGGTAGTGATTTTTAACATTTCATGTTTTAAGGGTGTCTTTTATTTTTTCCTTTTATTCCTCGAAAATCCATGTCATTCATTTCCGTCGATCTGCCTGGCGGTTTGTCGGTCTGTTTGTCTGCCTCTCCGCAAATCATTGGTTCGTTTATAACATGAAAGGTACTGCTTGGGTTTCGATGACATTTTCTCACAAGATTACTATTACGCCAAGGATGAAAAATCTTTGTAGTTTTTGAAGATCGGTCCAGTAACAGCGGACAAAAATGCCAAAACAAATAAAAAAAATGAAAACCGCTCGAACTTCGTTTTTGAAAAATCTTTTAGGGGCAAAAAGTTGGGGGGTGTAGGGGAGGGATGAGATATCTCATTTTTCATGTTGTTTATACGCTTCGAACCCCGGGAATTCTACGCACCCATTAACCATATTTCATACATCATGTGTTTCTCGTACATTTATCTTGATAGAGAGATCTTTTCGATATGCGTCTCCTTCTGCTATCTGCGGCTGGGCTTCGGTGGGGGCTGCCACGTCCGATGTTGTGGGAAGGAGCAATGTTGCCAGATGGACGATAACAACCGGTAGCGTAGGAAAAGCATGCCTGGATTGGTTGTATGGGCCTGTTTGACAGACTTGATGTGTTTAATTTCTCTATTGTACCTGTTCGTAACTATTTTTTTTTCTCAGAGTGTTTAACTTGTGCTGAACTTAATTATTCTTTATGCAGTGATGACGGCGCTGACTGGGAACTACAGAGTCAATCTAATCGACGCAATTTTTTATACTGTTTCTGACACGGCAATCTTGTTTTTGCTATTCATAGTTTCTTTAATCATTTCAGGTTATCAGGAGCAATGGAAGGTATGACAAACCTGATGAGAACTAGGCACACTAAGTTGGAATTTATGAACATAATTGATGCAGAAGGGCATAACACAGTTATTGAAGATCAATGTAAAAAAGCAAAACAAGAACTTGATGAAAAATGGCGATTTCTTTACAAAAACGAAGTTTTCACTATTATTCCCAATGTAAGGATATTATAGACAGAGAAACAATTATCGTTTTTAATTGAGTAGATATCATTTGTACTGTACATTAAAACCAAAGTTAAAGCAAATTAGTACACAATTATAATGAGACTTTAAGTTCGATATTTCTCAACCTTTGCTTTTGCACTCCTATCTAGCACTACAAATTATCAGATTTATAGTTTCGAATCCCATCCTTCCCATTATCAAAATTTGGAATACAATCTTATTATTAATATTATAATAATAATTTCTCAAACATTATTTGTAATTTGTAGGAGGGTGTCCTGCATCCAAATCAAACGCTCGAATTTATGGTTGTGTTCAATCCCAAAATAAACGACTATTACAGCAGCTGGGCGTATTTGGACATTGGTGGTAAGCCGGAAAGGCTTCCTCTAGCATTGTCTGGTGTCGGCAAAGGCCCCGTAGTAGTGTTCAACGCTAATACGTTGAATATTAGCAATGTTTATATGAATGCAAGGCATGAGTACCAGATCGTAGTTAAAAATGACAGTAAGTGTTACCCCTTCTTAGAAAAAAGATAGCTACGAATATGTATAACAAAAAAATTATATAGATCCAGTCAGTCTATCAGGCCTATACAATAGGCTAGTTGGCACTTTTTCAAGTAGGTCTTAAATAATTAATGTTCATTCTATTAAACAAAAAAAACTGAATTGTTGGGACCTAAAAAACCGCAAAACCTTTAAAAATATATTTTTCTTAGACCGGCGAAAACGTTGCCCGTCATGTTTGACCCATATATTAATGTGCCATGACGTCATACGATTTGAACAGCAACTGGCAGCAGCATTACCTCTCAATTTACTAGTTTAAATGAAAAATATAGAATTTACTGTTATTGTATCGTCAGGAAACACGTCTATAAAGATCCCAGGAAAGCTGTGGATTAGAGTAACCAGAGAAATAAATATACGTACCATCTAGCTAAGACTTGCTCAAAGGGATCCTGAACCTTTATCCAATGTAACTCAAACTTATTTTTGCGAATATCACTTTCATATAGAAAAAATATTCGGAGGTTATGACGCATGAACTTCGTTTTGATTGTCTTCTGAAAAGGCAGATTATTCAGGTGTGATACTTATCTTTCTTATCTCTATCAATATGTCAGATGCACTGTACTTACACAGAAGTCTTGATTTTCCTCGGTTCAGCAGGACAGAACACTGAGAAGGCAAAAAAATTACCAACCATAAATGTGTAAATTTTTGTTAAATTTGTGCCTTTTGGTTTTACAATTTCAACATCCATGATTGATTTTTTCAACAAAACGAGAAAACTAGCTAACGTTTTACGTTGATTAGGAGTTTTTTTAGAAATACTCAAAGAAAACAACGTTACTCCGTGAGTGACATACGGATGACGTTGCATTGTTGACACACTTTTGGGCCTAATAAAAAAATCGAATAAGTCAATAATAATAAACTAAATCGTAACCGTGTGAACAGTCCAAGAGAAATAGGAAGCGTACCACACTGAGATCTTTTTGCCCCGTGAGGACGTAGCTTTATCTGGTATTTAATATTATTCTAGGTCATATTCCTGCAACTGTGGTCTTCAGAGGAGGTAAAACAGAATTTGGTGGTGATATCGAATGCGTACCAACCACTAGATATTTATCTCATTTTGACAAATGTAAATCCTTTGTTATCAAATTTTCCTCGTCCGTACAAGGACAATTTGTAGAAAAAGTACAGTTTACCATAGAGGAGTCTACAGAAATCATACACTTTCTATTAATGTAAGTATGGTGAGGTATCTTGAGGTATGGACGTTTGTGACCAAATTGAAATTTTCAAAGTGTAATTTTCTAAATGTTTTTTTTCAGTGGTAACGTTGTATGTCCACTCCTGAAACTTTCTACGAATGTAGTAGACTTTGGAGACATTCCATTTGGTAAGTTGTCCTTTACGTGCAACGTGAACCCAGCGAAAAAAACTTTAAATCAAAAATATGAAAAACTGTTCCATGGACAATTATTAATGAGGTATCAGCTTTTCAGTTTATCTATCTTTTTAATGGAACGACATACCGAGTGTTTCAAAATCGACTCTCGCCATTGGGATATCGGAAACGGTAAGATATATGAAGATACGAAGTTGGTTAAATGCGGGCAATGTTGCGTATTTAGATAACCAACAAAATGCCACTTAGAAAGGTTCGAAATTCAAAGACCGGAGAAAGATTAGAATAAGCCGCACTTTAACAAAATTAAATTGCACATTAACATTGCCACTTCTTCTCCTTTACATGAAGGCATAATTATAGTTTCAATATGACGTTCTGTCTCTTGTCCTCCAGCATCAATTTTGTTTTTTCTTTAGACGCGAAAAATGTATATGTCATACATTGGCATTGCCAAGCCTTAGTTATTTCAGAAACAGAACCGAACTTCCTAAGTAGTACTTGAAATTATCTGATAGTCATTTGTTTAGAATACCGGACCAGGCCTTAAATTGAACATAGTAACAGAATTTGGAAGACTGAGAAGAAGAGAAATAAGCCGAGCAATGAACAAGGTACAGATAAGAGTCAGGCTTTGCCTACAACGGACAATGTTTTGAACATATACTATGATTTCCATCTGCTTACTTATTATTATTGTTATTGTAACGCTTCCTTTCCGCAAAAAGTCCAGAAAAGATGGAATGCAATGAAGATTCCAACTTTTCTGCACAATCACAGAAAGGGGGTTACCATTAGCTTCCGGTAGCTCAGTCGGTGGCATGAAGACATCTACAGGCGTGTAGCTGTGTGTCGACCATGGCATGGCTAGAGGATAGAAGAACAAACAGAACACAAAAATTTAACAGATTTTATTTAACAAAAAAAAAAAAAATTTCATTACATTACAATTTTACAGTTTTAAGGAACAAAATAAGTTTTACATCTTTGGCGCTGCTATAAAACTATCAACTTATCTTTCGCTGGTCCATTTTGACTCGACTGAAGCCAGGATGGCCAGGTGCTTGAAGTGGAGGTCCCAGTTATGAGGGGTGACCTCACATATAGTGGCTTCAAAACCAGTTGTAGGCGAAGTTGAACTTAAAGGCGATGGCGCTGCCAAGGCACATGCATGGGTGAAGTGATAGGCCAAGCAACGCAAAGTCAAAGACTAAGGCAAAAGCAAAGTCAAAGACACATGCAAAGGGAAAGGGAAAGAGAAAGGGAAAGGGGGTGGCCCCAATCATTTTGTCCTATACGGACACACATTCTACAAAATTCTAGCACATGGTGCTATATGACCTTGTGCTGCAGAGAAGAAAATTTTTAGCTCTTGTTCGATCGGCGGCTCAAGTGAAAAGGAAGCGCGAGGAAGATCGCAGATCAGGAACTCCGCATCAAGCGGTCCAAGCGGAAAATTTTCCAAGTAAAAAAGCTAGAGATGGGATTAATGAAATGATAATCGAGAAGTGATTTAATAAATACGATCGGACGGTGAAACCGTTACATTATTTCCATCAATAAATTTCATTTCGTGTTCAGGTTTCACCATACCTATTTGGCACTTTACAATTTTCAACAACAGACTCATGGCCAACTAAGGAAATATATCACTGAAAATTCCATCTTGTAGAGGAGAAAATATGACAATGACAAAATGGAATTTTCTTTGAAATGCCGTCTCAGGCAAAGTCGATTATTCTGCGATAGATCTTGTATACGAAACAAATGACTGTCTGATAATTTCAAGGCGCGCCTGAGATTTTCAAATAACTAATATTTGGAAATGTCAGTATACTCGTATGGCATATTATACATTTTTAGAATTAGAATTAAAAACCATCATATTATAGAGAGAATAAGTAGCAACGACAACATGCAATTTATTTTAAAATCCCATCTCAAATAGTCGGGAAAAAATAAAACTGATTTTGAGATAAATCTGGAATGCGAAACAAATGACTATCTCATAATTTCAAGGGCTATCTAGGAAATTCTGCTTTTTTTGGAACAAATAAGGTTTGGCAATGTCAATGTATGACATATTTTACATTTTTGGAATCAGACTTAAAAACTATATTCATCTGCGCAAAAATCCAATATGGCGTCTAGAAGAAAAAATAAGCTTGATGCTGGAGGGCAAAAGACAAAACGTCAGGTTGAAATTCTAATTATGCCATCTTGTAAAGGAGAAAAAGTAGCAATGCTAATGTAGAATAAATTTTGAAATCTCACTACGAATAAAGTCAGGAAAATTCGTTTTTCCGTCTCTCTCCGGAAGTATTTTGAATGAAATTTCTAAGCGGCATTTTGTTAGTTACCTAAATTCTCACCTTTGCACCCATTAAGCGATTTTATATCTCTTACCGTGTCCGAGAAAGCAATGATGAAGGTTGAATTTGAAACACCCGGTATATCAAATTTTTTATTTGGATATATTTTTGGTGAAAGTTACGTATGAAAAATAATATCTTATACGTTCAAATCTGGAAGCCGTGTAAACATGAGCCTTTTTTATTATGTTTTCTGTCATATTTTGTAGGTTTCGAGTTTCAGCGCCCAGCTGCCATGTTGAAATGTTTAGCTTTACATTAAAATATAGCATTTTGGGCATCAATTCTAATTCTCCGAATTTCAGCTTGCTAACTTTTAAAAAATGATTAGTAGGGCGCTTTTTCAAAAGCAGTGTATACTGACTTTTAACGGACTAACTTTTTAGGAGAATGTGCCTTCCAAGAGTTTCAGTTGGTTAATGAAGCTCAGGTTCCAATAAATTACTCGATTTCGGTTGAAGATATGTCAAACACAAATGTAGAATGGTCTTTAGGAGAACATGTTGTCCAGCCTTACTCTAATATCCCCATATTGGTAAATTACCCATTTTTTATTTGGAAGCATCATTTTTAATAAACTGTAAGTTGGACTTTTTGTATTAACAACTATGCTCGGATATACACCTATTATTTGGTTAAACAGTATGGCAAAAGTGAAAAAAATAGAGGCAAGTAGGTTGGCGCTGTGCTTCATTACTTTCATACCTAAAGCCAGAATCAAAATAAATCGATCAAAGCAATTATTGTATGCGATATATAAAGTCAACCTACTTCACACAAAGTTAATTCAAAAGACTGCGACGTTGAATTTACGTACTTACTCGCTCTGTTTTTGTACAAGGCGCGCGGCACCTGGTTTGGTTTGACGCAGGTCGTATCAGGGTCGCTTAAAAGATTGATTTATGGAACCTTAGATCTCGATCATCTTAAAACTTCGGTATATGTGTACTATGTACCAAAAATGATTTGGATACTGACGCAGGTCGTAACTTTTCAACCAATTCTTTGTTGAAGGCATCAGGATAGCATAATATCGTCAGTGACATTAGAAGTGTTACACGAGTGATGGTTTGGGGGGCTACTGCCTATGGTAGCCGATCACCTCTTCCCTTTGTTCAAGGCAATATGACTGCTGCGCAATATCTTGATGTCCTACAAACCACTTTACTGCCGTATCTCGAGCGCCGTCCACAAGCTCTTTTTCAGAAAGGCAATGCCCCATATTGCTCGTGGCACTACGGAGTACGGACTTTCTTCAAGAAGCAGGCGTTTACCGGACTTAAATCCCATCGAATATGTGTGGGATATGATGGGGAGGAGAGACACACACTCTGCCATAGCTAAACCATGAAGTTCGAGTTGCTTGGAATGAGGTGCCACAACCAGACATCGATGATCTCGTTTTGTCCATGCCTAGATGTATTCAGGAGTGTATTCAGCTGCGGGGTCGCACAACACATTTTTTTTCCTTATTACATGTTAATGAAATTTCGTGAGTATGTTATCGTTTCATTCTTGAAGTAAGACTAACTTATTGCCAAGTTGAAGAAATTCTTTTTTCTGGGTATAACACTTCTAATGTCACTGAGTGTATATCGATTTTCGTAACCTAATATCTCTGTCATCTTAAAACTTCGGTGTATGTGTATTATGTGCGAAAAATGGTTTGAGACTGACGCAGGTCGTATGCTTTCAACTAATTCTTTGTTGAGGGCATCAGGGTAGCATAAGATATTGATTTTCGGAACCTAATATCTTAGGTCCTCTTAAAACTTCGGTGTATGTGTACTTTGTGTGAAAAATGATTTGGATACTGACGCATGTCGTATCTTTTTTTCAATTAATTCTTTGTTGAAAGGATCAGGGTAGCATAAGATATTAATTTTCGGAACCTCCAGGTCATCTTAAAACTTCGGTGTATGGTCACTAAGATCAAAAAAATGGTTCGGATACTTACGCAGGTCCTATGTTTTCACCTTTATTCTTTATTGAAGGTATAACGTAATATTTCGGACATCATAATACTTTGGTGTATGTGTAATATGTGCGAAAAATGATTTGCATACTAACTCAGGTCATATGTTTTCACCTTTATTCTTTACTGAAGGTATCAGGATCGTATAGGATATCGATTTTCGGAACTTAAAATCTGGGTCATCTTAAAACTTAGGAGTATGTGTTCTGTGTGCGATAAATGGTTTGAATTCTGATGCAGGTAGTATCTTTTTATCTAACTCTTTGCTAAAGGCATCACGGCCGCATGAGATCGATTTTCGGAACCTAAAATCTCGGTCATCTTAAAACTTTGGTGTATGTGTCGAATGTGCGAAAAATGATGTGGACACTGACGTTGGTCGTGTCTTTTCTCCTAATTATTTGCTGAAAGCATCAGGGTTGCAGTAGATATCGATTTTTGGAGCCTAAAATCTCGGTCATCTTAAAACTTTGGTGAATCTATTCTATGTGAGGGAAATGGTTTGGATACTGACCCAGGTCGTATCTTTTCACCTTTATTCTTTGTTGAAACTTCGGTGAATGTGTACTATGTGCAAAAAATGGTTTGGATACTGACGTAGGTCGTATCTTTTTGCAGGAAACTACACTATCCCGGCATCTCTGGATGACTCTATTCGTTTCTATTCTATTCGTCTCAACAATCTGGGAAATACTAAGTACTCACAATACCAACAGCATTGACTTTCCAGTAGATTCATTTTCTCTTGTTTGTTTTGGGTCATCTGTCCCCTTTATGACTGGTCCTACACCGTATTAATTATTGCTACAATGCACGAAATAACACTGTATACGGTTGGTTATGATCGTAGAGACCGAAAGCAAACATATCCTATTCAATACGTGTTACTATGTTTACTTTAATACTGTTGTAGGTTGAAACTATGTCCAGTACGGGAGAATGTACGAACAGGTACAGTACTTCTAAAGATCACTTGGAACAGTCGCATAAGGTAAGAAAACATGTAGAGCACGGGATAATTTTTGTCCTATAGGCAACTACTCTTCAGCTAGATTAAGTTTACATTTTTATAAAGTATCCGCTTTGGCTAGCCCAAATACGAAGAATAAACATTCAGCTTTTTATGCAAATAAAGAAATTGTTTTTACTTCTCACGCCTACTGGCGGAGAAGTATTGCAATCGCGAAAATTAGGTATTTCAGAAAAGTGAAATCGAATGAAGTTGATTTTTTTAAATCGAATATCTCGTATATTTTCAGTAAGAATGATGTTGATTCCATACATACTTTGGGAGAATTTCATATGACTCAGATTTGAAAACAGAACCTCTTTCTATACACATAACCAAACTTTATTTACCAATGTTTCAAAAAAATATATGGCTGAAGTGAATTTCACAGCTTGAATAATCGATCATTACTTTGATGTGAGCGCGGTAATATTTTCATTATGATACACCACTGGTTCAAATGTCATTCTTTCCACCGCGATAGCCATTTTGTTGACGAAATAAATGTATAATCAAAAGTAATATCATAAGGGCATCTAATTTTTCCGAAAAAATCGAAAAAACACGTTGCTAAGTAATATTTGAACAAGAAGCATGAGTGCTGGTGGCACCTACACGAATGTTTTTTGTAAAAAAATATTACTTTGTATTGTGAACTTGATATTAATGGTATTATAATTTTTGGTGACAAGAGCTTTCAAGTTTTGCAGCGGGTAAACTCGAAAAAACTGCTGACAGGTGCTGTCATACAATTTTTCCTTCTAGAAAGTATTTGTAATCTAAAATTGCGCGTTTGTGATTGGTAGAGATTAAGACGAGCGAAATAGTCATGAATAAATTGCAGTGTCTATACAGGGTGTCCCAGAAGTCGCCGTCAAGCCGGCAACGGGTGCTAGGCCAAGTCATGATAGTTATCAAAGAAATACAAAAAAATCTAAGTCGGATACTTTTCAAATAATAGGCTTTAAAAAAAAATCGGAAAAATCTACACCTAATGATGCTTTTTTAGTTCCCATTACTGCAGATTTCAATCTTTTCTTAGACGGAGTGACGGACAGTGTCATTTGACGGACAGTGTGAGTAGTGAGAGCAAGACAGATACTAAAGCCACTTTTGTTAATTCGTGTATTAAATTCCTTTAGCAGAAATGCAAGCTTGACATCTTAAAAATGATCGGGTTATGAGACTGGCGAATCTTCTGCTATTAACAAATTCAGCTGCTTTCGTTATTCTGTCCCGTAGCTCAGCTAAATTTTCGATTGGCTTTGAGTAAAGTTTTTCTTTCACCGCTCTCCATCAAAGGAAATAGATTGGATTGGAGTAAGGTGAACGGGCTGGCCACGAAATTGTACCAGACCGCCCTATCCATCTGCTGGGATATTCCGCATCAAGTTATTGTCTAACTAAACGGGCATAGTGCACCGGGCAGCATTTTAACACTATGGTATAGGATTCGGCACCAGCCTTAATTTTATTGGTCAATTTCAATTTATTTAACCAATAACAAGCTGGGTGCCGAAATCAGTACCGGAATGTTAAACAGTGCTGAAAACAGTGTCAGAATGTTATCAATAAACTGCTTCTACTAATATATATATATATATAACTTGAGACGTGGTCATTGTCGTCTAGACCAGTTAGGTGAAAAATTAAAGCTTCCGCCTTTTGTTGGGTACTTCGACAAAAATTTAAGCAAAGAGGACTGTTTATACTTTTTTTATTCTCTCTAGCTTTCAATGGACTTTGCCATCATCATCAGGAGCTGCAATTACATTGATAACAGTAGCAACAATAGTGTGAAATGAATTTAAATTAACTTAACTTACAGTAGTATGTGAGGATGTTGTTAATTGTTGTTTACGTTAAGGCTGAGGGAAACACCCAGTAACATGGTGAAAGCTGGATAAATGGTACAATGGTCAAAATTATATAAAATACACACAGCTGTATGACAAGAACAAGTTAAAAACAGATTAAAAAATTTTTAAAAAATTACATCGTGAAGCCACTTGATGATTGCACATACCCACCATTTTGTGTACCCAAGTACCCAACAAAAGGCGGAAGCTTTAATTTTTCACCTATATAAATATATATAAATTTTTCATGTAATTTTTCTTATTGCTAAACCAAATTATTAATTTTAAAATCATTAAATATCGTAATAGGAAATAACGTTCGTTGATTATTATCTTACGTATTTTTAGCGGAAGGTAAGTAAATTTACATTTAAATTGATAACATTCTGACCCCATGCTCAGCACTGTTTAACATTCCGGTAGTGATTTCGGCACCCGGCTTGTTATTGGTTGAATAAATTGAAATTGACCAATAAAATTAAGGCTGGTGCCGAATCCTATACCATAGTGTTAAAATGCCACCGGGCAGCCGTATTGCTAGTGCATGTCTCTGTAAATGCTGACTCGTCTTCCAATAAATTTGGTAAATGATTTTGTAAAAAGTCTAAATAAATTTTGCCATTCAAGAACTCTGGCAGCTCAAAGGAGACATCGATTCTCCCACTTGGAATCTCGGTCCTCATGTTTACTTGAAAATAATACTGTGATCTATCTTGTCTCATCAAATGTGGATTTTCTAACATGCCACTCGTGTAAGTTGTATAGATTCGTGTAACCATCTTTTCTAAATGGCGATTCATTAGTCCATAAAATGTTCTCTAAAAGTCACGGACCCTCTTGGTGTCTCTGTAACATTGACAAAACTCAACTCGGAAAATAATACCGGGGTTTTAGAGATTATACTCGCCGTACGTGGTAGGTATAGGTCGCTCAGGGTGTAGGTATATCCAATTTTTCCGATTTTTTTTAAAGTCTTTAATTGGAAAAGTACACGACTTGGATTTTATTTTATACTTTTCTCATAACCATTATGACCTGGTTATCCTTTCTTTCCGGCTTGATGTCGACTTCTGGGACATCTTGTACTTTGAACAAAAATATTCGTATACATATTTTAAGTCACTCTCTACTTACTTTATTGGTATACTGCCGTAAGGCAGTAAGGTGTAAACATGAAGTCTGGGATAATTGAGTTCAAAATGCTGGATTTTTTCGAACCAAATAAATACTATGATTATAACACAACAAAAGTGAATTAATATTGCAAAGTTACATGACTTGACAGAGAGCTATTTAAATGTGATCTCATAATTGTTGATGGGGCTTAAAATAAATGAAATTCCACCTTTAATTGTTGTAAATAAAAAAAACAGCAACATGTGATTTACTGCTTTTATACTCTACAAAAACAAGTTTACTGCCTTTTTTGTAGTTTTCATAATATGTTTATATTATTTTACGAAAGGAAAAACCCAGTAATGCAAAATTTGTTTTATTTTCATATAATTTAAATATATTAAAATTCACAAAAATATCACAAAAGTAAACCTTTTCAACATCTAATGATTCCATTCAATACTTATATGATTCCATTTGATAATTACATTCAAAAAAAGTAATTACATAAATAAACTAAAAACAGCATGTATATGTTAAACGATGAATATTTCAAAAACTTTAGATCTGGCAACACGCAGATTAAAAGGGGTCTTTTTGAATGAGATTATCCGAAAAAACAATCAAAATATTTTTCTAAGCAGATGCAAAAATATTTCCTGTACTATAACTATCCATGTAGTCGATGGCCGTCCGATACCCTCAGAAGTGAGTCACGTGTCTAGTGAATATATACAGGGCGATTCACAATGACAAGTTGGTGCCGCGTGCCTGGCTGCAGTGTTGTTATGTGTAACAATGTCAAAAACGCGATACCACAAAAATGTAATGTGTGGTTTTACTTCTAATTTACAAAATAAACCATGATCAATTTGGAGGCTTGATAGTGCCTTTTCGGAGTTTCGTTGAATATGTTACGGAATTGGAGAAAACATTCACACATTTGACCCCTACTGAGCGGGGCCGTGGCAAATGCTTATTCCGGAAGTTGTTGTATCCAGTATACAACTTCTTCCCGTTCAAGTGATTGTACACGCGTTAAGGAATACCTCAGTACCGATTGCCGGGTGGCGGTACAAGTCCGCCAACGGACCACTAGGTCTATTTAATATCACTAACATGTAAAAAGAAGGTGGTAGACAAGGACCAGTCGACCGAGGCACTACCACCCGCTAGCTTTTCCCAGGGTGTCTTATAAATGTCCGCATGTTTCCACACCTGAGCTATGCAGTCAGTTATCTTCCAAAACAATGAAATTAATGATGATGGATCCCTCGAGCACTAAGAATTCCGGACGTAAACTCACTCCACTCTCGGAATGTCCGGGTGGAGGGTGGGCTCGAGGGAACAACATAGAAGCTAAAATTTGTTTTACAAACATCTGCGGGATTAACAGCAACATTTCCGTCGTAATTGACGGATTCTCCTCTTCATCACACAAAGTCAACGCGGGTGTTACCCAGGGATCGGGCTTGGCTCCGACACTGTTTCTCTTACATATCGGTGACCTCCTTTCCTGCACGATCAACCCAATCCACAGCTTCGCTGATGACAGCACTCTACACGCAGGAATTTAGAGTGACAAGCCGATCTCTGCCGCTGAGCTGGAAAAAAGAAGGCTAGCGACGACATCCTCTCTGACAAGAGACCTGGAGGCTATCACTGCTTGGGGACGCAACAATCTTGTAAAGTTCAATGCTTCCAAAACACAGTACTGTACTTTGACGAACAAAAAGCGTCCTAGCGCTCATCCGGTTTCGATGGCTGGCCGAGTTCTGCCAAAAAGTCATTCATTTCGGCTGGTCGGAGTCCAGATCACCGAGGACCTGAACTGGCACGCACACATCTCGTCAATAGCTGCATCTGTTGTGAAAAACCTAGGCTATTTGTTTAGGGCTAAGAAGTACTTTTCTCCGCATGATCTTCTCACTCTATACAGGGCCCAGATAAGGCCTAGCCTCGAGTATTGCTCGCACGTTTGGGGTGCTGCCGCCCCGTCTACATTATGCATGCTCGATGCTGTCCAGAGGAGGGCGGTCCGACTGATCGATTACTCTTCTCTGACAGACAGTCTCGGAACTTTTTCGCACCGGCGGGCCGTCGGCCATCTAGCTCTTTTCTACCGCTACACCAACGCTCTTTGCTCCTCGGAGCTCTCTTCCATGATGCCGTCACGCGATGTGCCTGCTCGACAGACCCGCCTGATTTTGGCCTCCCATCCTAACCGTTTCGAGCTCCGTACATCCAGAACTGGGCGATACGACCGCTCCTTTATCCCGAGGGTGTCGAGACTGTGGAACAATCTACAAGGGGAAGCTTTTTCCAGTTCTACTAACCTTAGGCAGTTCAAAAATCATATTAACAAAATTTCTTTGGGATCATCATAGCAGCCGCGGTGTTCAGGCATTCAGGATTCTGCCTGTGCGGCTGCTTCGATATATAAAAAAAAAACAAAGAGTTTGGTCGAGCTGACTTGTGTAGACAACGTAGGAAAACTTAAGTCTTGGTCGTCAGTTTCACTGGCCCATGTGAACAGTTTTCTGCTGATGATTTTCTTACACTTGATGCACTAGTCCGCATTTATTTTCAGTTTAAATATTATGTCAACCGGGCAAAAAATAAAGTTTGCCCTAAATTGAGAACATTAACTCATCTATAGATTTATCGACATAAGACAGATCAAAGTGCCATCTTATACAGGAATCTACCACTGCGAAAATGAAAACAATTCGCAGTGGTCGATTCTGGTAACTGATGGCACTTTGTGCTGTTTTTTCTATTTAGATAGACCTCATACTATGGACAGAATGTATTTGCTCAGCTTTCGTTCATTGTCATACCATATCCTTTGTAGTTTATAGAAGTCTCATTTCATTTATCTCACGTTATGTTCTATTCTTTATTTCAGTTTTTCACCTAACTACAGATACCACAATTTAAAAAAACATCTGTTTTTTACTTAACTCAGCGACCTGACATCCATTTTCAAACTTGTGACCATTCAGTATTTTCCAGGTTTTGACATAATCGGCACAGTGGTTACTGAAGTTACGTAATGACTAAGAAAACAGTACGTCAGATGAATCATCGCCAGTCAGTGACGAAGAGGATAAAATCGATTTTCAACTTGCTATTTTTTAAAACAAAGTATATTTGTCATCCATTGCGAATGCCATAAAAACAGTGACATAAATCACCTTGCATAAATACAATTATTCTATGTCATTGCAAAAAAAATTTTGATAACCTATTCCGCACGATAGCACTACCCTGTATAAATTGCGGTCCCCTTCAACTGACGCACCTAAAAATAGGATTCGAGCTCTCAGAAAATTGTCTTGAAAGTCAGATAATCACAGGTTTTTTCGCGAGTGTCCCTTCTATGGGTAGCTCTGCGTTCTTTGGTAATGTTAAACGCGCTTTTTTTGCAGCGCGACATTTTAACGCTCGTTTGTACCGGCACTAAAAAGAAGGCTTTATGATTAAACGATAAACATTTCTTTCAGATATCATTTGTATTAGATTCCCTTTCTGATGTAGACGCTAACATATGGCTCACGATGTGGGGCTCTCAAAAATATAGGCAAAGTATTCCTATTCATATAAGACCTCGAGTACCAGAGCTAGAATGCGATCCACCTGAAGTGTTTATGAACTTCTGCTTCCTTGACTTTGAATACAAAAGAAAAATCAAGTTGAAGAATACTACGGATTATTCTGGACGACTAACTTATGCTCCAATCAAGGTATAATGTGTCATATGTTTGCATATGATGACAAAGTTGTCAGTTCTTTGGAAAATCATTGTGCTTTCTATCAAGCCCCGATGAAAAAATATGGAGGTTATAAGTTTAGAGGTGTATCTGAGTATTTCATATATCTCATAATTCCATGGACATAGAAATACCACGTATTTTTAGACTCGACGATATACCTCTATGCAAAAGAGCTCCATTTGTCCGTTAGAGGGCGTCAAAGTTTTCTTTTTAAAACACATTTTTTCAGATATTTTTGGAAGCGATAGTCCTATTTGAATGAAATTCAGAACACGCGTGTTTTGCCAAATTTTAAAAAGAGAACTTTGACGCCCTCTAATGGACAAACGAAGAACTTTTGCATAGAGGTAGATTATGTCCAATCGATTTATTTTGTGTCAAAAATACGTGGTACTTTACGTCCACGGAATATAGGAACACCCTGTATGAGTGTGAAAATGAAACATTCAGTATATTTTATCTAATTAGCCTCATTTGAAAAAAAATATTCAAATAAAGGCTATGGATATTGAAAAGTTAATAAAAATGTATCGCCACGAGATTTACTTGATGCTTAGGAGTTTTTTAATTTATCCAGCAAATAACTTGTACAAATATTGATTAGATACTTTAGATTAAATTATGAGGAGTACAAATTTCGTACATTTTTTAGGAACCTGAAAACATGAGTTGCAATCTAAATATAACAGAATGTCCGATTACTCCTTTCGGTGAAATCGTGATAGAATTGACAGTGAAGACTAGTGAACTTGGCCCTCATGAATATGATTTAAGGTAAGTACAAGAAATAAGAATTGGTGTAGATAATTACAAAATCAAAAGGAAAAGAAAGAAAGCTTTTTACTTGGGGAATACGTCATATTATTTGGAAGAACATGTCGTACTTTTCAATGCATTAATATAAAATACACCAAATAGAGTACCCGTTTCTTAAATAACGAGTAGAGTATGTTTTTCCGTTTTCAAAACATACATTCATGTACTCGCATTGTCCATACAAATCTCATATATGTTCAAATCCATTAAGCCATTTAAGCTGTAGCCCGTAGATTAGGAACTTGAAAGTTAAATTTTTCGATTCAAATCCGTCATTTGATTTTATAAAACTTATTGTACATCCAGCGTCATTCGTGATGTCAACAAAAATCTAGAGACATATTCATTCATATTTCAAAATCCATCAAGCCACTTCGGCTGTATCCCATGAAATTGCTACTAAATAGGAATTTCATTTTCAATTTATCCTGTTGCTGACATGTCTATAATCCCCCATGTACATGTGGTTTTATTGCCCCCCACCCCCCGACAACGAAAACCTTGCTGAACATGAATTGTGGGACCGCCAATATGCTCCCCTTCAATTTTGCTATATGGGCGCCATGCTTGTGGTCTTAGCGTTATGTGAAGCTTTAGATAACACGCGTAAGGTCGGAGTTATCGACCAAGATCACTCTAAAAACTACCCTTGCCAATGGAATCAATGTTGATGATCTTTTCTTTAAATACAGATTCGAAGTAAGAGGTGTTCCGCCAAAAGACTACTGTAAAGTTACTTGTAATGGCCAAGGACCTGTGGTAATACATTCTCCCGATATTTTGAATTTTGGAGAAGTTCAGTTGCTTGAAACAACCTCTTGCGATTTAACTATTACGAATGAATCACCGATTACTGCTCAGCTCAAAATATTTACGGTAAGTTTCACCAAAATGCATTATGCAATTAAAATTCCGGTGTTCCTCATGGTTCGCAACTTGGGCCAGTATTTTACGCTATATATGTGGCGATAAGAGTATTAAAAAGATGCTTATCATTTTGTCAGTTGGTAGCTCTTGATTGTTAAGCTTTTATAAAAATCAATTTAATAATATGTTATCCCTTTTTAGAAACCCAATGAACCATTTTTTGTCAAAATCCCTGAAGTGGTTATCGCCTCAGAGGAAAGTGCTGTGATACCGGTATACTGTTATTTGAAAGATACTGGCAAATATGACAGCTATGTTAGATATGCCATTAAAAATGGGGAAACTATAGAAGTTAAGATATCTGCGATTGGTATGGTGAAACTGTTACCTGTCTTAATAGTATCTCAAGTACAGTTGAATCGGTCATTGCAAAAAACCTCATCAGTCACACAATCTGAATTTTTCAGGAGATAATAAAAACCATATTATTGACAGATTTTAGGTTCTTTTTGTGCTTAATATAGTATTTGAGTTTTAGAAAATTGAAATTTCGAATAAGCTTCACAGCTGATTAGTAGTAAAAATGATGGAAAGATCCTTAAAAACTGTTTTGAATATACGCTATTTTAGCAGGAAAAAGGGTAAGTGGTAACGCAGGGAAAAGAATCATACTAATCATATTTTTTATTGCCTACACCGCTAAGCACTGAAAAAATTTCGGGTTCAAAACTAGGTATTTCCGAAGCATTTTGCCAGGTTAAACACGAAACTCATCATAAAAAATTCAGACAGACATAAAACTTACTTGGGTAATAAAATCTCACTATGCACTGTAGTCAGAAAATCGTATTCACCGCGGCAAAATAGAAAATGCCGTCGATAACTTTTGTTACGACTTTGTAACCCGGAAGCGAACCATCAGCCCAGTTGTGAAGACAGCGTACTTCGATTATTTCGGTGTGAAGGTCACCAGGATAAACCGAGGGCCCCACATGTTGAATGAATGAATGAATCTTGAAATTAGAGGCATTCCGGCCACCATAAGGAGCCAGTGCATAGGCCGCTTAAGCGGGCCCTTATGCACCTCTACAATCCTTAGATCACAAGCCTCGCCCTTTTAGCGAAGTTGAGAATCGCCTTGAGTCCAAGCTCCTTGACTTCCTGAGGGTCCAAAGTAATGGACCCCAGTATAGGCTGCCTATAGTAGCTCAGAGCTTCACAGCGACACAAAACGTGCGCCGAGGTCTCTTCCTCTACCCTGCAGCGTTCACACAAGGGATCCTCAGTCACCCCCCCATCACGTGCAGGTAAAGCCTTAACGTGTTATGGCCAGACAACAGTCCCACCACCAACCTTAGGTTGGCTCTATCCAGAGATAGGCAGAAGCGTCCATCCTTAGCACTGGGCCCTTCAATGAGTTCCCGTGCCTGGCGGAGATGTCTGGAGATACTTCTCCATTTCTGAGAGTGTTGTCTAGCAACCGACGTCTATATTTTCCTCCTAGCTTTATGTGCGGTCACTCCTAGAGCTGGCTCAGGACCAACGAGCTTGCTGGCTGATTCTGTCTTCGCCAGAGTGTCCGCCGTCTCATTGCCCCTTATCCCAGCGTGCCCCGGTACCCATATTAACGATACCGGATGCCTCCCTGCATTGCAATACAAAACTCGAAGTAATCTTACAAGCACTTAGTGCTTTCATTGCAGCCTGGCTGTCGGATAAGATTGTTATTCTTCTCCTAGACCCACCCTCCTCCAGAATGTGAGATACACAAGCCAGAATCGCAAAGATTTCCGCCTGGAAAATAGTGGTGTATCCACCGAAAGGCAGAGATAGCCTAGTTCTAGGCCCAGAGACCCCAGCACCTGAGCCCCCGGCTACCGGCGTCCCACTCCTCCCTCGTTGGATACTCCACAATAAACTTGCGGTTGAAGCGATATTTAGGGGTAATACGATCACCCCTGCTTAGAGGGACGGGGTCCTCCCTTTGCACTTCGACTAAGATGGCAGTATGCCCCTTGACAGGATTCAAGAAAGCCCAGCTGCCCTGACTCCACAGTCGATGAGCGACTACTCTCGCTTCACCGCGGATCACCAGATCCAACGGTGGGAGATCCAACAGAGCTTCCATTGCACTCAATGGCGTTGTTCGCGCTGCGCTTGTAATACTAATACAGGCCAAACGCTGAATTTTATTGAGTTTGGCCTTAGTTGTCTCAGTTCTAATGCAAGGCCACCAGACCAGGGAGCCGTACAAGAGAGATGGACGTACTATTATCATGTAGAGCCAGTATACCACTTTGGGTTTAAGCCCCCACCTTACCCCGACAATACGTCTACAAGCCCACATCGAATTGCGAGCCTAGCTAACCTTGTATTCAACATGCTCTCTCCAGTTCAGTTTGCACTCCAGGATAGTTCCCAGATATTTCACTGACTGGGACAAAATTAATCTGGTCCCAAAGAAGGTCGGCATGACCAGCCCGTCAAGCCTTCTTCTTCTAGTGAATAGAATCAGCTCGGTCTTTTCAGCATTAACAAAAAGATCGACTTCCCTACACCACGTTTCCATGGAACGCAGAGCACCCTGCATAATTTTCGAGGCTGTTCTACAAAAACGCCCCCTAACTACTATGCTTACGTCACCAGCCCCCCACATGTTTGTTGTAACTCTTGCTCAGTCAGACTGTGAGAGTGGCTGGAAGATGAAGAAACGCACAAAGAAGTTTGCTGTACCCATGGTCTGGCGTGAGCCAACAAACCATGTAAACAATTGTTATTTCTGCTTAATGTTCTCATAGACGCAAGGTTGGCCAACAAAGATTAGGCACCGGTAGAGTATCCCTGCGTTCGATGAGCCATTTGGTCCATTCCACATTCGACTGATGTGCCAATTCCCAAACCACCTCAAAATTTTGAAACTGAGGCGGATGGTGTGTCACGTGCCAAAATCACCTAACCTTGTTTTACTATTTTCATCAGTTACCAGTAATTTGAATTTCTCTTTATTGATTATAGAGTACCGATTCCTAGGCCAAACCCTTTTTAATGATTTTCTTTTGGCAAATTTTATAGTTTATTGATTGTATAATTTCACACGTATTATATCTTTCTTTCTCAGCGTGTTGAAATCTTTTGGACACTAATGTTACAGTATTATTAACGACTATCTCAGAAATTTCCTCATAAAATATTGTTGGCAGCCAGGGCCACCTTGTGATTTGTTTACGTATTAGTCGTATAGGGATATTTGGTCCTATCAAGATACGAGTACCTTGTTTTAAAATTTGATTTCCTGTCAAGATACCTTCTTTACCTATCGAGATACCTTCTTTTCTTATCAAGATACCTTATTTTAAAAACTATACAGACGGGTCCAGCCCATTTTCTTTTCTTTTTGTTGAGGTTTGGTTGTGCGTGGGTTGCTTCGTTAGCTTCCAGATTCTGGGATTTACACCCCCAAACACCAGATTATCGAGTAGCATTTTCTATTTGGTTCCTTACGCTGAGTTGTTTTGGTTTTGGTACCACCCCGTCCATTTTCTAATGGGATTTTAACCTTCAGAGGTAAGTTCTCTTCGGTATACCATCGGACCACGTCCATTAATGCATGACCTGAAGAAGTTTGTTCAATATCTGCTTCCTTTTAGTGGGAAGGCTTTGCGGAGAACCACCATTCACACTTCGCCAGCTTTTCTTTGTAGCTGCTCCGCAGCCGATTTTGCTGGAAGCCACTCCTCCCATTGACAAAAAACCCTGATGTGAACAGGTAAAACAGATATTGATATAGGTACCGATTGTTGATGAGTGAAATTCTTAGAGTGTACTTGATTTTGTTTGGCATTTTACGTATTCAAATATGGGGCAGTTCCTATATGTCACGTTCTTTTGGGCTTATTACATTACATTGATCATGATTTCGATTTTTCAGCTGCTATAACTTTATTTTAGAACAAGGGATAGATTTCTGAGGGTATATCACTTTAATACATTTTTATCCTTTCTTGCCCTTACTTTTCTGAAAGAGAATGTACGTGGTTTTTCTTCAAGTTTGAGTGTTTTCAATGAATAGTGTCTCACACGGAGAATAGAGAGTAGATTTCCAAGCAGTCTTTCTCTCTCTGGGTTTTTTATACCGTAAATTTTGGAAAACGAGGCAAGTAGCCCCTACCTTGTGACATTCCTCACGTCTCTGCTCACTACTGGCTACCGGATTTTGACCTGAGCATTTGTGAGCTGACGTCATTCAGCTGCGCCTAGAGCCGTAACTGGAAGACCATTATCCAGATAAGTTTAGGTTCAGGCGTTAAAATATTTGTAAAGCCTTCGTACGGGTACCATGGTAAACGTTTTGCAGGGTTAATTATCACGGTCTAATAATTTTATTGTCATGTAGTTTTGAATAATATCCTTTCTTTTAACTTGCACTCCAGTGGAGGAGCATATGCGCTTCTTCTTTTGATAATATATTGTGATTATTTTTTTAAATATCTTGTTTTATTTGGCTCTCTGTGTACAACTGATTAGGTCTCATCATTACTGTTGGATTCTTTTCTTTTGTGTGGGTGGTCAGGCAAAACAAGTTCTGACTAACACCTCGGGGATTTGTTGCTTAATCCGTCTTAAGTCACTGGCGCTCTTAACCCCCCCCCTACTCTCGGCTTTATTGAGCTAGAGGCCTAAATTTGCACGCCACTAGACAGCTGTTTTGCATTAGATTTCATTTATAGTGTTTTATTTATTTATTAATTAATTAAGAAAATTTTTTATCTTGTTTATAAAAAACGCGTGGCAGATGTCGAAGGAGAAAAAAATGAAGGAGCAGTTTTCAGGCCTGGCGCTTCCAGATTTCGAGACAGAAGGTTTGAATGAGTTCCACGTACTAAGTCAGAGAGAACTAAATGATTTCATAAAAGACCTTGGCTGTTTGAAGAGGAAGGCAGAGCTTCATAAAATATACAAACCTGCGTTTTGTGGAATTTTAAAGGCGAAAGAAACAGCAGCCGGGGACGCTTTTAAACGCGTGGTCTCAGGATTTTAAGGCAAACGAAAAGATGACAACTACCAAGAGTTGGTGAAATAACTACTACAAACCTTCCATGAGCTTGGACGCAATATGTCTCTAAACATGTATTCCCACCACTTTCATCTTGATTTTTTATCTGAAAGCTGTGGAGCTGTAAGTGATTAACATAGTGAAAGATTCCGCAAAGATATATTTGAAATGGAACGCAGACGTTAGGGTCATTGAATCGAGTCAATGCTTGCCGATCACTGCTGGACTCTTACAAAAGATGCTCCGGATTCGACGTACAAAAGGCAGCCCCGAAGGAAACGTCAATACGAATAGACTTTTGTATGATATAACTACTTCATTGAAAATTACTTTTCGTTTGGATAGTTTTTTTAACTTTGTTTTATTAAAAATTAAACAAGACCTTCAATTTACCTTTAAATCAATGTACACAGTGAACCGAAAAACAAGAGCTGATAAATTTTTTTCATGGACATATTCGTTTTTATTCACCCAAAATTAGTGGGATTTGAGTATTTAAAACCCAGATAATGTTTATTTGTAAAATACAATTAGTCTGGAACAAAACAAATAAGCAGAGTGCCCGCAGAAGGCGGCTCTTGAGGGTATTTATCAATACGAAACATTGTGATAATCATACGGATACATATATTCATGTAAATTTCTCTTGTAACTGGATAAATTTTGATATATTCATAGTTATTGTTGAATATATGATTACAACACACAATTATATAAATTAATGGATAAAGCGCGAAAGGCAAAGTGGATACTAACTTTGCCTGTAACCTTATTCTTAGTTATATTGTTAATTTTGAACTGATATTTTATTGCATATAGCACATAAATATGAAAATAAAAAATAAAACAAATCAAGGATCCTGGTAGTGATTTTCAGATCACCCATTCAAATATTCGTCTGCCGAGTACAAAATCCGCATCTAACTTTAATGAAGCGTTTGCAGAAAAAAGTGACTTGAGTGGTTTTTACAACGACGGATTCAATTGTTGACAATATCAACGTAATTTCCAGAATAAAATGTTCTATGAAATTCTTTCTGTTCTTTTAAGATAATCTTGTGTATTTTCAGGAGCTGGCTGTTCTATACTTTGTGAACCAAGCATAAAAGAGGGGTACAATGCTAGATTTCTATTAACACACCAGATATTCAGACTATACGTTAAGTTTACAAACTTGGGAAAAAAGTTCACGAAAATCCTGTGGACTCGAAAGAAAGCGGTGAAAAGCTTGAAAGACACAGAAGAAATCAAGTGAGTTAAAGTATAAATAAATGACTTTACCAAGGTTTCCAGTTTCTCGGCAATCTTTTTCAGAATATAAAGTAAAAAATGTAATTTCCTCCGTATAAACATTCTGATAGTGTGACTATCCATTACATACATGTACAAGAGGTGTCTTGTGAATATTTTCTCATAAAACAAGCTATATTGACTGGACTAATAAGAAAAGCGAATGAATATCTGGTATAAATATCTCTTAGTTTAAGGCAGTACAAAAATGGTGTCAAATAGGTTGTCTCTGCACTTCCCAGGCAACGCTGTCATCATTTATTTAAAGCATTATGTTCAGCACAATCTTAAGTCTCTGAGAAAACAGTCAGTTATACATTTAGCCGATACACATTCTTTCCATGCCCTACCAGTAGTCTATCTGGCAACGCCGCGTCTCCCCAATACCGAACCCAGCCAGACGTGGCACCGCGGCCACAGAATAGGAAACACTATGCTATGGCAGCAGTACAAGAACAGTTACGCGATCCGACTGCTAGGAATATTTTTAAGGATTATACAGGATGTCCGCAAAGTTGGGGTTTTCCTTTACACAAGGTGTAGATCTTGAAAACATAAGCAATTTTTCTTAGTACCATATACACCAATGTCTTAAGGGAACCGAGATAAAGGGCTCTGCAACATCAAAAATATCTGAATACCGTCCTGTAGCCGCGACCCGCGACATCACCGAGTGGTACAAGGTCGCTGGCTCAACCCGACGACAGAACTGGGTCGGGGTCAGTGTGTCAGGTCAGTATGCAACCTTCAACCGACGGTTACGGTCACGCGTGTAGAGGTAAATGAACCCGTATAATCGATTGCGTTTCAAAAAAAAAATAATAATGGCACACTCATACACCAATAATGAACTCGTTGATATGTTTTTAATTTATGGCGAATGTCTTCAAAATGCTACAGAGGCTTCGCGAGTGTATGCAGATCGTTTCCCTAGACGACATCATCCAAGGCCCCGCAGATTTGTTTACCTGGTCCAGAGAGTCAGGGATACGGGCCATTTGGAGGAATTTCGAGGTGAGCACGGTGGCAGGCCTAGACAACCACGAATGGTGCAAGTTGAGGAAGAACTAATGAATCGCGTAGACGAGAATCCCTCAACAACCACTAGAGACGTGGCTAGAGAAGTGCAAGTATCAGAAACTAAAGTGTGGCAAACGCTGCGTGAAGAGGGGCCGTATCCGTTTCACTTCCAACGTGTACAAGCCCTTCAACCTGACGATTTTCCAGCAAGAGTGCGGTTTTGTGAGTGGTTGTTGCATCAACATGACAATAATCCGAACTTTTTGAAGTGCATATTGGTGACAGACGAATCTACGTTCACGCATAATGGGGTGAATAACTTTCGCAACACTCATGTTTGGTCAGTAGAAAATCCGCACGCTGTCCGTCGGGCACATTTTCAACAAACATGTTCGGTGAATGTTTGGGCTGGCATGGTGAACGGTATGCTCATTGGACCATTTATTCTCCCAAATCGATTGGACGGGATGCAATACCTAGACTTTTTACGCAACATTTTGCCTTCCTTGTTAGAAGATGTACCATTAAGTGTAAGACAATCAATGTGGTTTCTGCACGATGGTGCACCGCCCCATTTTAGACGCGAAGTGCGTGAGTTTTTGAATGAATTATTTCCGAATAGGTGGATCGGACGTAATGGACCCGTAGTGTGGCCTCCGCGATCTCCAGACTTAACATCATGTGATTTTTTCTTTGGGGAGAAATGAAACGCTTAGTGTACAAAACTGAAGTGCATACGGTTGACGAACTTCGTCTCAGAATTGAACAAGCTGGTGCTTTCATTCGGGGGAGGGACTCCATTCTCAATGCCTGCACCGATGCTTGGCTACGTCGTGCACGCACCTGTGTTTTTGAATCAAACGGCGATAACTTCGAACAATACCTATAAAGTTCGTTTACCTAAAAACTGAAAACGCGGCAACGCCGTTGTTACCTCTGTTCGTGGTCTGCACCACCGCCTGCGTCTGCTCGGTAGCGCATCAGCTGATTTCATTTTCTGTTGGAGCGGTATGATTTCGGGCAGAGACGTACTTAGCCCTTCTCGTCAACTGGAGAGTGAGTACTTTTTCCTTTATTTTTTTTTACTTGGTCGCCCTCGTTTCACTACACATTACCTTTGTTATTTCAAGGGTAGTTGTTTCTGGAAAGGATAACCCCAACTTTGCGGACACCCTGTATACAGGGCAATCTATGAGGTGTGGAATATGTCTAGTAGGTGCGTAGACTTACGAAGGTTGAGAGCGTAAAAATATACTAACATTAAAAAATTCAGGGGACGGGGAAGTAACATTTTCGAGAACGAGATATTATATTCTTTTGGATGTTATATGACATGTACAGGGTGGCCAACTACGAATGTGAGATACTGTTATCTGGGAACCTATCCATCATAGAGGCTTGCGGCAAAAGGTTCTTACTAAAACGGCGAAGAGAAGAACCTGGAAAATATCTAAGTTTTTGAAATGGCCGTGAGAGGGCTTAACTGCAATCCTGAATCTAAGATAGTGATGTTTCTGTGAATTCCGTTGTATTAACCTAACAAAAAATACCTGATCTTTAAAGTCGGGGATAATGTGAACTTTTTTTGCTTGACAATGTTTGCTATATCTCTAGAAATAAAGTGGTGGGGGGTAAAAGCTATTCTTTGGCTACAATTACAATATCTGATGTTTGTGTTAGTTTCACGTGTGGCCGCTAGAAAGCTTTTTCGACATTCCGATAAAAATGGTTAGTTTTCTAAAAAAAATAAATTCATTAGTATGATTTTTTGTACGATAAAGTAGCTAAATGATGTCTAAATAAGTTCGCGAAAACCGCACCTCAATAGCTTGTTCCTAACCTCAAATTTAGGCCAAAGAAAATTTTATACAGAAAACCCTTAAATTATTATTTTTTAACCTATTTTCTGGAATTTTTTATTATCACTAAGTTGTGGCTTTAAAAAGGACCGATCTAAAAAAAGGTTTTCAATGCCGCCGTTAATGCTCGAAATGCTGACCATCACGCGCTCTATGCTCTATGCAGTCCTGAAGCCTCTCATGAGTAGATAAAACTGCAGCTTCGATTTCCCCATAAACAAATAATATCCATACAATATAATTGTCCGATAGCAAAAAGACAAGAATCCTGGTACACTGTTTCGGTTAGGTAAAGAATGAAGTCCTGAAGCCTCTCATGAGTAGACAAAACTGCAGCTTCAATTTCCCCATGAATAAAAATCAAGACAACTGAAGTCTGGTGATCGCGAAGGCTTACAAGAAAACATAGATGATGGAAGACAAGAGACGCAACGTCATATTGAATCTCTTGTTATTATTCTAATTAGAGGAGAAAAAGTGGAAATGATAATGTGCAATATATTTTGATATACCACATCAAATAAAGTCAGGAATAAATTAAAATGACTGTTTCCGCCTTTCTACGGATGTACTCCGAATTTCCACACTTTCTAAGGGGCATTTTATTGATTATCTAAATACGCAACTTTGCTGTCAGTTGAGTGACTTCATATCTCTTACAGTTTCCGAGATCTCAAAGGTGAAGGTCGAATTTGGAACACCTTGTATATAGTCTTTTTGGCAGCAGTGTACTTATAAACTTCGAACTCCATTAATTTTACGCACCTATAAGTACATATTTGACACATCATGGATTTCCCCGTACATTTTCCTTTAAAACTTTCAACCTTCACACGCTGAGCACTGTCTGCGTGTGATTGACTCTAACTGCATCGCCGGTTCTCTGAAGTTAGTATAGTACTAGTATGGTTCAGCACCGTTGACAGATGGTCGATATTTGGAGCAGGGAAGAAACTAGCGTTAGGGTTATCAAATGGGTGAGGACTATGCACTAATTGCATCGGAGCTTTTGGCTGATTTAATTCTTTATTTTTTTGTTATACATATTTGTAGGTAGTTCAGAAGGACTAACTTGTACCGAACATAATTGTTTAAGAACTGATAACAACGTTGCGTGGGAAGTGCAGTCAGCCAAACTAGGATATTTTGATCAAAAATATACCAACACATACGAAATATGGTGTTTCATTCTCAAATGTTTGAAAAGGTAAAACAGTGGATATTCGTTTGCTGTCAAAACGACGTTTTATGACGCTCAATTTTTTTATGAATCCCTATAGGGTCAAAAAAAAAACGATAACTTATTTCTTGAAAAAGCAATTTCAGACCAATTGCAGTTATTCCTATAACTGGGAAAATCTTTGAAATCACTGTGAAATAGAAATTAACAAGCTACTGTGAAAGTAAATCTATTCTATCTGTAGCACAATTTGGATTTCGAAAAAATACAACCACTGATGTTGGCTGGCTGAACATGAAGCAAGGAAGGCTGCTGCATAGCCTCGTACAATAAGATTATTATACATAAGCTACCTTTCTACTTACAAGAAAAGATACATTTCAGTTACTTAGCTCACAACCGTAATACCCGCAACAGAACGAAACTGACAACGCCTTTTCATTCTACCACCTTATTCGAAAGGTCTTTGTTGATTGGCGTTGAACTTGTTCGAACTTCTTCCAAGGATTCAACGTCTACGAATGTAGCTGGTTTATTTTTCAAATACCTTTATTGAATAAAACTTGACATGATTTCTGTGGCGCTTGGCGGATAACCAAACGGCTTTTTTTATAAAAGTTGTTTTTTTACAATACAAATGTAACCAAGGTTACTAGAAATATCACCAAACGAAACTAAAAAAAACTAATATTGATAGATGCTGTCACGGAACGTCACCGGCACGGAATTTAAATATTCATGTACAGTACAATACAAAACTATAACTATAACAATAAGGTACAGCAAGATACAAAACTCAACAGCCTTTTTCGTATAATAGTCTAATCATCGTACATCTATGTTTACCAGATGTTTTTCTCATTGTACAATCACGTCCCCACAAACCTTAAGTCTGTGTCTGTGTCAGCTTTTAACAGAAGTTACAGAAAATTTCTATTAGATGAATTGTAGTGTTTGCTTTATATTGTTCCTTTCCTTTTTATATTTTAAATGTTTTTTTTTTTTGTTAAATCTGCCTAAAATGATTTGACCTTTTTCGTTAAATTATATTTTAAATTATATTTTTATATAATTTCTTTATATATATATTTTTTTGACGTTTATAATTATTATTTATTTATTATTAATATTAATTTGGTTAAGAACTCCTCTGTTGTAATTTTGTTTGTTGGGCTAGTACTTTGATCAGCTCGCCTGTTTACTACCCTTTTGCAGGGAATTCATATTGTTTCTTTATTTTTAATTTTTCTTTCTCTTTGTATTTTTTGCTCTGCAAATAAATGCTATTATTATTATATTAGCAAATTTCCCGGAAATAATTGTAAAGTCTGGTTTTATTGGTGCAAGTTATTCAAGGGGGTATTTAAAAAATGCTCGCATAAAATGGTTACACCAATTTTTGTGGGAAAACTTTTTATTTGACAACAAAGAATGAGAAAACGTGTTTTTGGGATTCAATCGAAAGTGATGACAGGAACAAAAAAACTCTTCATATATTGCATTTAGGTATTTATGAGACCTACAAAATGGGACTACACGTAAACAGATCCGACTAATAGCAAAAAAGTTATGGCTGAAAACCAAGACAAACTGCAGGTTTTGGCAATTGTTGGTAATGCGGCGATAATTTCACGCAACTACATGAAATATAATATAATACTTCTAAATAACAACAACAAAATTGGAGTGTATTGGTCAAGTAGTTTTTTGATAATTTCTAATTGTTTATCCCAAAACACCTGTTTTCCGGCCATCACTACTAGTTTATGGAGCAATATATATATCCTTTAACCTTCCATTACTCGCAGCAAAATTTAGTACATAAGTTCTCGCGCACGGTCTAGAATTCCGCGCCGATTTTTTCTGTTTCCGAGTTCAGTAATTATATTTTTTCCAGTATTTTTTGTTTATTGTTCTTTCTTTATCAATTACATTAATTAAGTAACACAAAGAGTTTTTAAATTATTTTACTGATAAGAAAATTAATACATTAAGCAGGGATACTTTTTTCTACACATGGGTTCTTTGAAATTGAAATAATAAATCATAAATAAGGGTACAGCTAAATAATAAAAAGGTATCTGAATTTCTCAGATATAATATTATAACCATTACAAACATATCTGGTTGTAAAAAAATAGAAAAAGCTGCAATGCCGGTTCCATTCGTTCTCCAAAGATGCTTTAAGTTCAAGTTACTCCGGCAAGGTAGAGAATACAAATTAGCGCCTTTATTTCAGAAATATTGGTAGGCTCAGCGTCCTTGTCCCTGTTGAAATTGGGTGCATTGCCTTCAATTTTTAGATTGGTACAATTGGTAATCATATTGAGCATTTCTTCGTCAAACAAACATTCCCAGATCTCTTGTGCAGATTTTTTAGATATTGCACAATTTTTTACATCTGGTGATTGTAGAACAATTTTATAACTACGCGTTCTGACGTTTCTAAGTGGACAATGTTTCTTCCATTTTCATATTTTGTCACTTCCTACGAATCACGGCTCACGCTGGAGTAGGTTAAGGTCGTAATTTTCTAGTGCCTGATCAAATTCCTGCTCGCTGTCACTATCTGATCTTTCCTCAACGTTGTCAACTTCATCTTGTTCGTCAGCGTCATCATTGCCGTAATTTTCGTCGTCAATTAGGCCTCCTCCATAAGTTTCAACAATCTTGCTTTTTTTTTAAGGTAACTCATATCTACAATAGGTTCATGACATAAATACCAACAGAAACTAGAAAAAAGAAGCTGAAACTTACCTAATATAAATTATCAACACCTAAAAAAAATAACACAAATACTCGCACCGGGTCTACTCGACCGTGTTCGTCAACAATTTTCTATAGACACCACCTACACATCACCCACTGTTTGATACACTAACTACCCTCTTAATAGAAAGGTACATGGTCAGAGCAATCCGTATCCCCTTTGCTCCTAGAGATATACGTTAATCGTTACGGGTTGGTCTTCTACACCGTGTGCGAGTACTGGAAGGTTTTAAAGAGGATTTAATAGCAAAATACACGTGTTTACCTTGCCGATATGAATCACAAACCATTCCGAAAGATAAATGTTATTTTTATGCGAATAACGAAGTTTACGTTTTTGTCTTCTAAACAAAATCAAACATTTCGTATTTATGAGTAGTTGAACAAATGTGCTACGATATTCGAAAAACACACATTACTTATTATATATATTTTAAGACAAAGCGGATGTGTCTATCATCTTTTGTTGCGAATTACTCACAAATACGAAATGTTTGAATTTGTTTAGAAGAAAAAACGCAACCCATCCTTATTTGCATAAAAATAATTTTTCTCTTCCGGAATGGTTTGCGATTCATATCGGTAAGGTAAACTAGTATATTTTGCTATAAAATGCCCTTTGAAATAAACCTGTATAAATTCAATAAACTATTAGTGATGGCCGGAAAACAGGTGTTTTGGGATAAACAATTAGAAATTTTCAAAAACTACTTGACCAATCTACTCCAATTTTGTTGTTGTTATTTAGAAGTACGAATCCTACGAGTTTGAAGAATTTCAAATATCTGCGAGAAATCTTCGTCGCATTACCAACAATTGCCAAAACCTGCAGTTTGTCTTGGTTTTCGGCCATAACTTTTTTGCTATTAGAAGGATCTGTTTACGTGTAGTCTCATTTTGTAGGTCTCATAAATGCCTAAATGCAATATATGAAGCGTTTTTTCGTTTCTGTCAACACTTTTGATTGAATCCCAAAAAACACGTTTTCTCATTCTTTGTTGTCGAATAAAAAGTTTTCCCACAAAAATTGGTGTACCCGTTTTATGCGTCCATGTTTTGAAAACCCCCTTGAACAACGTGCAGCAATAAAACCAGACTTTACAATTATTTCGTAAACCAGAGGTATTTTCGTCTAATATGATTAGACTATAATGTGTAAGCTTTATAATAATATCCGCGAGAGTATACTTCTCTTCCTATTGATTTGTTTAAAAAACGTATACGTTACTACATTGCAGGCAACTGCATGGTATGATTTTAGGGTCATTATGTGTTTGTATAGTATTATTTATCAAATTAGCCGTTAGTGTCCATCCTCTGATACTGCTTATACATACATACATACATATTTTTTGTCCCATTTATCTGTATACTTATCTTATTGTGATGTAAACCTAAAACCAGGGGTTAAGTGGATATGCCGAACTTCGCCCCTTCCACTATATGTTTATATGAAACTGATACTTAAAATGATTCTCATAGCTTTATTTTGTAGAATTTGTAATTTTGAAAATGTGTTTTCCTTTGCTGTAAACAAGATGGTTGAACAATATAAAAAGTGGGGAAGAATTATAGTGTTATACACAATTTTTCTGGAACATTTTGGGAAACTCTATAGAAGTAATTTATCTTTTTCGATATTTTTGAAATAATGTATTCATAATGTCCGTGAAACAGTAGCTTACTATCCACATATATACCAAGATATTTAAATGACTCGACTACTTCAATTTTTTCATCATTATTCATGAGCCTAATTGTATTGTCACTTAAATGTTTCCCTATTGACATACATTTTGTTTAGTTAGCGTTTAATTTAAGTTTATTGACATTTAACAAATTCATAATTTTTTCAATATCACTTATGTGCTATATAAATATGAGTGTATTGCCCGCAAACATTAGAATTTTGCAGTGTTTTAAAATGTCAGAGATATCATTTATATAAATAATAAATAGTAACGGCTCTAATTTACTCCCCTGTGGCACCCTGTGGTATATTTTGAACACTTGACATAATATTTCCAACTTTAGTTTTTTGACTTCTATTTACTAAATAGTTTTGTAAAATGTGTAATACTGATCCTTTAAAGCCATAGTGACGCAATTTCATAACAATTTTTCCCTATCTATAGTCTCAAATGCCCTTTTGAAGTATAAAAATATTGTTACAATATATTCTTTCTCATCTATACTTCTTCTCCAGTCTTCCACCATCATTTGGATTGCCGTTTCTGTGGAACATTTTTTTTTTAAATACAGCTTGATTTTTTGTCAAAATTTTGGTTTCTTCAATGAATTCTATGATTTGTCCGTATATTATCCCTTCGCGCAGCTTCTCGACATCGGGCAAGACATTAATCGGTCACATATTTGTATACAGATGAGAATTTTGAACTTTTACCTAATAAATCCATACTGGCGACTGAATGTGACTAAAATTAATCGAGCTAACGTTAAATTACATAATTTATTGGCCAATTCAAATTTCTATTCAGTTGATGAGTACGCTGAGGCTATGACGTCACTCGGATAGTTGATAAATTAGTTTGTAAGACCTCACATGTACATTGTATATATAGTCAACGCCAAACAAAGTGGCGTGCACGTCATCAAGGTGGGTGTGTTGAAAAATTTACATTGTTGCCAAACTTTTTGTAAAATAATAAAATTTATTATTTACATATCTAGGTTTATAAGCAATATTAACCTCAAATGAGAACAAAAATAATAGTATAATAAAATTATAGATCTGTACTTGCATAATCATTAAGTATGACAATTATTGATCAGATGACACTATGAAACTACCATATTTAATTGATAGCTTAAAGGTACTGATTAAAAATCCAAATGGGGTCCTCCAAATTTTATGCATGGTATTTATTTTACAGAATTCATACAGAAAAATGCATTCTAAAATTAGGTAAGCTACTGGTGTAAGCTTTTTCTATACAATAAAGTTAGTCGGAGTTTCTTTCTTCAGCGCTGTCTGAATCTGAATCTTCATCACTCTCAAAGTTGATTATTAAAGGTTCGATGTCTGGTCGATCAAAAATTCGTTCTCTTTCATACCATTTAAAAATTTCTTGCTCAGTATGTCGAACACTATTTTTCCACATGTCTGGGGTAACCGTTTGTAGAGCCTCGTTCCACATATCCAAACAGTCTTTTTCACTGTTACCATCTCTACCAATATGTCTGTTATAGTAACCTTTTGCTATGCCCCAAATTAACTCAATAGGGTTAAATATACAATGGTAAGGAGGCAGACGAAGAACTTTGTGCCCATGTTGTTCCGCCAATTCATCAATCACGTATATTTTAGGTGGTTTGTTTCTAAAAAAGCAGTTATTTTAAGAATAGGAATAAACAAAAGAAATATAAACTGTCGACCAAAATATATATAATTAAGAAGCATTATGTACCGAGCAACAATACTCAATAGCTCTGTTTTAAACATTGTGTTTAAAAATGGTATGTTTTGATTTGTCAACCAGTCTTGGATATTTTTTTTTGTCCATGCATTGTTGGGCACTTTGTTCAATATCATGCTGTGATAAGGGGCGTTATCCAGTATAATCATAGATGGACTCTCCAATTTTTCTAATAACTGATGTTGAAACCATTTCAAAAAATTGTCCTGGTTCATCTCTCCATGGTAATCGCTCAATTTTGTTTTCGAAGAAAATATCGCTTCACTACCCTCAATAAACCCATTTTCATTTCCAGCATGTAATATAATGTATCTAAAATATATTAGTTTTAAATTTTATAGTGCAAATTGTGTAAAAGTACATACCTTTTACCATCTGTTTTAATAGCTTTCACGCTTTTTTGGTTTCCATTTTGCCAAGAGCGACCTATGGTCCCATTTCGAAATGTCCAAGTTTCATCGAGGAAGACAAACTGGTATAAGGCCTCAACCTTGGCTTGATTGTATTGCCTTAGAAATTCCACCCTTTTCAAAGCTATACTTGGTAGTTCCATGAGCCCTCGTCGCGGATTGTCCTTAAGCCACTTAAATCCAAGATCTCTAAGCAACCGCCTTAAAGACGTGGCACTACCATCAAATAATGCCCTATCTCTTAATCGAGACCATAAAGTTTGTATCGTAACTTGTTCTTCTGAAACCATGTGTAATATGACATTATAATTTAGTTAACAAATTAATGCAAATTTCTGATAAGTTATTATAATAAGATCTTACTTTTGTGATACATATTATAGATCACTTCTCGAATGGCACTTGTATCCAATGTCGCTGTGTTGGTTACACGTTTAATATAACTCCGCTTTTTCTTGGGCGATTCTAAATTTGCATCACTTTTCACACCCTCGGAAATACGACTAACTGTCCTTAAACTAATTTTTAAAGCAGCAGCAACACGCTACAAAAAATGAAATAAAATTTCACTATTATTAATATACATTACATATAATTATTAGTAACCTACCTCTTGAACAGCATTTAAAGGCAACAAAGGCCCGTTGTTGTCCCTTTCTTGCTCAAAGTAGTGCATTAACGAGGCCACGAGTTCCTTACACCGACTATTTAACTGTTTGGGCATCTTTATATACCAAAATTGCCTTTATCTACTCGTAAAATGAATAATTTTGTTTTGAAACAAACAGTTGTTGATTTACAGTATGCGGGGCCAAAGGATTTATAAAGATTTGAAATGCCACAAATTGATTCAGTGTCAAAATTAATACAAATGTCAGTTCCCAGTTTAAATAAGTTTCAAGGTGACAATGTGTCAACGCTGCGAAATCGGTTTAGTACGTTTACATGTCGATAAGTGATTGGAGCGTTTGCAAAACATTTTATTTCGCATAATGCGTCTAAATTTATCAGAAAGCAACTTATGTGATATTTTAATAACAATGTTTATATGACTATTAACCATAATAAGAGAGTAATGACCATTTTACAATTTATATATCACATTAATATGAAACTGCAATAGAGCAATTGTTTGTGATAGAAACCTAGGCATTAGGTCGGGGAATTTTTATCGTGATGACGTGCACGCCACTTTGTTTGGCGTTGACTATACATCATGTGGTCAATAAATGGTGTACACATTCAAAATTGTTTCTTTTACCCTTCTCTTAGATCCGTATTTTCGATGACGCCCAACCAGTTCGAACTGGCTACTGACCAGTTCCAAATGGTAGAAATATCAGGGGCATCTACAAAAGTAACAACGGCCGAAGAAGATTTTTACTGCTTCGCCACTTACGACAAGAGCTCTAAGCCGATCCTTTTAATGTCATTCGTTATCAAAGCTTCCTTTATTGAGCCAGAAGTTGAGTTCTCTAAGACGCAGCTTGAATTCATGGTGTCAATTAACGAAACAGGAAATCTGTCTTTGACCACTCCAGTTAGTCGTAAACAAGGTAAGAGTCAATGTACGGGGACGTCGAAAGAATTTGAGCTTTGTTTCACAGGAACAATTGCGTTTCAACTTGTTAAGAGTTGATGAACGTGAATACCCCATTCGTAGTCCAATTCAATAAACTAAATAATTTTATAAAGTCTACTTGTAATTGAAAAATGATCAAAAGAAAATTAAAAGAACATTTCATGAACAATGAACGTTCTTGAGGTGCAAGTTTTGTTTTTCTAAATATTTGTGTGTTATGGGATTGTTGAACAAACAAACACATTGCATTGATGAGGCGACTGCCAAAAACCGTGAAAACTTCCCACCACGGATTTATTGAAAACCACTGATCGCCGACACACGTCAAAAGATTTGTCAAGGAGGTCAACTTTTTAACCAAAAACTACTCCGCCCCCTTCCACCCTCTGCTCTCCAGGGTCATCACCTTAAAAATTTTAAATGGCAAGGGGTATCGCGTAATAGCTTGTTTGAAAGGTCTTTCGAAGTCCCTTATTTTGACGTTTGATTTTTTTTAAATCAGTCGATCTATTTTCAAGAAAATAAGAAAAATCTTTATTTTTGTTCAGATAGAAAACAAAAACTCACGAAAATATCACTTTTTATTTCAATAGGTGTTCAAAATGTTGACCTTTATTGGCGAAACAATGATATAGGCGATGTTCAAATTACTGACGGACATTTTCAAAAACATGTGGGATATCATAGATGATGCGTTGACGAAGTTCATTCAAACTTTCAGGTTTCGGAGTATACACAATAGATTTCAAATGGTCCCATAAAAAAAGTCCTATGGCGTCAAATCAGGAGATCTAGCAGGCCATTCTATGAGCTCTCCTTGCCCTATACATTTATCTGGAAACTCCTCGTCTCGCCATTGCCGAACCGGAAGAGCATAATGAGGAGGAGCGCCGTCTTGCTGGAAATATATTCCAGTCTCATCAAGTATAGGGTTTCCATCCTCTTCGATTAGGTTTTCAATGGTTTCAGTGGCAATCGGATTGATGGTATTTTCCAACATATCGAAATAAATGTCTTCATTAAAATTTCCATTAACAAACAATGGCCCGATCACTTTGTGTCCTAAAATGCCTGCCCATACTTTCATTTTTTGAGGGTACTGGGTATGCCGTACTACAAAAGTATGAGGATTTTTATTGCTCCAATACCTGCAGTTATGCTTATTAACAAATCCATTTAGACAAAATGTGCATTCATCACTGAAGCAGATATTCTTTACATAAATGGTACCATCATTAATCGCTGCAGTCATTTGTTCACAAAACATAACTCGCTTACCGAAATCATCTTCGGCTAATTCTTGCAATATTTTCATTTTGATAAAATTGTCGCGGCAACAATTTGGCATAATGAAGTATTAGGATTTATTCCAAAATAACCCAAAACTTCAACTTGAGCGGCTTTATCCAAAAATCTCCGATGATCACGTTTTTAATTTGCAACAGATCCAGTTTAAGTAAATTTAGTAACAAGGTCCAAAACATACCTATGCGACTATGCGCATCTTCCCCGGATGTCTGGCGCTAAACGTGACGGCAGTTTGCCGAGCACATTCATTGTGGGCACCATAAATAAGAATCATTTCCACTATTTCAGCTAGAGTGCAAATGATTTTGGAAGTAAAATCTGAATCAATAAATTAATTTTCACTATCCCAAGATTGTCACAAAGGTAACTGATAGCAAATTAAATTATTTCTTTACCTTAGCAACAAATAATTAAAGAGGTATAACAATAAATACAGTTCGCCCAGGATATCTGTGTTGATGAAAAGAATGCGGAAAAAAATTCGGGTTGCTATTTGGTTGTTGCCACGTCTAATCTTCCGAATTGCTGTTTTATGTTGGTAGTTTCCGTTTTAAATTATAAACGAATTGTAGATTTGGCAAACCCTAACAGGCAACATTTTGAACACTTATGAAAATAAAAAGTGATATTCGCGTATGTTTTTGTTTTCTGTCTGAACAAATTAAGATAAATAAAGATTTTTCTAATTTTCTCGAAAACGAATTGACTGATTTTAAAAAATCAAACGTCAAAATAAAGAACCTCGAAAGACATTTCAAATAAGTTTTTACTCGATGCCTCTTGTCACTCAAAATTTTTAAGGAAATGACCCTGGGGGGCCGAGGGTGAAGCTATTTTTAATTCAAAAGTTGTCCCCCTTGACGAATCTTTTAACGTGTCTCAGCATTTTTATTTTATTCAGTGGTTTTCGATAAATTCGTGGTGGGAAGTTTCAAATGAACACCATGTCTGTGTTTTTTTTTGAGGCAGAGTTATGTTACTTCTCAATGAGGCACCTCAATATATAATATATAATAATTCCCATTTATCAGGTTAGTAGTGAAAAAACGTCTTTGTTGTAGATGTTTCACGACGTTCATCATCTAAACCAACTATGGATTACTTAGAAGACAACCGTTCATTGTTTCGTGGATTTTCTGATGCCTTTTCGGTCCCCATGGAAGACGAATTGAATAAATTGAGCTCTAGCGAATCAGAAGAGGAAGATGATACCTATCCGAAATATTCTATTTTACATGGTAAGTGAACGATTGTCAAAAAGCGGGGCTGAAACCAAAATTAATTCACGTTCTCACGAGCAAGAAAACGACATCCTGACAAGCTTTCAATTTTGTTTCCGTGTCTCTTGGCTGGAGTGAGGAATGACACGTGAATCAGCATGGGTCGTGGATTGTTCACACGGTTAAATAAGAAGGTTTACTTTGTATGAAGCCAATCTTGCCGATAAGGAGTGCGCATAGATGTTCTGAGCATGTATACACATACACGTCAATGTCAACACCTGCCGTATGCTTTATTTCAAAGCAAACATTCTGAATAGAGAATCAGCTATGATAAATTCTCATAGATTAGGTTGGCTTTGCTTGGCAGGAAGAATACGTTACTGAATACTAAAATGGAGCGTTCTCCTTAGCTTTACTCAAATAATTTTTTGTAGGTAGTGTAGATATAAAAAACACCACACCCATACCTCTAAAAATGATACTACGAACCTCTCCAGCATTTTACATATACAAAGAAGGAGAGTTGGTTCAGTATATGAACTTAGAGATACATGAAGGTAAAATGTATACTGCCCGAGTCGAATTTGTTCCTGAGATCTATGAAAAACGGTATAGAAGAGATGAGGGAACTTTGACCTTGCAGTTTGAGGCTCATCCAAAATCGGTAATTTTTACTGTCTTACTGGTAAAGCAATACTAATCAGAATCAATGTTAGCTCAGTAGAAATGACATCAAGAGATTGACTCTGTACTTCCCACGTAACGCTATTATCAGTTCATAAAGGATTATTCAGGCCAACAAATGTGAGCCGACCCTTTTACCCAGAAACCAGAGTACACTTCCCTGAAGGTTTGATCTTAACCCTGAGTCTGAAACCGTGACCCAAATCCCTCAAATGCCTCTAGTTTCCGATACATCCTGACCTAAAGGTGCACACATTTTTATCTAGGTATATGTATACAGGGTGTCCCGCGAGGTAAGGAACAAAATTTTTCTGCGTGTTCCTCAGGTCAATTCGAGTCGTATGAACATGGGTCCGCAAATGCCTCCTTATCGAGATACGATTTTTTTATTTTTAGTGGGCGAAAACCACAATGTTGTTGGAAAATTGCTTTCATTTAACAAAAAATGTAATACTGCTCGTATGAAAACAACTGTTTACAATAATTAAAGTCCTCATTCACGTTGAACTGCCCGATTAATACGCTGGTGTTTGTTTGTTGATGGAGTAGTTGTGTCAGTTTGATTGAACTTTGCAAGAATTACTGTCATGTTCAGAATACCTGACAGAAGGGTATTTGGAAGAGTTTTGGCACATGTGAAAGCAACAGGATCGGTTCCAAATGCTACTGTAACACGTCCATCAGAAGCTGCCGATGACTTAATACTGGATAATGTTGAACGATCACCATCAACCGGCGTCCGCAGAATATCACGTCGCACTGGTGTTAGCCGAGTGACTGCGTGGATAACAATGCATAACTTTGGTTTGAACCTATTTCAAGTTCTGCTGCTCACTGATCAGGACCCTCGTATGCAGTTTTGAAACTGGCTTGTTTACCGACGAATCTACTTTTACTCGAGACGGCGTCAATAATTTGAGGAATTACCATTCTTGGCAGCTTGAAAATCCCCACGCAACTATCGAACGGAATTTCCAACACCGTTTTTCTGTTAATGTCTGGTGCGGTTTGTTAGGGGATCACTTAGTTGGCCCTTTTGTGTTTGACTGTCGGTTGACATCTGAAGTTTATCTTCCATTCTTACGAGAATAATTGCCTGAGTTGTTAGAGGATATTCCGCTGCAGAGAAGACAACAGATGTGGTTACAGCATGACGGTGCTCCGCCCCACAGGATCCCTTGGATTATTACTTGTAGGGACATATGAAGTCTTTAGCGTATGCAGAGAAATCGCATACCAGGGCTGAACTGTTCCGTAAAATTACTGATGTCGCTGACGACATAGGAAGTAATCGTCTTGTTATTGGGAAAGCCACCAGTTACATTATTAAACGGGCTAGACTATGTTTACAGTGAAGGTGGACACTTTGAACAACTATTGTAAATATACTAAGTGACATATAAATCCGAACACCCAGTTTAAATGGTTTTATTTTAATAAAATTTTGTATGCTTAATACTTAATGAAGCATAATAAGTAAATGATAAAAATTTCAAAATGATTGCACTGCTTTAAAGCCCTTTGACCTTTAATAATGTGTGGATGCACCCTGATTGCTACGCATTCTCCAACGCGCCTAGGCATGCTTCTGATCAGGTGGTCAATGTCCTCCTGTGGTATCTCATTCCAGGCAACGACCAACTCCTCTCAAAGTGCTTCTAGAGTCTGAGGAGGACTTGGTGGCCATGGTAACAATGTGACATCATTATGTTGAAAGAAGTCTATTGTGACTCTTGCAACATGTGGTCGGGCATTATCTTGTTGGAAAGTTGGATCTGCCAGGGTGTCAAGATAGGGTAAAAGATGGGGTTCTAGAACTTCGTGGATATAACGCTGCGCGTTCATGTTACCTCTGATGAAGATTAAAGGTGACTTGGAGCCATAAGCTATAGCACCCCAAACCATAACTCCAACAGTGTGATGAACATGTATTTCAACAAAAAACTGTGGATTCCTCCTTTCACCACATCGCCTTCTAACCCTGGCACGACCATCGTGCGTGCCTAAACAAAATCGAGACTCGTCACTAAAGACAATACTGTTCCATTCCTGATCCCAGAGTGACCGTTGTCTGCACCACTCAAGGCGATTACGTCGGTGTTCTCGAGTTAAAGGGAGGACCCAGTGTGGCCGGTATGAAAACAAGCCAAAACTTCTCATTCGTCGGTAAACACTTCGCATGCCAATAGGTCTTCGTGTTCTGCAAACCATTGATTTGCAATGGACCTGGTAGTGGAGAAACGGTCCCTTAAGGCCAATAATCTTAGGCGGCGATCTTCACGGTCTGTTGTTCTACGGCGGCGTCCAGTGACACTTGCTCTTTGCGTACGGCCTTCTCGAAGCCATGCCTGACAACACCTAACCACACTCTAACTGCAATTGCCCGAAAAGAAAGTCCAGCTTCCCGAAGTCCCACTATACGGCCCCTATCAAACTCACTAAGTTGACGAAATCGTACAGGTCTCCGTACTCTAGGCATCGTAACCGATCGTAAAGGATGTCAAGAACCAAAATCCGCCAACGTTGATTCTTTACTGCGGCTGAAATATTCATTTTTAGAGCGTTAGTGAATTAAAAAAAAGCAGTATAAAAACCGGAATGTCCAACTGATAAGGCTGAAAATTTTTTCACTTGTTATTTACAGTAAGATAAATACATTCACCAACTTTTATTAAAATAAAACCATTTAAACTGGGTGTTCGGATTTATATGTCACAGTATAGTTATTTTTATTGTACCTAGTAAATTTGTGTTAAATAAAAGTAATTTTTCAACAATATTGTGGTTTTCCCACCATTATCACCCTAAAAATTAAAAAATCATTATCTCGATAAGGAACCATTTGCGCACCCATGTTCATAGGACTTTTTCCCTCGAATTGACCTGAGGAACACGTAGAAACATTTTATCCCTTACCTCGCAGGACACCCTGTATAAGGTTATGTGGCAGGGCGAATTATTTTTTCCCCGAGAACTATACCATAGACTTCATCTCATAGTAACATATGTACAAGGCTTGCCCTTTTAAACACCTTTGACTTTATTAAATATCGTTTTCTTTCGCTGGAAAATTTTTGTTTTTCTGATCTATATCGGTTCAGCTTTCATCAGAAGAAAGTTATTTTTCATTTTAAAAAAATGGCGTCAAGTAGGTTGACTCTGCACTTCTCACGCAACGCCATTATCAGTTCATAAATGATTAAGTTCAGCGCAATTTAAATCTTCTGAGAGACAAGTCAGGGACATTTACAACCGAGAAATTAAGCGTATCAAGTCACTCAAACGGGCTCATACAATTAGCCATAGACATAGACATTCCTTACCTGTCCTACCAGTAGTCACAGTCGATGCGGAAACGTTGTCCTTTCCGACATCTGCGCGGCATCGGTGTAGCGAGTTATCTTACATTTCGTCCAAATTCCGTGCATATGTTTTTGGCACTTCAGTATGAATAGATATATAAGTTGAATCCGGTTCGCCAGACGGTGGGCTGAGATAGGTACGCTGATCGAAAGCATGTCTCTATCATTCTAACTCTTAAAGGCAAATATACGGGTAAATCTGTGATGTGTGTAGTAATGTCGCTAATAGGTGCATAGAATAATCGGGATTGGGAGTGTATAAATATACTAAGATCAAACAATTAATTTGAGGCTAAGCTCGTCATATTTGCCGCGGTACTCTGGTGCTTAGGCTTCTGCCTACGTGGCTGCTTCTGCATGAAAAAAAAAAGAAATATAATCAAATTTACAAAAATCTCGGCGAGAAAAAAATATGAGCATACTTCGAAAGGCTTGTACTTTAAAATGATGTCTATGGTTTTTTGAATAAATAATTCGCCATGTTACATACATTTTAACCACATATGCACTGTTACGAACGAACATGATTTCTCAAAAAAAAAATGTAATTAAAGTCCTACAGAAATTAAGTTATGAACCTGAGTCACAATGATAAATTGAGAAATAAATATCTGTATTTTGCGTTCATCGTCGTGATATCAGAACACGCATTAATAATTTATTGTAGCAAATATTTTTTCATACTGATAAGAACGTGTAAATAAGGTTTAATCTGTATCGTGGGTGATCTGAATGAAGAGCGGTCGATTTTTGTGAAGTTAAATAAGAAAGTATTTTGCGAGTTTATCTTTTTAGTTATTTATTAATAAAAATGGCACATGTGTACACGAATGAGGAGTTAGTGGACATTGTTTTAGCGTACGGAGAAGCAGGGCAAAATTCGCGAGCTGCTTCTCGTTTGTATGCACACCGATTTCCGGAAAGCACATACCACATCACGAAACATTTAGGTCAATTGTTTTACGTTCACGTGCTAGTGGAGATTTGCGTCCCAGACGTGGAATGGATGGGCGTCGGGTTCGTTACAACGAGTTTTAAATGCCGAAGACGAAATTTTGGATATTGTGGAAGAAAATCCGGGAATCAGCCCAACAGGTCCCAGAAGTGCCACATGCAACAGCATGTCGCATATTACATGAAGCAACTACCCTTATCACGTCCAGAGAGTCTAAGCGTTGCTACCAACAGATTACCCCCTAAGAGTAAGATTACGTGAATGGTCGTGCAAGAAAATGCCCGAAATGCCCGTTGTACAGCTGATACTTTGGCCACCGATGAAGCTATTTTTACTCCTGATGGGATAACCAAACTTCATAATACACACGTTTGTACGCAGTGGTCCACACTCACTTCTAACATCGTTTTTGTTTAAACGTGTGGGCAGGTATCGTCGATGAACGTCTAATTGGACCACCATGCACATTGCCAGATCAGATGGATGGTCACTAGTATTTGGAATTTCTTCGGAATGATTTGCCGGTCCTTCTTGAAGATGTGCCATTGGCGGTCCGAGCACGGATGTGGTTTTTGCACGATAGGACACCTCCGCATTTTCGCTTAGAAGTTCGTCATTCGTTGAATCAGGTATACCAGATATGCTGGATCGGAAGGGGTGGACTAATTGCATGGCCTTCACGGTTTCTCGCTCTGAATCCTCTAGACTTCTTTTTATGGGGATACTTAAAGAACGAGGTATACCGTACTCCAGCTCAGAATATTGAAGAATTGCGTGACTGTGACTGAGGATAATTTGAGCCTTCAGGCACAGCAGGAAGGAGGTGTATTTGAATTAGTGCGCCGAAATTGGATTAGACGCACCCAAGCTTGCATTGCAGTCAGTGGAAACAATTTTGAAAAGCTTTCATAAGTGAACTGTTAAGCTGTATTATTTAATTATCTCAATTTCTGTAGGACTTTTATTACATTTTTTAGAAACACCCTGTATATTTCAGGCTTTCTCGAAAAAAAGTGTCCCTAGAACCAAAGCAATCCTATAATTAGTTTCTGAGAAATAGTCTGATTTGCAAAAATGGTGAAAGTACAAATTGCAGTTCTCACTGAAACTGCTCAGGCCAAAAACCTCCTTAAAACACCTCGTAGGAAGGCGTTGGGAGGCGCAATGTTGATCGTAACTATGATCATTACAACATTAGTTTCAGGGCAACCTGATTTTTATGTGTTTATGCTGGAATAGATCTGACACGAGTTGCTCGAGAATTCAGGACAGGTAGCTTTTCAAGGCCACACTTCATGTTTTACTTTAAATGCATTTGGAAGACTACAAAGATTTTTGATTGAATGCAAAGCTTATGTTTTGCTTGAAAAGAATATTTACGTTGCAAAAAATGTTAAATCGGAATCAGATTTCGAAGGTTTCCTTTTGTACGGTTTACCAATACGCCATTCGAAGCCCTTTGTTACACAACTTTTCTAGAAAGCCGATGAAAACGATTTTTTCAATCAAGAATTCGAAACTTTCCTACTTGTATTAAGTAGTGGATACCTTGATGTCATTGGATTGTTAAATCAGTTGAGAATAAATTGGAAAATGTCTTCACCTCTGGAAGGCAATGTCAGCGGTCCACGGAATTAGTTAATTAATCTCGTTTAGTTACCAAGACAAAATTGGAGGTTCCAGAGTTATTCAGTCAGTGAATGTACCAAATCTAGGGACGTGTTTAAAATAGCCCATGTTCTTATTGATAGGCTCATCCCCCGACTATTTTGGAAGGTACATTAGCTCATCAGCTGTTAGCAGTTTACTCACATTTTTAAAACCAAAAAAAGTGTTGACTATGGGTGTCTTATCAAGAAGTTTATGAAAGTAATGAGGATTTAACTGATCATCTTGCAATGATTAGTGGGCATTATTATAGAGTTGAATCTGGTTTCCGAACCCTAGGGATATGTGGTTGTTTGACATGCTCTCCAAAATACTGGAGTTTGGTTATCCTTCGAACAAGTTGACTCAAACCATTCGATATGTAAGAAGCAGGCAAAAACAAGAAAACTCACATTAATTGTCAATATCCTTAAGCTCACATTAGTGCATTTTTCCTTTCCCTTCCGCTTTCAAAATCAACATGACCTCAATTTGACCTTGTAGATGTCATAATCAAAGACAAGGGAAAAACCACGACTATTCTGTGCCCTTGAAAAGCTATCTGTCCTAGGTGTCGAATACGATTCATAGGGATTGTATATAGTACCTGCTGTCCCACCGGCAATATGTAAAATAAATAGATCTTGGTTTGAATTTATCAATGTTAACCGTCATACCTATAAAATGACGGGCAATTGAAACAAGTTATATCATTAAAAATCAACTGTATTAATTTTGTTTTACTTTCCATCGGAGATGTAGTGTGGGCGTCTTTTCGTTAACTTCCAGATTCTGGAGTAGCACCCCTTTTATTTGGTACCTTACGTTTACTTGTTTTGGTTTCGGTGCTACCCCGTCCATTCTCTTATGGGATTTCAACCTTTAGCATGGGAAGGCATTGCGGAGAATCACCATTCACACACCTCCAGTTTTGTTTTGTAGCTGCCTTGTAGCTGTTTTTCAGCTGATATTGTTGGAAGCCACCCCTTGAGCAAAACCCGTGCCTTGCTCTCGTCTTTTACATACCTACATTACAAGCTGCGCATTCAATATTGTATAGAATACCTAGGCAAAGTATAAAAAAAAATATTTCATACATACGTTTTAGGTATTCTATACGTAACCTAGGTATTGTATAGAATACCGGATCATACAGATTACCGAAAACACATAAACTGATTCTAAGAGTTCTTGGTCCGAGAACTGCCACTTTCACCATTTTTGCAAATCAGACTATCCGCCTACTTCACAGAAAATAATTATAGGATTGCTTTGGTTCCATGGACATTCTTTTTGGGGAAGGCAAGAAATATAGTGTACTGAATTTTTAGACAAGTCGACTTGGATCCATGTTTCATGTTTTGTGTGTGTCCAATTTGGACCACGGATTCCGATTCAGGGCAGCAAAACCTTTGGAGAAGTATACTCTAGTTTCTGAGAAATAATCTTGTCGGTCTGTGTTATGTTCGACACTTTGAGAAGAGATAGCTACGAATAAATACCAAGATATCCTACGTATGGGAATCTCTCTGTGGGAGATACAGCTTAGGTTAAATTAGGAAAAAGCTGGCTTACTGGAATATTTAGGAAAAACTAAAATTTGGCCAATTCGTTATTTTTTCCTGACTAATTGGACTTTTTCATTGGCACTTTTTAGGCACTACATGATGGTGTTTTTAAATTTTGTGCCCGACGTTTCGATTTTGAGAAACCATCAACTTTGTTTATTTTATGGTCCGAAAAAATTCTACATGTTACATTTCTCTTCTTAGTTATAAAAAAAATGTTTTTTATTTAAGTAGGAAAGCAAATGCTTGATGTAAGATTATGTTATTACATAATGATATGATGGGGTAAAATTTTATAAAATGATGCTTAATGGTATTCAGATTAAGGAATGCATTTATAGGGTGCCATTATTTTCTAAACATAAATATGATCTAACACTAGAATTCAACATATCACGTAATATTTCTGGTGTGATCGTGCTAAATGCTTCCAATGCACATTTTCGTAACTGCGCCTCAGTTTCAAAAGTATGCTGATAAACTTGATTTTTAGTAAAACCCCAAATAAGAAAATCCAGATGATTTAAATCCGGGGAGCGCGCTGGCCAGGACACTGGAGGTTCCAATCTACCTTCCGGGAAATAGCTGAGAAAGATACTCTCGAACTTGCCATGTTCTTGATTCTAGACACTTTTTTACCCCGCAGATTATCTTGAGCCCAGTAACGAGAGATGCGGCGATTAAAGATACCATTATAAGTGACCATACTCTCGTCGGACCATATTATTTTTGACAAAAATGCTGGCTCCGTTCGCTATCCCCTGGTCTGAGTCCTTGACAAATCCTGAATTGATATGTGTGATATGTATTTTTATATTAATGGGCTGTGGATTTGGCTACCCCTACGTTTTTCTCAATTTGCCTAGTTGATATCTCAGAGCTCTCAGCAACTGCTTCTAAAACATTATTCTGAGTTTCTTCTATTCCTCATATTCATTTAAATTTCGAGCCAACTCTAAGAAAATGAACATACTTTTTTTGGGAAATTATCAAGTTCCGCAGTATTTTTAGTATTTTTGTAGCACAAAATCTTGTACATCAGCATGTCGAATTTTTCTTCGTTGATAAAATAACCACCTCGCATCTTTGACGATAATAAAGCAATGTTAATAATACACAATAATAACAATACTTGGTGACAGCTATTTACGTCAAGTCAAGCATTTGTTTGCCGCACCTACTTAAAAAAAGTAAAAAATAGAAAAAACGTATTTTCCTTATAACCAAGAAAATAAATGTAACATGTGATACATCGTTGAATTCGTAAAAAATTCTATTAGATACAGGATGTACTTTTTTCAGACCATTAAAAAATAAAGTTGATAATGGTGTCTTAAAAACGACCTGACAGACACAAAATGCTAATGGCAGTTTCATTAGTTTTTTTATATTTCTTGAAATAAAATCAGAAAAAAAATAAAAAAGGTTTCGAAAAATATCTGAGTAAGCCATAAAATTTTCTCTTAACGACACGTAGAAAAAACTTTTTCCTATTTTAACCTAAGCCGTATCTCCCACGGTTACTGAGATCCCCCTGCATAGGACATTCTGTGTAGTTAGTACATAAGTCATTTATCTTTTATAGGTAAGGTTGCCACTATATAATCAGTTGCTCTATCCAACAGTGGTGTTCACACCTAATGAAGCTGACTTCAAATGTGTTCCACCATATTCTATATACAGCATGACAATCATCATGAAAAACATCACGTGTATGCCTGTACGTTTCAGCTGGACTTTGAGAGAAGAATTTTTCCATATAGAGAGGCTGACAGTTGACGCTATGGTGAGCATTTAAACATTCGAAATATACATATAAAAATTGCATTGTTTACGTGAACTTAGCTTTATTTGTTTGCTTGTTGAAGATTTATTTAGCATTAATGCTACAATGTCAATTTTGTATGATTATTCGTTTACAAATTTTTTTTTCAAATTTTACATCTTTGTCTATTAAAATTACCATATTACCATTACTACATCACTATGCATTGTGAGGATTCATAAAGTGATTTTTTATTTTCGCCTTAAACATTTTTAGATTCAATCAAATACTCCCTTTTGAAATACAGATATAAAAGTTATGCAACCATTACAATTTTGTAGATGAAAATCTAAACCACCTATACAGGGTTATCCAAATTAAGTGTCCACCATTAGTAACTTTGTTATTAGTGAAAATACAAAGTTGTTTGAATTAGCAAACTAGTAGCATTTTTAACGCTGGTAAAAATGAGAAATAAAAAAAACAATTGAGAGTCGTTATTTTGATTTTTTTCAGTAAAATAACATTTTTTTAAATGGAAACCCCTGTATATTATATTTTTTTCTGTTAAAGCATCAAATTTTAAACAAAAAAGTTCATAATGACTTTTCCGCTAAAGTCAAAAATAAAGTCAAAATAACGATAAATATTTTTAATTATTTGCAGTATTATAATATTAAGACGGCTATGAAAACAACATGGCGTTCGCGATTTGACAGCATTAAGATAAGCGACAAATTGTTAAACTGGACATACTCGCAACTAGAAGGCTTTGGAAAACAATGATAAAATCAAATAATGTCAAACATTAGTGTAAATACTTGTTTATAAGCTTTATTGTGTCATTAATTTAAAGAAAAATGTTCTCCCATGAAGAAAAGTGTGATATGTTAGAATGCTATTTAGTGTGCAGAAAATCCTCCTTGAGAGCAAGAGAATACTACAGTGAATTATATCCCGCTCGCATTCAACCGTATGAACGATATTTTCTTAGACTTTATCGAAAATTTAGGGGCAACGAAAATGTTTTTGCTAAAACAGGGGCAAAAAAAGAATTCATAATAAGCGAGGCCACGGATATTGCAGTTATTGGATATTTTGAAGCTTATCGTGAGAATTCAATAGCAGATATTCTCAAGGACTCTAATTTCAGTTATGGTACTGTTCAAAGGATTTTAAAAAAATACAAATTTGTTCCGTATAAGTACCGACCACTTCAAACGCTTTTGGCAGGGGATCCAGAGAGAAGACTTGTTTTTTGCCATTGGTATCTTAGCTTCTGTCGCCAAAATGTAAATAACTTTCGTTACCTTTTATGGACAGATGAATCAAATTTTTCAAATTCTGGAATGTTTAATAGAAAAAACCACCATTATTGGTCAAGAGAAAATCTTTTGTTAGTACATCCAAGAGGCCCACAAGTCCGTTTCAGTTTCAACGTTTGGTGCGGTATAATTGGTTCAAAAATTGTTGGCCCGTTCTTTTATGAGGGAACTCTAACTGGTGAAAGATATGTGGAATTTATGCCAGAAATTGTGACTAATTTCTTAGACGAATTGGATCTTATAAGTAGACATCATCTGCATTTTCAGCAAGATGGCGCACCTGCCCACAACTCCAGAGGTACTTATCATTTTCTAAGTACTACTTTTAATGATCAGTGGATAGGAACAAATGGCCCAATACAGTGGCCTCCCAGATCACCAGATCTAAACCCACTTGATTACTTCTTGTGGGGTTACTTAAAGAACCAAATTTACAAGCGAAGGTACGATAACCTTGACGCGTTAAAGACTGCAGTTAGGGAAAAGATAACCCAGATAGATGGTAGGACCATACTTAAGACAGTTCGAGCAGTTGAAAAACGTGCCCAAAAATGTATTGAAGAACAAGGTGGTGTTTTCGAGCATCATCTTTAAAAAAAATTGTTTTTGTATTTTGTAAGATTATAAGTTGATGTTGAAAATAAAGTTTGTCGATACAATTTAATTGTTTCAGATTGGAGGCCATAACTTCAACAATTTGTAACCTAGGAGAAAAGTTATTGTAAGCTTTTTTGTTTAAAATTTAACAGAAAAAAATATAATATACAGGGGTTTCCATTTAAAAAAATGTTATTTTACTGAAAAAAATCAAAATAACGACTCTCAATTGTTTTTTTTTATTTCTCATTTTTACCAGCGTTAAAAATGCTACTAGTTTGCTAATTCAAACAACTTTGTATTTTCACTAATAACAAAGTTACTAATGGTGGACACTTAATTTGGATAACCCTGTATAATAGTTATGCAACCATTACAATTTTGTAGATGAAAATCTAAACCACCTCTAGTTTCGTAGTGATAATGACCATTCAATTTTGTGAAGTTTTCTAAATGTGGTAGTAATAAATGATTTTTTAATCTGGATATTAAAATGAGAACTAAATAACATACATTTTTTTTACATTCAACCACTGTAGTTTTTCTAATATAGACTTAATCTTAGCACCTTTGTTTTTATTTAAAAGGATTCTCATAGCGGTATTTTGTAGAATTTGTAATTTTGTAAATATGTTTTCATTTGCTGTAAACAAAATGGTTGAACAATATAAAAAATGGTGAAAAGCTATAGTATTATACACATGTTTGTTTTGGAAAACATACTGTTATTATGGGATAGTCTATAGAAGCAATTTATCTTCATTATTATATATATTTTTAAAATAATTTAGTTTACTATCCACATATAGTGTATACCCAGATATTTCAATGACTCGACTACTTCAGTTTTTCATCATTAATTTTAGTGTTTGAGTTTATTAACATTTAATCAATTCATAATTTTTTTAACAGTTCTAAAGCATTGTCCAAATATATCAATTCATCTTCCGATAATATTTGAATTTTGCAGTGTTCTAAAATGTCAGATATATCATTAATCTTGAATTCGACCCTCATCATTGGCATATCGGAAAGTGTAAGTGATACGAAGTCGTTTAACTGGGAGCGAAGTTGCGTATTTAGGAAATCAACAAAATTCGTCTTAGAAAGCTTCGAATTTTAAAATACTTCCGGAAAGAGACGGAAAAAATCAAATTTTCCCAAATTCGTTTTAATATTTTCCTTGCTTTATTTTTAGTGGGATTTCAAAATAAATTGCACATTAACGTTTCCACTTTTTCTCTTCTACAGGATGACATAATTAGAATTTCAATATGACGTTTCGTCTCTTGTCCTCCAGCATCAACCTTATATTATCTTATAAACGGCAGTTTCTGAATATTTTTTTTGCAAATTCCAATGTCAAAATTTCGTTTTCTTCAATGGATTCAATGAATTGTTCGTATATTATCCCCATGAAGAGCTTCTCGACAACTGGCGGACATTAATCGGCCGCGTATTTGTATATAGATCAGAATGTTGAACTTTTGGCGCAGGAGTTAATGGTGGCACACTTTAATTTTGAAGGGAATTCACCAATAACAGGACTTTAAATTTTTTTTTGAGAGATAATCACTAAGATCTTAATTAGATCTCGTTTATGAGCTAGTTTTGTTTAGATTCACTCTGTCAATGTTTTTTTCTGCAATAATTAGTTTTTCTGTCACTACCACATCTTCGAGACACATTTTAGATAATTAATTCTTTCTATTTGGAGAAACAATTTTCTAATGTTTTCCGCACCATTTTAGAATTAGCTTCACTCATTCATTTATCCATAATTTGTTCGAAGTAGTTGTCGGCATTATTGAATGTTTCAGGTATATTGTAGGTAACTTTGTGAAATCAATTACTGAAATTTCTTTCATTCTATTTTCATCGAACATATTTTCCATGTCGAAACATATCCATTAGTGATCACTTAATTTCTACGAAAAGTGTAGTATAAATAATAATAATGTTCTCAAAAAGGCAGATTCGAAGAGAACTCTGGAGTTTGATCCACTCGCAAGCGATTTGTGTCAAAAACACGAAGTAAGACCATATAAACCACACGATCATTTATCAACAAAAGAAAACGCGCATTTAGAAATGGCTCTTGCAAAAGCGGAAAGCATCAAGGGGTTTCAAATGTTGGTTGAACAAGAAAGCAACAGGTATGTTTATTATTTATAATTTCATACATGGTGGCATAAAAACAGTGGCAACGTTACTGTTGAAGCTACCTTCGTCTGTTTTGACGACTTGCAGCTCCGCCACTTTCGAAGATATTTAGATAACTCTGAGTTCACAAAGATTTTATTATTATCGATTTTAAGCTGATCTGGAACAAGTGCTGAAATTTCTTTCTAGATATTTATACAGGGTAACTCAAAACGCAAAGTGTACCTATTCTGAAAATTTTCAAAGGGAACACCCTGTATATTTCTGCATCGTTAAAATATTTTTTGTGAAGTTTATACAACTTGTTGTGTGAAAATATTTACTTGTTTCCATAGAATATCTGATTTTTAGTCAAAGTGTAGAATATATTTTTTTCTTGGAATCAACAGCAATAACTCAAAAACTGTTTGAAAAAGTGGTATGAATAATATAAACAAAAATATAAGAAAACTATTTAATGATGTAGAATATTCAGGGTGTTCCTTTTGAAATACATGAGAAAAAGTACGTTTTGCGTTTTTCAGTCTTCCAAAGAACAAACACGTTTGCGAATTTTTCAACTACTTCAGTGTGTCAATGAGATCGTTGAATGGCTGATATAATGTTTTAAATTGTTGTCTTTATTTTAATCACTTTTTATAAATGAAGCGTTTAGAACAATCATCAGATTTAAAAAAAATTAGGACGTGTTTTGCTGTTTTATTCGGATATAACCTGGAATGCTTGTGCTAGGTCGCAGTCCACTTTTCAATTTCATTAAAAAAGATCTGAGTTAAATTCTTTCGGTTTCCATTTCCATTAACATACGGTAGAAAGCGCCAACTGAACAGGCAATGGAAACGTCTAGATTGAAAATATTGTCATCGTTGCTTGGATCATTCTGTACAGCTTATAGACCTACAATTTAATTCCAGAATGCTGGCAGTAACTGAATCCTCTACTGAGAGGTATGTAACATACTTTACTTTTATTTTATAAAAAAATATATACGAAGTGATATAGATAATATAACACCCAGTTATAATGAAGTTATTACAGAGATTTTTTTTGGTATACCTATATTTGGAAAAAACGATAATCTTTTCAAGCGTATCAATAGACTGATTTTGTGATATCGTCTGTTCTTACAAAAAAAGTAAGCGATAGTTGCGTTTTGTATCTATAATCGGCACTTGATCATCGTTGTAAAGATACTCTTTAATCTGTTCATTATGCTTAGAATGAGAAGACAAGAAAATTATCAACAGCTTAGCTAGTTTGGTAGGGGGCGAATAGTGGGTTTTGGTCATGCTGGTTGTTCATTTAGAGAAATATCCATCAGGGTTCACAGAAGTCTAAATATGGTGGTGGTTTGATGTCGAGCATCAAATATCAGAAACGTCGTACACGAACAGATCACTGCCTTAGGCTTTTGGCTCTACGGCAGGGGTATAATGTATGTTGAAAAGTGACAATGTCGTTTTTTTGACATTATATAGATTTTTTGTGACATTATTTTGGTTTTTCTAAAAGATATTAACTTAGAACTAGCTGTTATTCACTTGATGTGCACTCGTACTGTAGCTGTATGTGATGAATAAACGTCGCGATGCTGCAACTATCAATGTTTGGCTCTGATGTGGTGTGTGTTAATATAATCTGTGTATGATGACAATTCCTTTGTTTTATTTACTTCAGATGAAGCTGTACATTAGCACCTTGTTCAATTTTTTGCCGGTAAAGACAAATCCTTCTACGAGCGAGGAATTATGAAGCTGCCTGAAAGATGGCGAAAGGTCATCGATCAAAATGGGCAATACATTATTGATTGAAGTTTGTGCTGTATATGAATAAAATGGCCTTAAAATAAACAAAAAAAAAGCGTCATGACTTTTCCGACAACCCAATATTTGCACTACAAGGCACTGCATCAGAGTCATCGCAGGTCTCACTTGTATGCAGCCATATAGAGAGGTATTCATCAACGCAAAAAATCTGAACTCTTCCATCTCTACCTATATTTATCTGCTTATGTTATGTACATAACAATTGGGGCCTCTAAGAAAACGCAGAGTGATGTACATAGTTACAATACACGTATCATGTATAAGTTGGATATTCCTAAGTATCGTCTAGAACTAGAAACGGTTTTAACTACTATGGAATCCACTTTGATAATGTTCTTTCTGATGTACTCAGAATGACTGGATCCGGCTCATTTAAGTATAGAAATAAAGCTTACATTATAAATGAAGCTTTTTATACCATCGAAGAATTTTTAAATAATTACTTTTCGGATCTCTTTTAATGGAGTTGTAGTGTGCTTGTTTACTTTAACTATGTTTTTTAATTTGTTCAGATGTGTTCGTTCTATAGGTCTGTATTTCATTTACAATCATATCATTTTACAGTTTTTCTGTTAATGTTGTTTTTTACAGATTTCTGTTAAGGTTGTTCTTTCCAACAAATTTTGTGGTTTTTTGACTTTACACTTTTGCAATTTAACTTTTACTCACCTGTGTAAGCACGTAAATGTATTAAGGTCCAATAAAGGCATGAAATGAAATTCGTGGTAACATACTCCTATACCTGATTTATTTTACAATTATTGCTGAACTAACTGAAAATTAACATTTCTGTTACAGAAAACCACATACAAAGGCTCTTGATCCTGTAGAAGCTTGTCAGATTCTTGAAAGATTGTCGGAATGCAACTGGGACGAAGAAAGGTGTCAATCAGAGCAAGCTCGTATTCTGAGATCATTGACAGAGATTCATAGGTGAGCCTCGATTATTTGACTGATGATTTGATGACTTCAAAATTTGATGTTATGAATTGTCCATTATGTTAATATACTGATTGACAAAACAAGGTAAACACCTACCTATGTTTACTGGAATTCAAGAATTTTTGACATGTCGATTTACCTTGCCTTGAACAACAAGTGATAAAATGGTCAGGTTTTTGTATTAAGTTTTTGTGGTGGCTGCGTGTATTGTTTGGTGATAAAGAAGCATTCAGTTTTCGTATATTTACGGTGTTACTTAAATGTTTCGTGTAGCTTACTGAGAAGTCTTTTTGTGATTGCTCCGGGGACCGGGAATGGTATCAGGTGGTCTTTAGTGACGAATCCCGCTTCTCTCTAGGGATGCACGATGGTCGGGCAAAAGTGAGAAGACGATGTGGTGAATGACGTGACCCACAATTTGACAGCGAGCGTCACGTCACAATTTGCATCAGATGCAAGATGACAGCCCGACGCTATATTCAGGAAGTAGTGGAGCCTAATCTTATTCCATACCTAAACATTATCCAAAACTCGATTTTTCAACAAGACAATGCCTGACCGCATGCTGCCAGAGCATCGTTAGCCTTCATGGATTAACATCGCATCAACCGTTCACCTTGGCCACCACGATCGCCTGACCTATCTCCAATTGAACATGTCTGGGATATGATAGGTCGCAGGCTCTTGAATTTGCCTCCACAGACTTTTGCAGCTGTTACTCACGAAGTTGCAGTAGCCTGGAGTGAGATACCCCAACAGGATACATTATTGAACCGGCTTCTGCAGTCAGTTGACGAATGAAGCTTAAAATTTAATCATTTTACAAAATTTAATCATTTTACTTGTAAGGGACACTGAACATATACGCCAAAAATTATTAAAATCGGATAAAAATACGTACCTTTTTTTGTCTTTCAGTATATTTGAGTTACTCAGTGGCAAGGAAAATAGAACAGATAGTAAAAATAATTTTATTTGAATCAAATTTTGTATACAGCTAGGCATAATCGAGGGGAATTATTGATATTCTCGTGAAAAGTATTTTAAAGGGTCATGGTGCTGAATTGGGGGTGAAAAATTGGTAAAAAAACTCGTCACCCGGGGCCACTCATTGAATCAAACACTTAACATATAATTTGGAAGACAAGATTCCACATCCAGGTCACAGACGCGCAACAATTTTTGGATTTTTTCAATTAGTCGTTTTTTGATGAAATTGTAAGTTGTACACTATAGCTAGAAGGAAACGGCATTGCATAGGTGCATAGTGAGGATTTGTGTGCTAGTGATATGTGTTGATAATAATTCCATGGCATTCTTGTCTCAAATACATTTACTTGAGATTCAAAGCTGGAAAGTTAGTTGCGCATTCACTTTTTCGTATTCATTCTGGAAATTACATATGCAAATTTGCTGAATTTCAAAAATGAGAGAGGAATGAAAAGAAAATACCTGGTTGGTGAAGGAACAGGTGAAAAAATATGCTACAGACAGGAATATTCATGAAAATGGAAAGGAATTATATTATTTTTTAATTCCAGTCATTTAAATTTTATAGAAATTTATTTTGCGATGTCAAAAGAAAATACAAATCAGCTCCTGGATGTGATGCATTGCGAAAATGTTTGATGTGTGATGCGTCATTACCAATTTTTCTTTAATGTGGCTCAATTGCACACAACGTGGGCATGGCAGCGATTTCTCGTAGTACTTGAAACACAAAAAAATTGAGAAAATCCTAATTTATACTTTGAACATAACTTGTCTTCAGAAACGACAACATATAAGTGACCCGTCGGGCACAGCTAATAGATATACTTCATTGGCAGCATATTCAGTAATAATTTTCTCACATAGCAAATATCACTGATTTTATATACATGCAGACCAATACACATAATCATCTAGATGCAATCTTGCTATTCAGACAACTTTCTTTGTTTCATATCTGATCAGAGATGAAAACTACAGAGTACTCGGTTTCACAAAACAATGCGTGTGGTTGATTCATTCCTCCATAGATGGACGCTCACAGCGATCATAGCGAGCAGACGTGCAATGAAATATTTGCATCCTTAGAACTACCTGGTCTACAAGATGACATTTTATTGTTTTTTTTGACATTTAATTGGTTTTTTATATAATACAAATGTCGATTTAAGCAACCCAAAAAACGTATTATAAGGATAGTCAGACTCACGTTCCCGACTGACCCATTCATGGTCATTTTGTAGCATCATTACTGAAAACTAAAGTGCTCTAAATGCAACTCAAATGTCCTCTATCATATGTTTTATGGGCCGCTAAAACCGAATCCGAAGCCATTTCACACGTATCTGATAGCGTTTACCTTTTATTCAGTGAAAAATTACAAAACTAGGCGACACTTATCGATTTGCATGTGCTAAAATCAATTTATAATTTTCATATGTCTGCTCATGTTTAGACATTTTATGAACTGGTTGAAAATTACGTTCAAGTTGTAGGAGTTGAATGGTTGTAAACTTTGCATGTTTGGTATCAGTGAAAGACTTAATTGAAGGCACTAATATCACACATTTTCCATACATCGACCATTGGAACAGAAATACGATAGATTTATTATGTATAGTTTAAGATATAGAAGACGTACGTCTAACTTAATTAATACAGCTCCAAGTTTCGTTTTGACAGAACCACGCAATTACCTTATGGAAATCGGACTTCCGTTAAGCTGGTTGAATTTCTGATGTGTTGCATGTCTCACCGTCTTGAACAAATGTCTGAATAGGCACAACCTCCTAAACCTTAAGGGTTATGAGATAAATTTAGGATTGTCTTAGATTATAAAAAGTACTTCGCATTTTTAGACGTCAAGTACACTACCGACCTGAGACGATCGGGAACTCGAAAAATATACAAAAAACAGGTTTAGAAGTCACCTTGAATCAAGTTTTATGATTCAAAACGTTCAAAATGACCTATTACCTGAAATTGGAATATTTCTGCTATCATGATAAATGACAAAATGCGCATTTACGAGACGACAGTGGCATCAACCACTTATACCCGTTTTCCGGTGTAGTTGATTTATATATTTGAATTCAACTTGGAGCAAAAAATTCTTAGATTTTACAAAATGTCGAAACCACATGCTGCTTAGCAATATGGCTGTTATGATGGAAATTGTGCGCGAGCGTCCAAATACATCTTCTTGAAGAATGCTAATATGCTTCTGTCACAAATGTCTTGGCATTTTGTAAAATCTCAGAAGAATTCTTTGCTCAAAATCAAATTGTAAGTGGCTGATGAAATCGTTTCGTAAATGTACCTATTATTATTTATCATGATCGCGGAAATATTCCAATGTCAGGTAGTAGACTATTTTGGACGTTCTTGTCACAAAAATTGGTGTAAAGTTACTTCTAAACCTCGTTTTTGTATCTTTTTCGAGTTCCTGACCGTCTCTAGTCGACGGTGTGCTTGACCTCAAAAAATGATGATTGTGCTATGTTCTTTATAATTTAATTCAGCTTCAGCATATCAGAAATTTAACCAATTTGACGGAAGTACAATTTCCATAAGGAAATTGCGTGGTTTCTTTGCGAGGCGCGGGAAGTATAGAGTCAATCTGCTTGAAGTCATTTTCCATATACTGTGGATTATTCTACATGGAATCCTTTGGAATAAAGGCAAAAAGATATTATGTAGACAACATTTTTATACTCTAAGCTCTAGATGCTTGCGTTAATCTGCTCGTCTGATCGCCAGAATCGTATAAGTAATTTTACATAAGTAATATCATGAGGGAATAAAATCGAAAAGCTAAGTCATATTGTCACAAGGAGCATGAGTGCTGGTGGCACCTGCATGAATGTTTTTTGTTGAAATAATATTACTTTGCATTGTGTTTTTTCGATTATTTTTCAAAAATTAGTTGCCCGAATGGTATTTGACCAGACTATTTCATGAGTAACAGATTACTGGTGTCCTAGGAGATCATAATTACTTGTTATCAAAGGTATTGTAATTTTTGCTCAAGTTTTGCCGCGGGTAAACTAAAAAAAAACAGCTGGCAAGTGCTATCAGACAGAAATAATCAAAAAATATATTTCCAACATAATATCTAGGTCAGAGGACGCCGATTTAGACTTTGCCGAAGTCCTTCCTGAAGAGCCATCAATATCCGACCCATGGTCCTTGAGAAACATCCTGACCATAGAGCCAGTTAAAGGTCTCCTTGCTCCCTACGAATATATGACCATAATGGTAGGGCTGTGTTTGCCCTCGGATGTCAAATTTGAAGCTACGGCCGTATGTAATATTGAACATGGCGAGGAAGAGCAGGTTATTGTCAAGGCGACTTCGTCCAAGATCATGTATACGATGGATAAGAGGAATATCGAGTTTGGAAGAAAGGTATCTATTTTTACTCCACACGTCACGTCGGTCTGTCTTTCTGTCTGCTAAATAATCATTGGCCCGTCAAAACTTGGAAAGTACCGCACAGATTTTGATGAAATTCTCACACAAGTTTATTAATAAGCAGATGGCGAAAGTACTTAGTATTTGGAGATCGGTGCAGTGGTGGCGTAGCTAGGAGCAAGAGACGAAAAAGAGAAATATCGCTCAACCTTCATTTTATACAGCAGGCTACTTGAATCATACCTAATTTCATAGAATAACTGAGTCTTTCTTGCTGCATTTGGCTTATAATCCATTTAAATAGCCGAAACTGCCGCAAAAGTGATAACATAGCCACAAATTTATTTCCGCTGAGGTAATGGTGTGATAAAGGCTTGCGAATATTGTATGAAAACAGCGAGAAACCCATAAAACCTCTTTTTTGCTGGAACGGCTGAGGATATCTGGGATTTTCTTAAACCTAAATTTTTCTAATTTTTGACCATCAATTTTTTTGCTAAAATGTGTTGTTTGCGCGCTACAGCTTGCTGATAGTTTGATGGAGAGGGGTTTGCGGGGCAGGGGCGGGCGTACCAGCATTCCTGCATACCACCACACTGCCGCCGCACCGTCCACCAGGGTTGTCAGGTTTTCAGTCACGTTGTTCGCAAAGTTTTGATGAGCAAATCTCCAGAAATCGGCAATCTTTGAAATAACTAGGAGTCAATCATAAGACGACAGGTTAGAAATTGGAATGAATTGAGGGGACACGTGTAATCTGAACACTATAAGTTCATTCACAGGGGGCGGATCTATTGTGCTGGTCCTCATTTCATGTTTTATTAATCTATACAATTATTTTTTACAATGCTATACCTCGATCCACAAAATTGTTATCAAATGAATTTAAACGACATGAAGAAATTTATTTTGAATACCTATGTATATATGTATATATATAGGGTATATATAGTATATAAATTACTAGATAAAATTTATCTGTCACCTCACACAAAAATATTTAAAATATAGCATTCCTTTGTTTGTATAACTGTTACAATTTTATGATTTTAAATATTGAATAGCCTTCACTTATGTATGTTATATACATCATATTTTTTATACACTTACATTTTTAACTTGTAACCTATCAAATGTATTTATGTTTTTTGTCTTGTTTTTTAGTTAGGGGGGGGGGGGGGGGTTAAGTGGCATAGTAGCATTATGCTGAACTTCGCCCCCTGAATAAAGACGATTTATTATTATTATATCGACCAAAATGGATTACAAACTAAGTGGCGTCAGGAATGCTAAAAATTGCTAGATATCGCCAATTTGCTAGATACTGGGCGCCACTAAAGTAGCCAATCGCCAAGCTATCCATTTTAATCGTCATTTGAAGCCGTTGAATCGCCACTTTGGCAAAAAATCGCGAACGATCTCTTACTAACATGGTGGGGGTTATTCAGTAATAGTCCAGCTGAATTTCAAACCCTGAACTCGCTTGTCAGTTTGGCGTTCACCGACGTTTCTACAGCGAGTGTTTAGAGAAGACATCGTCAACTGCTCATCACGATCGGCCATTATCTATTCTTCACATATTTGACTGCTGAATCTCTTATCATGGACGTAGATCAAGAGCTATCGGTGATCAAACTGATTTGCGAGGATGATTATGAAAATAACGTGGAGCCTCGAAAACGAGTCTTTTGATGACTCATTGGGCTTCTACATCCTGTAATGATTATTATCATTGCCACTCATTTATATACACGTTCACATCTCTTTTGCAGCTCTAGCTTTTTTGTTGTTGTTCCAATTCTAAATGAAAATACTATACCTCACTTGTCCAGTCAATCGATAAGCGGCTAAAGACATTACTGCATCTTGTTCTGTACTTGAACGCATAAATTTCAAAAATTCATTAATATGGATACGTCGGTGAACGACACAAGTACTAACGAGCCTATTCGAAATCGACTGGCCTATCACTGAGAGTGAGTCACTGAGGACGTCGAAATAGTAAAAGAGGATCGTCCGCGTCAACGGTGCGGCGGCTGGTAATATGTAATATGTAATATCTCCGCAAGCCCCCCGCCAACAAGCTATCAGGAAGCTGTAGCGCGAAAACTAAGCAATTTAGCAAAACATTTGCAGAACTTTTTTCATGGCCCAAAAATTAGAAAAAGATACGTATAATAAAGTCCCAGTTATCCTCAGACGTTTCAGCGAAAAAGAGGGTTTTTGGGTTTTTCGCTGTTTTATAAAAAACAGCTGGTTTCCGGAAAACTAACATCTTACGACAATATCCGCAAGCCTTTATTACAACATTACGCCAGCGGACATAACTTTGTGGCTATGTTATCACTTTTGCGACAGTTTCAGCTATTTAACTGGACTATTAGGAAAACGAAGTGTATCGAATTCAGTTTTTAAAAGAGCAAGTTTTATGAGCAAACTGGATATTATATCAATCTGTTTTCGTAGCAACCTTGATAAGTTAATAGTGCATATTTTAAAATTTTAATATATACACGGTGTTCCATAGCTAATTGACTTAGTAAACATCTATTTTTTTTAAATAGAATACTCTATATTTTATTGGATATAAGTTTGATATCATATAACATGTGGTTTGGATCATCAACTATTTAGCAATTTAGTGAAATGTCTGAAAAAATGCCCACCTTTGACGGCTCACAACTCAGTCTTTTTGGAAGATATATAGATGAATTTTAATTCACAAAAATTTTATTATCGATTTTTAGCTGATCTGAAAGAAATTCTAAAATATTTATCTACTTATAATGTGTATTTCAAAATGCAAAATGTACATTTTCTCATAAATTTCACGCCTCTCGACTTCCTTCTCTGGGGCTATGAAAAAGAGGAGGTTTACCAGGAGAAACCTGTAACATCCGAGGATATGAAACGTCGTACAAGCGAGTAGTTTAAGCGGATACCTACAAAAACCCTTTTAGACGTGCAATATAATTTCAAGAGGTGGCTGCTTTAGTGTGCTTTGCACCAAGGTAATATATTTAGACAATTTATTGGCGATTCCTTGCCTTATTATGAGATTATTTTTGTTGTGTTGATAAAAGCCATTGTTTTGACAGAATATTTGACTTCACGTTTAAAGACAAGATTATTGTCTGTGTATTGAGTATTTGTTTTTTTTAAATCATTAGCAACAACTCAAAAACGTTTGAAAAAAGGTTGTATAAACTTGATATCAAAAAACATCAAATAAACTATTTAACGATTTAGAAATATACGGGGTGTTCCATTTGAAATTTTTGAGAAGGTATATTTTGAAATCGATGATAATAAAATTTTTGTAAACTAAGATTTACCTAAACATCTGCGAGCTGCGAGCCATTAAAGCTGGACATTTTTTCACACTTTTAACCAAATATCTAAACAATCGACAATCGAAACCATAGGTTATATGATATCAAATTTCTTGTTTCTAGTCAACTGAAGTACACAATAAAATATAATGGTGTATTCTTTAAAAAAATATATGTTTACTAAGGAACGAAGATATGGAATACCCTGTATATATTAGCATAACTTTGAAATATGCCCTAGTAACATATCAACGTTGCCACCATAACAGATTTTTGATATATTTTCCAGTTTACCCATAAAACTACTTTCTATATTCGTTTGAACACAGCGTATAAGTCCAATTTAGAAAAAATATATTCATTTATAATATAAAATGAAGAAACACTATCGGTCATGATGTGACGTCTTACAAATTGTAAGCAAAGAAACGACATCCATGTCACTCGTGGATGAACGTTGTCTCGTTTAATTTTTTGTAAAAAACTCTTAATTAACGAAAGAAGTTATCGTTTTCTCGTTTTGTTGTAAAAAAAAAACAATCACGGACGTTGGGTTTGTAAGAGCAGAAAGCACAAAGGACCCGGTAGCAGGCCTATGGGAAAAGCGGTTCCGGTTAATTTCACTGGATTTTTTATGCTATGCGACTTGGGTTCCTTATCAAATGTCCCCAAGGGCACATGCCATAAATCACAACTGTCCCAAGATATAGGCCGTCCAAGTCAGTGTCGGAGTCGGTTATACTTCGCTATCTGTCATATCTAGAAGAGTTGTGTCGATTAATATGACTGAATCGCTGCAATCTCACGTGTTTGGCATCCTAAGCAAATGTCTCAAAGGGCGCAAACCTTGAAACGCAACGGTTTACGAAACATAGGTCGTCTAAGTATTATGAGGTATCAGTTCTATTAGATTCTTTGAGTTGAAGAGTGGTTTCTGTTAATTTTGCCGAATTTCTTGAAGGTTATGTGTCTTGGCATGAGCATAGCCCCCAAAACTCAACGGGTGCCAAGATATAGGCTGTCCAAGTCAGGGCAGATAGCTGAGTACAACTGACACCCCATTATACAGACTTCGACAGCCTATATCTGGGGACCCGTTGAGTTTTGGGGACTGCGCCCATTGAGGCATTTGTTCAGGCCGCCGAAACACACATAACCCGTTGAGTCTGGGGGCCTGACCGAATAGAAATATTTGCTAGCTAGGCTAAGGCGCATAACATATAAAAAATCCAGAAAATTTAACCGAAACCACTTTTACCATAGGTGTTGCCGGGTCCTTTGCCACATTAGTTCAAATGCCGTTTATAAACTAGTTTAACCTACACACCACGCGGAGCCTGATTTGGATGCTGACTCACATAACCATAGTACCACAACATATCATACCATTTGACGTAGGACGCGAGAGAGGCAGGAAGGGAATGGCTTATCTAGAGTTTTTCGGAACTTAATAAAGTGCAACCCGCTTATAATGGACACGGTGTCAAATAGTGTATTATAGGCGAACGACTATCTTAAAAGAAACTTTTTTTCAATGAAAAAAGCAGCAAAAGTAACAGATTAAAAGCTTAAAATGTGTTTGTTTAACATGTGTTACATAAATAAAGATACATACAAAAAAGTTATAGGTAATTTTGTAATTTGCATTTTTTCAGAATCTGATACACATATTACAGGCATACGTACTGTGTAGGTATGTGTAAAAACCGTAAATTATTTGTCAAAAAAGCTAGTAATTTTCATTTGAACAGATTATTTTTTTGTATAGTTATTTAGAACAGCAAGTTGAATTTTATTTAATTTGGTAAGTGTGGCTGTGTGTCTTCTTTTTGCTAAAAATAACGATGCAACTTTTTCACGCAGTCTAATGCCTCCTTAGTTGTCACTGGAAGCTCGTCTCCATCGTTGTTTTCTAGTCCGTCTTCCTGTTCGTTATCAACGGATCCTTCATTAACCAAAATGGAGTCTGACAATTCCTGTGTTGCTATTAAATTATTGTCAACATTTACATACTCATTAAATTTGTCTATATGCAGTAAACTATTAATTTTCAGTAAATCATAATATGGAATTTCATCTTCTGGATTAAAATCGTTGACTATTTCAGTTGTTTTCACTAAACCAGCGCGGCGAAAACAATTACGAATCGTTTCTGGATCAACAAATTCCCATGCAATAGTAAGCAAATTTATAGCATCTAGCAGCTTTGGTAATGTTGACAACTTCTTGAAGCTCCATAATTTTCATCAAAATATGTTTCCGATACATTTGTTTAAGACTCCAAATGACACCCTGGACCATTGGTTGCAGAAACGATGTCACATTGGGTGGAAAAAATTGAAGGTTAATGTTATTAAGTGAGATATTTGAATGAGCGGGGCAGTTATCGACCAAGAGCAAAATTTAACGATTTTTCTTAACAAGTCCAGCGTCCCACTTTTTTAAATATTCTTCAAAAATTGCTTTATTATTTCAAATATAATCGACGCGAAATAAAAAAAGGTCTTAAATTATTTGCAGCACTGCCGTTGAATATCAAAAAAATTAGAACATGAATTTCTATTCATTCAATTACCTATTATCAATAGTTTCCGTTTTTCAGTACCAGAAGCATTAGCACAAATCATAACAGTTATTCGCTCTTTTGATAGTTTTCCTCCATTGCAAGTTCCACCTTTAATTTATGAGTTTAATCTGGTAGCATTCTGTAAAATATCCCGGTTTCGTCTGCATTGAATATGCTATCATCAGAATAATCACTGGATATTATGGGTCAAACTTGGGAAATCCAGTCATTGGTAACGTTCTTTTCAATTGAAGCTGACTCACCACACATTTTTCCAAAAACGATGTTATGTCTTTTCTTAATACGGTCTAGGCAACCGGAACTACATTTGAAGTAATCTCTAATCCATTTCCTAAGTTCTTCAGTCTTTATTTGTAGCATAGGTCCAGTTATTGGAAAATTATTAGCACGCTTTTGTTGAAACCATTTAAACAGCATATCAACGACTTGGGGATGCAGCAACAGCCGCATTTTTTTCTTTTGACTATTTGATTTCCAGTAATTTTTGTCACGGTTTTTCCAAATATTTGACACAGTTGATTTTTTAAAGCCATACGAGCACATATATTTGCTTGGGATCAACCCTGCTCAAGCTCACTAGTTATTGTGAACTTTTTGTGTAAAGTGAATGCACGTTTCTCACTTTTCGACATGTTTATAACTCTAATAAATACAGTATAACACTGGTGGCCGAGTTCGAAAGCAAACTGCGAAGCCAAACCGCCGTAAACGATTGGATCAGCTAAATCTGCTTCTGGAAACTACCAAAATAGCTCGCATATAATGGATTAAAATAGTCCGCTATAAGCGGGGGTCTATTTTAAGCGAGTCTATAATATCCGAGGATTTTACATGCAATTATTTATAGGACCTTAAATTGTGTCAATTATATACGGGTTTCCATTATAAGCAATTTCGTTATAAGTGGATTCCACTGTATATCAGTTATCTTAGGGCTCTGGTGTATGTCTTACTACGAACATGGTTAATATTGCTTGAACTATGCGCTCTGTAAAGGAACGCTATGTATGAAACACTGTCACTGTCCCTCTTTCCTTGAAAAAGGCCACCGAAATAGAGGAAATACTGGTAAACGACTCAGACATACGTATTATGAGGTTTCATTTACCAGCCGGAAAAAAGATGGAGAATTAGCGATATCTTGTTTTAGCTATGCTGTGAAATATGCGAAGAAACTATCACCTTAGCCAATCCCGGTTACGGTAGCTTCAAGTACCACATAAAATGCGACGATGACTACCCGCCGGACACAGTACCGAATGCTGGTTGGTTGTGCGTGACCCCGAGAGGTGGTGAATTGGGTACCGATGAAGAGGTTGTGTTGCATATCAGGTACTTCCCTGGATTCACAGGAGAATTCAAGGAATCCTTTAAAATGGAGGTGAGAACGGGATCAATGCAAAAAGTACACTGGGCAGAATGCATATTAATTTTATCCACGGCTCGCGTGAAACGTTGTAGGATTTGTAGACTTATGCCTGTAGTTTATCATGACAAAAGTTACAGGGTTTCCGCTAACCAGCGGCACCCAAACATTTCTCGAGAAAGTAGCATTACTACTGCTCAAAAAAAAATTCTTCACTATACGGAGGAACCTTGCAGCAATATTCAATAATGTATAGGGTGTTACATTGTTGAGCTGGATACCAACGAAATATATTTTTGGATGGTATGCTTTATATTCTGTGTTTTTCTACTGCGTGCAGAATGAAGTGTGGTGGAATTTGTAGACTTACTATATGTCTGTAGTTTATCGTGTGTGGAGGGCATTATTTTGGGATATGGGAAACGACAGTTACAGGGTATTCAAGTAACCAAGTGCATTAGAAACCTGTCTCGAGAAAGCAGCAAAATTACTGCACAAAAGCCTTTAGAAAAAAGGAAAATGATAGTTTATTATAAGGAAGAATCTTCTGCCAATACTGTATAGGCTGTTTGGACTTGGTACACAACTCTGCGATGGAACACCCTGTTACTTCTGTTTCCCATGATTGCGTTCATGCAGAGTAAACTAGAGACATTTTGTTTTAAAATTCCAGCTTATTTGATTCATCCATCCAGGTTCTCAAAAATTGTTCCAAACTTCTATCTTCTGATAATGAATATTTTCAATGTCGAGATTTTTTTAGAAAATACAAATAATCGTGACAGCCCTATGGTGTGATGTATCAAAATGTAGTAAGAATTATAGCATAGAAATATATGAGTATTGTTTTTTTAGATTATTATTTTTGAAAATAATGGAACTTTGTACCCCTGAACGATGAAATACTCTGTATAATATTAAATACTTTTGATAAGTTTATCGATGCAGCATATAGTGATCTACTAATAATTATTTGGCAAGCATTATTTGTCCAATAACAATACATTATGTTCCACAACACCCTGCATTTTACTCCCATTGTTCTTTGAGAAAATATCTAGATAAAATGAGCGAAGGAATCCAACTAAATAGTTTAACACAAATTTTGTCTGTGCACGTAAAATTCCACTACCAGACGGATAGTGCCCATTATCTCTTAAACGTTATGTTTATTGGATAGTAACCACGAATAATGCTGAATTATTTTTGTCATTCAGCTAAGTGGGAACATAAAACATAAACATGCTTGGTACGGCCGTTAGACGTAAAAACATAAAATCGTATTTAAAGCTACCACTGCTTAAAAATAAATTGAGCGAATAATAACAATCTTCTCCGATAGCCAGGCTGCAATGAAGAAACTAAGTGCCTGGATTGTCTAGCAGCGAGTCATCCGGTATCGTTAATGTGGGTACCGGGGCACGCTGAGATAAAGGGCAATGAGACGGCGGACGCTCTGGCGAAAACAGGATCAGCCAGCAAGCTCGTTGGCCCTGAGCCAGCTTTAGGGGTGCCCGCTCAAAGAGTTAGGAGGAAAATGGAGAAGTGGATTGCAAGACAACACTCTCAGAAATGGAGAAGCATCTCCAGACATCTCCGTCAGGTGCGGGAACTCATTGTAGGGCCAAGTGCTAAGGATGGACGTTTCTGCTTATCTTTGGACAGAGCCAACTTAAGGTTGCTGGTGGGATTGTCGTTTGGCCACAACACGTTAAGGCGCCACCTGCACGTAATGGGGGTGGCTGAGGATCCCTTGTGTGAGCGCTGCGGGGTAGAAGAAGAGACCTCGGCGCTGTGAGTCTCTTAGCTACTACAGGCAGACTATACTGGGGCCCATTATGTTGGACCCCCAGGACGTGAAGGAGCTTGGACTCAAGGCCATACTCAACTTCGCTAGAATGGCAATGCTTGAGGTCTAAGGAATGTAGAGGTGCACAAGGGCCCATCTAAGTGGCCTATGCGCTGGCTCCTTATGGTGGCCGGTATGCCTCTAATTTCACGATTCATTCATTCATTCACACATGGTATAATATGGTTTATAAATAAGGAAGTTTATAAGTTTATGGCGAAATATCTTAAAATTGTTGATTCTTTTGATATCATCCGGGAGGCACATGTACATTTTCGGACCATTATAAATGGTTAACTTATATTTGATGTCTCAAATTTAGATATATTTTTAAAAATAACAGTTGATGTTTCAAAAATTAACAATGATGTGGCAGAGTATTTTGAGATATAAAAATAACGTCCTGCGTAGCTCTAGGATTGTCTTTAGTTATATATCTAATAGTTCGTTTTTGTAGAATAATCACTTTATTAAACAATTTTGGAAACAGACACAATAAAAGGGAATGCTATATATATATGTGATTCTAATTTCAAATAAGGCAAAGTAACTGCTTTTCCCTGAGTGTTCTTATAATAAAGAAACTTTGATAGTTGAGTAAAAAATTGATCTACATGATTAGTAAAATTCAATTTATGTTCAATGGCCAGTATTAAAAATTTGATGGAGTCTATTTAGTGTATCAAATCATAACTTAAATTTATAGAATCAAGGGCTTATTTAAATACTTGGACCTGGACTTACTAACATTGAAAGTTGAGTAATTAATTGTTATCACATCATCATCATCGTATCATATCATGAATATACCATTTATGGTTTAAATTTATTGTTAATATAAACTAAAAATAGTATCGGACCTAGTACTGATTCTTGAGGTAACCCAGTTTTTATATTTAATTTATTTGAAGTATGTATATCATGATACTCTTACAATTTGGAATCGATTATTTGAATAAATTTTAAATCAATTGAGTGAAGTTCTAGTACTCGTACAATCATATTTGTTTAACGTTCCAATAACAAATCATGATTTACACATTCAAAAGCTTCGAAAAAGTTACAAAAAATCAACTGAAATTTGTTTATCGTTTAAATTTGAGTATAACTGTTGGAGTAATGTGAAAATAGCAGCCATGGAATTTTTTGTTTTTGAAAGCCAAGTTACTGGTCACTTATAATTTTGTTGATTTTTAGAAAGTCTTTTAATCTAATATGAACTATTTTTTATATTATTTTTGCTGTAAATGTGATTAAACTTATGAGTCTTTAATTTTCTGTGTCAATTGGGCATCCTTTATGAATGGGAATCACTATGGATGTATTTAAAAAACCTGGTTAAACACTTTAATTAAGAGAAATTTTTGTGGGCGTATCCAGAGTATCCACTGGAAAATTAGCTATAACATTTAAAGAAATTTGATCAATACCTGATGATTTTATTGTCGACAGATCCTATTGGGGTGGCTGATATGTAACTGACTGGTTTGTATCTTGAATATTTCTGAAGTGAAATAAAATACGTTTTTTTTTCATCTTAATCTTTTATTTAAACTTATGTATGAAAAATAATAATAATCTTGAATTACATTTTCCATCACTTTTTGGTAGGTTTCGGGAGGAATATTTTTTTAACAATTCTTATTAACATTTTATCAGTTGTCGGTAAAAATCGTGAGTTTGGGTATTAAACTGCATTATTGCATGACTGTATTGTCGGTGACTTTCATGGTCACTAGGCTGTAGTTGTTGGGTTAACTGAATTTTGTATGGCCGCAAATGCAAGTCTTTATTTAAAATAGTGCATAATGACGTGCGACGAATACCCAGTACTTGAGAGCGATGTCTGGTAGACGTCTCAGGGCGCTCCACTACACTTTCACGAATTCTCTCGATATTTTCCGGAGTACGAACAGTTCGAACACGGCCTTGGCAAGTCTTTAACTTCATCTGTTTGTTCAAATTTCCGCACCAACTGACTGATGGTGTTGACACTGGGCACATTAAATCTTGTAACTTCCGAATCGTTGCAACAATCGACTCATTATTCAAGTAAAACGTTTTTACAATACGGACGCGTTGTAAGATCGTGTGGCGCTCCATGATGAATTGGACACATGTGCTTTAAACAACCACTACGGCGCCACCTACTGAAATGCGTGTATCAAAAATAGCGCGCAATTTAAATCAGTCAGTTATACATGTTCCACCCTGCACTAAATGCAGTTCATAAATGTCCGTAGGATAAAGTGAGGATTTCTGATGTACATTTATATGATTTAGATTCTTCAAGGGGTCATCAGTGCAGTAATAACCATTTACTACGTGAGAATTTATAGGTGATATGTTAGTAGAAGTAGGAGGTTTACCTCTTAATTCATTTATGACTTTCCATGCCTCCTTGGTTTTATTGCCTACACTTATTATTTTCTGTTCATAATAATTCGTTTTATAGCCCAGGACAATTGGGTCGAAACTGTAATAATTACAAATGGGATCAAACATCAATCGATTCGAATGTTCAGTAAGACGGATATCCAAAAAACTTGAAATCAGGTTATCTAACTTTAATGCGTTGTTACTTCTATCGTCAGGTCCAAAGAACCAATGATCACAGTCTCCACATGTATAGGCTTTTAGCTAGCGAGTGCTTTTGTTAACAATCATCATTCATGATTTAGAAATATTAGGCCCGTATCGTCAGTCGTCCCTACAATTGTAGGGCGCGTGTATGGCCTGCTTGATTGTCATACTCCTTTCTCTCCTTCAAAAATTTCTAGATTACACTTGTCCCGTGTCAGCGTCAGCGCTCTCCTATTGTGAAGATATGTTTTCATTTTAAATTGTAGGAAATTTCAGGCTGATAAAACATGATATAACTCAAAAGCAAGCACAATTTGATGCAAATAGATGTTTGTGACATAACCTCGAAATAGAGTTCTGACACGGAGAAGTAGAAAACTATGACAATCAAGAAGGCCATAAAGGCGCCCTACAATTGTAGGAACGATTGACGATACGGGCCTTAGTTACAGTTCTGAGCAATCATAGAAAGGGCGAGCTTACACCCATGTCAAACTTTATACCTTAGACTTCAAAAAGTACTTTCGAACAGTTACCGTGAAAATATGCTAATTTTTACAAATCCCACTAAAAGCAAATAAGAAGTTGCTAACATTTTTCACTTTCAGATCGGCTACCTCGAACCGTTCGAAGTCTTCGTGCACGGTTACAGCGCCCCGGCTCAAATCATGATGAGCCTTCTGAGACCGGCCATCTTCGATATACCACCTGTAGCGCAATACCTGGCCATTGCGCGCTTGACTCTTGACTATTTGAGATCGCAGACTGTCAAAAGTATCAATCTGCCTCGGCATTCTCGACTCTATGCACACCATGAGGCTGACGGAATAAACTCGGCGATTTTTCAGCAAATGGCGAAAGAGTGGGTGATCGTCACGGAGAGTGTAAGTAAAATCGGATGTTGTCAGGTTTAATGAGTTTTCAGGAGATCTAGGATATCGCTGAATGGCCCAAAAGCAGTTTGAGATGCTCACTAGCATTGCTCACTCCAGGCGCGTATTAGCCAAAGACGTGATTAAGAAGCTTCTGATCTCGGTAACAACGGGAAAAAGTGCTCATAATTCGAAATAACGAGATACTGCACGGCCAATGCCGAACGTGCAGTGGGTAACTCCAAATGATGACTTCACTATTTTTATATCTACACATATTTTTCTCTAAATTTCATGATCCTTGAATGTACCACCGATTTCGCCCAACCTTTAATTTGTGTTACTCCGACTATGATGGTTCTCTGAATATTTTGTCAAGTAGATTGACTCAGTACTTATGACCCATTGATATACAACAGAGGCGGACTGACAAACCGACCTAAATGAGAAACACGGACTTATCTGATGCGGATATCTTCAAGCAACAGAAAGTATGAGAACTGGTGAATATTAGCGCAAGTTTAGTACTTCCATCGTTTCTGTAAAGCTAAATTTTGAAAACTGATTCAGAGGCGGCGGAATCACATGCAAAAGGAAATAAAATCGCTGGAAGATAGTGTTACATCGTTCCAGAGATTCCTGCTAATTTTTAGATACTGTTTGGAAAGGATAAAAATTGTAGGTTGGAAGTTGTATGCGGTAAATGGTTGTAAACTGTTTCATATTTGGTGTCAGCGAAAGACCTCCTATTATTAAGAAGCTGCTGATTTCAGTGATACTATGTACAAGTCAGACATAATAAACCACACATATTTTCTCTAATCTGCTATGAAAACAGAAATCTTATAGATTTGCTTTATGTAGTTTGATATACAGAGGACGAAGATTTACCGTACCCAAGTGAACCTACCTAATCACGATTCGATTTTGCCTTTTGAAACCTTTCCTTTGAAACCTCCAACGAAGGCATAGGAAGTGTAGTGTCAATCTAATTGACTCCATTTTTTTAATCATTAATTTGTCCTACTATCCTTTCAATTTTTTTGGAAAAATAAAAATGTCTATACTCTCTGATGGTCATACTCGATTCCATGGTCCCACAGTATCCTTGCGTGCTAAAGAGCCCGCAATTTTCTTTTGGATAATAGCTTTCGACTAAATTTGTTGAAATTCTGCATAAAGGTAGTTCAAAATGGCAATCAAAAGTCGCAATGGGGTCAATCACCAGCAACCACGTCCCTACGCATTACGGAACCCAGAATTCACCGAAGTAGAAGTTATTGATCGACATGAGTTTTAAAATAATATGATTAGAGAAGAAGTTAATATGCTTTTGTTAGGATTTCTCCCAGATCTTGAAGTGATTTCTGGGCTTTTTAAGCCTGTCCGACCAGTCAACGCGTAAGCCGTTACGTTACGGCTCAGGCTATTTCAAAACTTTCAAATTCCAGGATGTTTACCCGTCAGAAGCCGATATCGAGCTAGTAATAGAACGAGACCTGCTCAACCAGAGGTTATCAAATACTTTAGATATTTTGCACGAGCATGTGGTCACCAGGAAGATTCATGGCATTCCTCAGTTTGTGCCCCCCTCATATATTCTTGATTTTGGATATGTCATACTTGGTAAACCTGTCTGTTACACGGTAGGTTATACTGCCTTATTAGGCGCAGATTTTGTAACATTATCTAGTACAACTGCTCCAGTACAATGACCTTTGGAGTGCTAGTATTGGTCTATAATACGGAGAGCAAGTACATTTTTAATAATACAAACAACCCGACTGTAGTAACTGAAAAGAACGAAGATTTGATTGTGCGATTAAGAGAAATCTAGAGACAACTATGTCAAAATCGTCGTTTGAGTCAGTGGAATATGAATTTCAAGGTTGATTTTTTTATCAAAATCCTCGATTTTGTTGTTATAAAATTTTAATACAGCTATTGACCCGCGGGAATCAAAATTGGCGCCTTTGACAGAAATTGGACCAATGAGAAGGCGTCTTCGTAGTGATGGATCTAACGAATTTGATCGATTCCTTGTTAAATGTCTCTCAATCTGTTTTAGAATCTATGCTCCGAAAACCAAAATTATATTGATCATATGATTTATACAAGGCAACAAGATTATTTGATATTAAGCAACCTTATGTTTTACATACTATCAGCCACTATCTCAAAGTTGTCAGTGAGCACGATAGTATCACACATTGCCATGATACTCGATATAAATTACGAACAAAAACTGTCCCTAAGCCTCATAAGACCATAATGAAGCGATCTTTACTCTATTTGGCTCCAAAACTATGAACACGTACCCAAAGACTTAAAAAAAATTGAGATACACATAATTTTGAAAATAAATTATCAAAATGGATACGCTCAATAGGAAAACGTCATATTATTGAATTCCTATGAAATATTTCTTCAAGTTTCTTTTAACTCTTTTTTTAATTTGGAAATCATTCCAACATACAACTAATCCATGTACAGGAATTGTCCTTCTGTGGACTGAAAGATGTATTTGTTTGTTTGTTTGTTTACGATTTAGTTAGCATGATTGCTACAATGACATTCTTCTAAAAAATTAAACAATTACATAACATACAGATATTTAGAAAAAAACGAAATTTGCATCTCTAAGAATGTTCACTGTCCATGAAGTATTCCTTTAATTTTCTTTTAAAGATCTTTAAATTACAAGTAGAGTTTATATCATTATTTAGTTTATTAAATTCAAGTAATACTTTCTGAAATATTAATTTGCTAGTTATATTACTATTGCAATTTTGTAAATGAAAATGAAAACCTGTATTTCCTGTTGTATAATAATTGATGTAATGATTATTCAATTCTATGTAGAGTGTTCTAAATGTTGTAGCAAAAGATGATTTTTTATTTTAAATATAAAAATAAGAACCAAATATGATATGGAATTTTTAATATTCAACCACTGCAATTCTTGTAACATAGATTTTATTTTGATGTACTTATTTTTATTCAATATTATTCTGATGGCTTTATTTGCAGGACTTGTAATTTTGAGAATACAGCTTTATTGGCAGTGAACAAGATAGTTGAACAATGTAGTAAATGTGGTAGAATATTGTATTATAAAATATTTTTTTGGAATATGTACCAACACGATGAGAAGCAGTATAAAAGTAATTTGTTTTTTTGTCAATTTTTGAAATAATGTATTGATAGTGATCCTCAAACTATCAATATATACCTAAATATTTAATCGATTCAACATTTTCAATTATTTCAGCATTTATTCTAACTGTGATAGTATTTTCATTTGGGTATTTCTCTATTAGCATACATTTTGTTTTAGAAGTATTCAATTTGTGTTTATTTACATTTAACCATTTTATGATTTTTACCAAGTCGGAATTTAGAATTTTTAAAGCAGTGTCTATATTTTCATCTGATATGTATATTAATGTATCATCAGCAAATATCTGAATTTTACAATAATCTAAAATAGTACAAATGTCAATGTATAAAATAAATAGAAGTGGACCTAGTTTACTACGTTGTGGTATACCAATAGAGATATTTTTTTATCTTGATAATGTAGATCCAATTTTTTTGTTTTTTGACTTCTGTCAATTTAATCGCTTTGTAGAATTTTGATTACAGATCCTTTAAATCCGAGGTGATGCAATTTTGTAAGTAATTTATCCCTGTCAATAGTTTCAAACGCCGTTTTGAAGTCCAAAAACACTGTTACTGTATGTTTCCTATTGTCCATACATCTCCTCCATTCTATGTTATTCTTTTTCTTATATAATTGAGCAAGTAAATGTCTACTTCTACCGTGCGAACAAAATATTACTCAAACCAGCTCTGTTACTGTTGACAGGGAGATGTCGCGCACTCTACTGGACGGTGGTACGATTACCCGACCACGCTGCGCCGGGGTGACGCTGGCAAGGCTAGAAGTAGTCGTCCCATTGCCCAGTAGATGGCGCAAGACCTCCCTGTTAACAGGGCTGGCTTGAGGAGCAGGTTTTTTCGCATGGTAGTCAAGTAAATTGAATATTTACTTGATGTTTGTTGAAGAATATGGACTCGGTAATTTTATTTATGTCTTCCAAGAATTCATCAAACAGAATTTTGTACAGCAGGACACTGTCATTTTCAAAGTAGTAGTAATATTATAAGAATTTATTTAGCGCGTTTGTCTACATCAACAAAATAATTATAAACAACTTAAAATTAGTAAATTCCAGCCATATGTTGGATTATAAAATAAAAATTTTTACATTGAGACATTTTAACTTGCGAAGCATGTGTCTAATTGGAGTATATTTATCTTTATTTAGTATTATTCTCATGCACTTACTTTTTAAAATTTGCAATCTTTTGATACTGGAATTATTAGCTAAATATAGTTAGTCGAACAGTACAAGAAAATCGGAAGAATAATAGTACTCGTATTATAGATAAATTTTCTACTAAATGAGCTCGGACATCCAGAAACTCTTGATAAATATTCCACTTTACTACTAATCTGGTTTATAATAATCATAAAAAATTTAATCATATCTGTCTAGACATTTGTGTCCATGCTTCGAGTATGGTGCAATTGCTTTTTTTCCATTGGTGCATTATATAATAAGAGACTCATCCAACACCTTAAAGTAGGAAATGTGTAAATGGAGCGCCCTTAGATATATGTAAATACGGGAAACGAAGTCTGAAGGTCCATGGGTCAAACTCGGACAAATATACGTATAACGTATAGACCTTTTAATAAATATATTTAATCCCATTTCCTTGAGAATCTTTATTGAATACAATCGATAAATAAAGCTTCTCCAAGTTCCGCGGTATAAATTGAAAGTTGAAGGTTGGGGTGCACGAGTGAATATCTCAATTTCTTGGCGGTATTATATTTATACGCTTTCAACCAGGATAATTCTACGCACTTATTAGACGCATTTCACACATCATAGATACCCTCGTAGGTACATGTGCCCTTAAAACGTTAGAGAAATATCTTCGAAGAGCGTCTCCCTCTCCCTGAGTTGATCGAGTCGTTTGGTAAGGTATTGGGAAAGGGGCGACGTTGCCAGATGGACGGTATTATCGGTAGGGCAGGGAAAAGATGCCTTTGGACTAATTATATGGGCCTGTTTGACTGAATTAATAATAATAATGAGAATATTTATTCTCATCAATTATTATAAATTGTGAATAAATTAGCATGCCACAAAAGGAAAATATCCTTGTATGTGCATAACATTTTAACACACAACATAATCATATAACATAGTAGTTACAATAACTTAATTGGACTAAAAAAAATCTTTGTAATATAAAAGTAACACATAAATTTTGTATCGTAGATTAGCAATGCGGAACCGATATTTATATGTTACAGTTTTTTATAAATTACATCTTGCTTATATCAGTATTCAATAGCCACTCGTATAAATCTATTTTTAATAATGATATTCCGTTTTCTCTAATATACAGGGTGTTTCAGTTTATTGTTGCATAACTTTAAGATTCGGCAGAACTTTTAAAATTAATGCATAAAGTATATATGTCTAAACATGGGTCGAAAAATGCGTGGCTTCCGAAATACAGGGTGTTTAAATTTACTTTCTAAAATAGTTTTTTTTAAATATTTCGAACAATATTTGATGTATAATAGTGAAAATTGGTATACAAGGGTTTTTTGGTACGACAAAACGAACCATGGGCATAGTTTTACTGTAGCCGCTAGAGGGCGCTCTCTACTGTACCTGTAGTGTATTAAAATGACCGAAATTTTTTTCATAGTGCAATTTTTGGCTTTTTGAATAAAAAAATGATTCTTCGCACTTTTCAACATAAAAAAGCTCTCTTGTGAATTTTCGTTATAGGTTTTTAAGGTTCGATGCATTTTTAATTATTTATGATAAAATAACGTTAAAAAGTCAGTATCTCGATAATTTTTAGAAGTAGGCTGTGCCTGCAAATATTTTTGAAATTGAAAGCAGAATATGGTTAAACGTCAATTAGTTGACAGTTAGTTTTGTTGTCTGTTGAAACCTGAAACGTTTTTTTGCAATTTTGCACTTTTCAACATAAAAAAGCTCTCCTGTGAGTTTTCGTTATAGTTAGCCGTTTTTGAGTTATTTCGAGTTTTAAGGTTCGAAAATAATATTTTTTTTTACATTTTCGATTTGGGCATTATAAGTAATTAAGATGATCGTTTAGATTGTGTTTTTAAACACAGCAATAATTCCTAACTTCAAATAAACACAAAAAACAGAATATTAATTTGTTTAATTGTCCAATATTATTTTTAACAAATTAAATTAATTATTTACAACTAAAATGCTATTGGATATTTAGGACAAACATACAAAAACTAAAGTAGTTGCTCGAAATATAAACCCAATTGTTCAATACACAATTCACATCTACGAATGATCGAACGTGGTATAGCATTATTCAAATAAGGCCTTATTTCATCACATGCATTCCTGATTCTGTCTATTAGCATATCTCTTGTGGTTACGAGAGTCTGGTACACTTTTTCTTTTAGAAATCCCCACACAAAGAAATCTAATGGATTTAGGTCAGGGGATGGTGGAGGCCAGGCGACTGGTCCTCCACGGCCGATCCATCTTTCTGGATAATTTTCGTCCAGCCAGTTTCTAACTATTCTCGAATAATGAGCTGGACAACCATCAAACTGGAACCAGGCCAATCTTCTTAAATCTAACATGACATCATCCCACATATTTGCATGTTCAGCCTTTAAAAATTTCAAGAAGGCAGCATTTAACCTTGCAGGCAAAAGGTAGGGTCCAAATAGTCGATTACGGTAGATACCAATCCACACGTTCACACTAAATTCATGCTGAAAATTTCTTTCCCGAACTGCATGCGGATTTTCATGCGACCAAATATGTTGATTATGAAAATTTACCACTCCACGTCTAGTGAAGCATGACTTATCGGTCTATCCACTGACAAAATGTGATTCTTCGTTCTCCGTCCCCTGGCTGTAGTCCTTGCACAGGTTGCGAATGGAAAGGACGTCCATGGTCATTTCTAAGAACACGGTGAACATGGCTTGCTGAAATTCCCAAGGCACCAGAAACTCTCCTAACACTTGTGGTCGGATCTCTATCAAACTCACGCAGAATCATACGGGTAAATCTACGCTGACGAACATTTATGTTTTGATCGCTTTGGAAATTTCCAAAACCATTTTCAATTATTTGGCGATGCACTCTTTATACTGAGCGAGTTGGATGTCGTCTGTTTGGAAATCTTCGTGCGTATTCTCTGGCTGCTTCTGCTGCGTTTCCATTTACAAAGCCATACACAAAATGAATATCCGCTAACTCTTGATTGGAGAATAAAAATGGCATTTTTATAAATCTTACAAAAAAAAAACAGGTAAAAGAAACTAAATTTCGTGCATTCACAATTGCAAAAAAACGTTTCAGGTTTCAACAGACAACAAAACTAACTGTCAACTAATTGACGTTTAACCTTATTCTGCTTTCAATTTCAAAAATATTTGCAGGCACAGCCTACTTCTAAAAATTATCGAGATACTGACTTTTTAACGTTATTTTATCATAAATAATTAAAAATGCATCGAACCTTAAAAATCTATAACGAAAATTCACAAGAGAGCTTTTTTATGTTGAAAAGTGCGAAGAATCAGTTTTTTTATTCAAAAAGCCAAAAATTGCACTATGAAAAAAAATTCGGTCATTTTAATACACTACAGGTACAGTAGAGAGCGCCCTCTAGCGGCTACAGTAAAACTATGCCCATGGTTCGTTTTGTCGTACCAAAAAACCCTTGTATACAAATTTTCACTGTTATACATGTAATATTGTTCGAAATATTAAAAAAAAACTATTTTAGAAAGTAAATTTAAACACCCTGTATTTCGGAAGCCACGCATTTTTCGACCCATGTTTATATAGACTTTATGCATTAATTTTAAAGGTTCTATCGAATCTTAAAGTTATGCAACAATAAACTGAAACACCCTGTATATTTGGTAAGATATACTTTTGGAACTAAGTATTTACGAGATTCCAAAATTATTTCCTTTTTTGGTGTTGTAATAGTTATTTGTTTATTTTTATTTCTAGTACCATAATCATAATTTCTAAAAATGGTCTAATGTTTGTACGTTTAATTTATGTTTTACCTGTCTGTAGCTAACTTATTTCACAACCGGTCTAACTTGTGCCGAACCTAATCCTTTTTGTATGAACTAATGATAGTGCAGGTCAAAACAAAATGAGATGCCTGCATTTGTCTGACCAAGAAAAGAAGACAGCTAACCATGGACAGCTGCTTCGTGCTCCTTAGCTACTCAGCACCAAACAGCTGTCCATGGTTGGCTGTCTTCTTTTCCTGGTCTGACGGACGAAGGCATCTCATTTTGTTTTGATCTGTACAATGGCTAGCAGACCACACTGCATTCTGCCAGAATCGTCAGCCATTTAACGGCACAGCTATTAAACGGGAATCTGCAACGGTTCCGACTAACAGCAGCGGTGGGCGATGTACAATGGTCCGATTTTGGTGCGATAGATTCTCATGCTAATGCGTTGGGAAGTGCACAGTAAACCTACATAACGCCATTTTTCCAAGTTGCCGTTCTATTGTCCTCCATATAGAAGTCCGATACTAGCACTTTAATAGACATTGTACTTGGACTGGATTTGACTGGAAGTAATTTAATACATTTGACACAAGGTTTTGATCGTGAACTATGGCCCAACTGACACTTTTGTGGGCGTGCGCCTAGGAAAGAAAGCAAGTTCAATAAACATTGAGTTTAGAGGGAGGAAGCTCGCTGTCGGAGAAGTGACTCAGTTGTTCGTAGTCTTCAATCCAACAGTTGATGAGTTCGGATTGGAAGATAGCATCATGGAAAATGATTTTGCACTTACGGTAACATTTCATTCATTTCTTGGACTTTGAAATTCACATATTCCAAGTGATAAACACGCAGCGATGATGGTTGCTATGGACACGACGCGATGTTAAGATAAAGATAAATCAATAACTTTATCTGCGATAAATTTAAAACATCTTTCTCATCTAGATTGTAATCGGCTTCAAAAGCTGAAGCATTTCAAAATATTTTTTTTTCGTGACATTGCTCAACCTCAGATTGCCACACCCTCCGTATTATCAGATCTTGGCCCAACAGATTTCAGTCTATGTCGGTGACTCATTAATCATTTATGGCAAAAAGCTTTGATGATGAACCGCGGTTACAGTACATAGGTGACCTCTTCACATCCAAACCGGCAGAGTTGTACAATGGATGCCGTCTACTCTGCATATCCTGCAAACAGTCAATGACTAATTCTCATTTCATAAAAGAATAAAATTTCAATATTATGTGTATGTACCCCTATACACGGTGTTCATTTGTAAACTTGCCACAACGGATTTATCGAAAAATGCTGATTAAGAGAAAAAACGCCGAGACACGTCAAAAGATTTTCATCCTCTGCCCAGAGGGTCATCCAATTAAAAAATTTAAATAACAAGGGGTATCGAGTAATAGCTTGTACGAAACGTATTTTGAAGTCCTTTATTTTGACGTTTGATTTTTTAAAATCGGTCGATTGGTTTTCAAGAAAATTTGAAAAATCTTTATCTTCATTTGTTCAGATAGAAAACAAAAACACACGAAAATATCACTTTTTATCTCAATAAGTGTTCAAAATGTTGTCTGTTATTGGCCAAACAATCATATAGGCAATGTTCAAATTCCTAACGGACATTTTCAAAAACATATTGTGGGATACCATGGTAGTTTTCGATGATGCGTTGACGAAGTTCATCCAAACCATTGATTCCCAAAGTGGTCTATATCGACCTCTAGGGGTCTATGACAACCTGCAAGGGGTCTACGTCAGCGAAAAAAAAATTGGGGGTCCATGAAATGAATATGGGGGTCCACGATAGTGGATCTCAACACATACACTGATAGTACCTATTTACTTACATCATACTATCTTATAATATCAAAACATATACATTATTTATAAAAGTACCTATGAAGTAAAAAATGTATAATATATGTTTATAAAATTGTGTAAGCTGTAGGATGTTGGTATTCGCTTTGTGGTCGCAATACATTTTGAACTTGTAAAAACCTGAGAGTCGCAGTCTCAGAACTTTGCTACCTTGCACTGACTTGTTCAATTCGTCACTCTATAAATACGAATGTGGGACAAATACGTTTATTCGTTTCCTGAATCTTGAAAAGGTAAGTGCTAAGAAAATATTTTAAAAAATATAAACAGATAGTATATCACACAAATTATAGTGAGTCAGCGTTATTTTGTTTGAGAGTGCTGGAGAAAAGTAAGTACATTATTTTTTATTAAATTTTAGTTTTGTACTCGTAGTTAGCAAAGATAGATAAATTACGCCAATCATGACTTTAGTTATTAGTAGTTAAATATTCAATCATGCAAAATTACACGAGTACTCCTCAATAGTTTCTTTTTGAAAGTTTTAGCAATCGGTAATATAATTACAGTGCAATCTCCGTAATTCGAGCTAATTGTTGCAAGAATATGTTCGAATTATGGAATGTTTTCGGAAAAATCAAAAAATATTTTTAATATACAGCTGCTGGATTTTCTGTCTTATTTAAATAATTTAATTTTGCCCACAGATGACTGATGCCATGTCCGAATCTAAAAAGAAATGTAGACAGTAGAGTGTTGATTATTTGAAATTTGGCTTCATTCCATCATTGCTGGACAAACAATCGCCTATGTGCGTTTTATGCAACAAAGTTTTGGACAATGACGCTATGAAACCATCTAAACTGCAAGATCATCTGAGAAGATGCCACCCTGATAAAACAGAGAAAGATTTTAAATACTTTCAAACACTCAAAGATAAATTTCAGGAGAGACCTACACTGGACAGAATGTTCGCTTCGACGTCACAAAGAAATGATGATGGTTTGCGGGCGTCTTACAATATCTCGTTACTTATAGCAAAATCCGGAAAACCGCATACTATCGGAGAGAAGTTAATTTTTCCAGCCGTTGAAGAGGTTTTAAAAACTGTTTTACACAAACCTGCATCTGATATCATCAAAAGAATTCCCTTAAGCAACAATACTGTTGAAAGACGTATTGATGAAATGAGTTCTGATATTGAAAGCTTCTTATGTAATTATTTGCAAACGACCCATTTCTCTATACAACTGGACGAGTCAACTTTACCTGATAATGTAGCATTATTATTGGCATATGTTCATTTTATTATGAATCAAAAAATCTACGAAGAACTGCTCTTCGCAAGAACATTGATAACCGACACTAAAGGTGAATCAATATTTCATGTTTTGAAGGATTACTTCATTGAAAAAGCAATTCCTTTATCAAATATAATATCAGTAGCTACAGATGGAGCACCTGCCATGGTTGGACGTTATCGTGGATTTATAAGCTATTTAAAACAAAATGTGTCAGGGGTGTTAGCAATACATTGCGTCATCCATCGACAACATTTAGTTGCTAAAAATTTGAGTGTTAGATTGCATGAATCACTTCATTTAGTCATTGATGCAGTAAACCGAATCCGAAGCAACGCGTTGAATACGCGGTTATTTGCGAAGTTGTGTGAAGAAAATGACGAACACTTTCATCAATTACTCCTTCACACTGAAGTACGCTGGCTGTCGAAAGGCTTATGTTTGACAAGATTTTTTGAACTTTTTGAGACTATTTTAGAATTTCTGGATACTAAGGTAAAATTTTAAAAGAAAATTTAATGAAGAGGAAAACAGACATCGCCTATTTAACAGATTTGTTTACAAAATTTAATATGGTTAATTTGCAATTACAAGGCGACAATTTAAATTTGATTAAAACAAAGTCCATCTTATCAGCGTTTCTTGCCAGAGTTAAACTAATGAAGCAAAATATTGGACGGGGCGAATTTTCTCAGTTCCCCAATTTGGCACAGACAAGCTGCCAGGAAGACGACGTTTCAACTTACGTTCAACATTTAAATGCCCTCTATTCAGATTTTGAATCTAGGTTTGAGGATATTTTGACTATGGTATTACCACCGTGGATAATTAATCCATATGGTGACATAGAAGAAACGAATGTCATAATACAAGAGGAACTGACTGAACTAAGTACAAACGAAGAACTTAAGGTTCAGTTTTAAAACGGATATCAGCAACAACAACATACCTGTTACTTATCCCGTAGTATGGAATATAGCGAGGAAATTTTTAATTTCCGTTCCGTCGTCATGCCTAGTAGAAAGGGAGTTCAGCGCTGTTACCAATCTCCTAACGAAAAAAAGAAACAGACTGGACATCATTAGCCGAGGAGATTTAAGATTAACCCTTACAAAATTGACGCCAAATGTTGATAATCTATTATTAAAGCATCAGGTTCATCCTTCTCACTAAAAATATTGACTTATTGCTTATGTTATTTTATTTATAGTTTATTTTATGTTTATTGGTGTCTGACCAATAAATGCCCGCATTGGAAATAAGTGTCCGCATTGATTTTTTTAAAGAGCCCCCCTTTTTAGAAAATATTTTTTTTTAAATTATTCTGAAAATTTAATGATAGGTACACACTAAAATTCGTTAATTTTTTGCCTATTTTTAGATAACTTAAACGTAGAAGAAGCGGAAATTAATCAAACTAACAGTGAAATTATTGTAGAATATACGTTTATATAATAATTAATAAACGAACTCGCTTATTGTACTATTTTAAGTAAAAAAACTTTTTTTTATTATTTTCCACTTTTTTCTTATTTTATCCGTCTTATTTTTTTTTCAATGCGGGCACTTATTCCCAATGCGGGCACTTATTGGTCAGACACCTGTTTATTTAATGTTACGTATATTTTACATAACAGATACAAAATTTTATTTTGAGTAGTTTTAATTTAAATTCAATTGATAAATGTATAAATTAACATGTGTTTTTACTTTAAGTTTTTAACATTAAACTTCACTACAGTTAGAAATTTACAGGAAATCAATATCAGGTAAGTAGGGGGTCTACCCAACACGGAAAAACATGGCAAGGGGTCTACGACACAAAAAAGTTTGGGGAACTCTGATCCAAACTTTAAGGTGGGGGAGTAAACACAATAGATTCTATAGGCCCTCTTCGCCCTATCCATTTATCTGAAAACTCGTCGTCTAGCAATTGCTGAACCGGAAGAACATAGTGAGGAGGAGCGCCATCTTGCTGGAAATATATTTCAGACTCATCAAATATAGGATTTCCATCCTCTTCGATTTGGTTTTCAATGGTTTTAGTGATAAGCGGATTGATGGTATTTTCCAACCTATCCAAATAAATATCTCCATTCAAATTAACATTAATAAACAATGGCCCAACAACTTTGTTTCCCAAAATGCCTGCCCATAAATTAATTTTCTGGGGGTACTGGGTACCTGCAGTTATGCTTGTTAACAAATCCATTTGAATAGAATGTGCATTCGTTACTAAAGCAGATATTTTTTACATGAATACTATTATCATTAGTCGCTGCAGTCATTTGTTCACAAAACTCAACTAGCCTATCGAAATCATCTTCTCTCTTTCGATATTTTCATTTTGAATGAAATTTAAGGAGTTTGGTAGCTCTGTGTACGGAGCCTAATGAAGTACCAGTCGCAGCAACAATTTTGCATAATGAAGTAATTGGATTTATTCCAAAATGACCCAAAACCTCAACTTGAGCGGCTTCATCCCAAACTCTCCGATGATCACGTTTTTTATTTGCAACAGATCCAGTTTGAGTAAACTTAGTAACAAGGTCCGAAACATACCTATGCGAAGTTATCTACGCCGGATGTCTAGCGTTAAACGTTACGGCAGTTTGTCGAGCACATTGATTTTGGGCACCATAGATTAGAATCATTTCTACTCTTTGGCTAGTGTGTAAGCCATTTTGGAAGTAAAATCTGAAGCAATAAATTAATTTTCACTATCCCAAGATTGTTACAAAGGTAACTGACAGCAAATTAAATTCTTTCTTTCCCTTAACAACAAATAACCAAACAGGTATAACAATAAATAAAGTTCGCCCAGGATATATGTGTTGATGAAAAAAATGCGGAAGAAAATCGGGTTGTTATTTGATTGTTGCCACGTCTAATCTTCCGAATTGCTGTTTATGTTGATAGTTGCCGATTTAAATTATAAACGAATTGTAGATTTAGCAAACCTTAACGGGAAACATTTTGAACATTTATTGAAATAAAAAGTGATATTTTCGTGTGTTTTTGTTTTCTATCTGAAAAAGTTAAGATAAATAAATATTTTTATAATTTTCTCGAAAACGAATCGACTGATATTAAAAAATCAAACGTCAAAATAAAGGACTTCGAAAGACCTTTCAAACAAGCTATTACTCGATACCTCTTGTCATTTAAAATGTTTAAGGGAATGATATTGGGGGGCCGAGGGTGAAAGGGGGTGAAGTAGTTTTTAGTTGAAACGTTTTTATCGCTTGACAAAGTGACATGTTTAGCATTCGTATAGCATTAGTGTCTAGTGTTACTTAAGTGATGAGTTTCGCTTATGTCACATCTGAGTTAACTTGTGTACAACTTTGCCAATCCATACGCATGAGAACAGTTTCTTTTTTATACTGTGCGTGTTTTTGCCGTTTTTTTAGCTGAGGCATGGCGGACTAATACCAGTTACAATAAGAGCAAGTGTGTCTCTACCTCGAATTGATTTAGGATGCGAGTGTCTTGAATTTGGATCTGTCAAAGTGGGTAGCGCATTTAGAAGATCAATGTACATCAAAAACAGGTGAGTAGTTTATATAAATAAATAATGGTACCTAATCATTAAAAGATGAATTTTTATCCAACATGAGAAAAACTGTTAGGTGTCTAAATAACATATATTTTTAGTGGGTGCTTTGAAGTAAAATGGTCGATCAAAGTAACAGCTTCTAACGCGGCATCTGCAAATGCTTTTAAGGTCATCCCCACTAAGGACGACCTACTGCCTGGAAAAAAACAAATACTGACCATCATTTTCATGCCGGAAATGCAGGGATCATTGAAAGCTGTCATCGTAGTAGACATCGAAGGTAACATGGCTGTTAAATTCTAATGCCGGATGCACACGCTTAGCAAACCTTCACAAATACAAACGTGTGGATTACCTTTGACTTGCCAGGCGGATTATCAACGCTTGTGGTCGATCCGGACATGGGTCGGTTTTCGAGCACAAACCAAAAAGGTTTGTGACAAGCGCTTGAGTACGAGTCAGACGTTTGTGAAGATTTGTGCACTGAACAGACGTGCGCTATTTCATTTGATAAACGTCCGGAAACGAATAAGTGAAGATGGTGAGACTCATGCCGTTGCTCTTGACATCACGAAAGAGTACGATTCGCTGTGGCACCCTGCCGCTTATGTAAACTTCCATTCTATAGCCTTCCATAAAAGCTTTGAAGACGGGTGGCTGACTTTCTATTTGGCCACAAGATATCGGACGTACTTGACGGGTTGTTCTCTTCTTCATCCCACAGGCAACAATGTGCTCCGACATTGTTGATCTAAAATATCAACGACCACATTTTCTGTTCGAACAATCTGATCCACAGATTTGCTGTGATAGGAATTCAGACTGACAGGACGACCTCTGCGGATGAGCTGGAGAAAAGAAAACTAGCGGCGACTTCCTCTCTGACAAGAGACCTGGAAGCTATCACTGCTCGGGGACGCAACCATCTGGTACAGTTTAATGCCTCCAAAATACAGCACTGTACCTTGACGAACACTGTACATTGAAAAACAAGACAAGTACTCATCTGACACGAACACGTTAATAGCGGCAGCGCTGGATAAAAGCTAGGCTATTTACTTAGGGCTAGGAAGTACTTTTCTCCGCAGAACCAACTAACTTTGTACAAGGCCCAGATAAGACCTGGTTTCGAGTACTGCTCACACGTCAATTCAAAGGGTTCCCCACACTATGCGGGAGGTAACATTCAGGCATAAGACCGTAAGACGAGTGCTCTTGTCGCTCGACATCAACAAAGCTTCTGGTCCGGACTTGATTCCTGCGATTGTACTGAAGAGATGTGCAGCGGAGCTTGCTCCAGTTCTTTCGCGTCTCTTCCAGATATCTTATGAATCCGGCACCTTCCCAGAATACTGGAAATTTGCTCATGTACAGCCCATCCCAAAAAAAGGATCTAAAACCGACCCTTACAACTACAGGCCTATAGCTCTGCTTTCTGTTATAAGTAAAGTGATGGAGAGGTGCATAAATCGCGAGCTTCTGGACTACCTCGAACGTCACAGCCTGATTAGCGACAGGCAGTACGGTTTCCGGCACCAACGATCCACAGGGGACCTCCTAGCTTACGTCACGCAAGTGTGGAGTAAACTCATACAGTCTCATGGTGAGGCTCATGTCGTTGCTCTTGACATCACGAAAGCGTTCGATCAGCTGTGGCACGCTGCCCTCTTAAGCAAACTTCCATCCTATGGCCTCCCAGAAAAGCTTTGCAGATGGGTGGCTGACTTTATCCCTGGCCTCAAGATATCCGTTGTAATTGACGGATTCTCCTCTTCATCCCACAACGTCAACGCGGGTGTTCCCCAGGGATCGGTCTTGGCTCCAACACTGTTTCTCTTACATATCAACGACCTCCTTTCCTGCACGATTAACCCAATCCACGGCTTCGCTGATGACAGCACTCTACATGCAGGAATTCAGGGTGACAAGCCGATCTCTGCCGCTGAGCTGGAAAAAAGAAGACTAGCGACGACTTCTTCTCTGACAAGAGACCTGGAGGCTATCACTGCTTGGGGACGCAACAATCTTGTACAGTTCAATGCTTCCAAAACACAGTACTGTACTTTGACGAACAAAAAGCGTCCTAGCGCTCATACAGTTTCGATGGACGGTCGAGTTCTACCAAAGAGCCATTCATTTCGGCTGGTCGGAGTCCAGATCACCGAGGACTTGATCTGGCACGAACACATCTCTTCAATAGCTGCAGCTGCTGGGAAAAAGCTAGGCTATTTGTTTAGGGCTAAGAAGTACTTTTCTCCGCATGACCTTCTCACTCTATACAAGGCCCAGATAAGGCCTAGCCTCGAGTATTGCTCACACATTTGGGGTGCTGCCGCCCCGACTACAGTGCCGTTGCTCGATGCTGTCCAGAGGAGAGCGGTCCGACTGATCGATGACTCTTCTCTAACAGACAGTCTCGGGACTCTTTCGTACCGGCGGGCCGTCGGCGATCTAGCTCTTTTCTATCGCTACACCAACGGGCTTTGCTCCTCCGAGCTCTCTTCCATGATGCCGCCGCGCGATGTGCCTGCCAGACAGACCCGCATGACTTCGGCGTCCCATCCTAACCGTGTCAAACTTCGTACATCCAGAACTGGCCGATACGACCGCTCCTTTGTCCCGAGGGTGTCTAGATTGTGGAACAATCTACGGGAGGAAGCTTTTCCCAGTTCTACTAACCTTAGACAGTTCAAAAATCGTATTAACAAAATTTCTTTGGGATCATTATAGCAGCCGCGGTGTTCCGGCATTTAGGCTTCTGCCTGCGCGGCTGTTTCGATATAAAAAAAAAAATAAAAAAAAATGTACGGGGTACTGCCGCCACAACTACAATATCTGTGCTCGATTTTTTTCAGAGGGCAGTTGTTCGATTGATCGCTGACTCTTTTCTAACGTACAATCTCGGGACTCTTTCTCACCGGCGGGCCTTCGGCGATCTAGCTCTTTTCTACCGCTACACCAGCGGGCTGTGCTCCTCAGAACTCTGTGCTTGACAGACAGACCCGCCTGACTCCGACCTCCTATCCTAACCGTGTCGAACTTCCTAGGGTGTCGCAATTGTATAAAAACATGATTCTCTTCTACTATCATGTCAACGGGCTTTGCTCCTTAGAACTCTCCTGCATAATTCCGCTGCGCGATGAGCCTGCCAGACAGACTCACCCAACTTCGGCCTCCCATCCTAGTCATATGACATTACGTACATCCAGGACTAGACGATACGACCGCTTCTTTGTCTTTCAGCTATCGAGATTGTGGAACAATCTACCTGAGGATACTTTTCCCAGTTCTACCAACCTTAGGCAGTTCAAAAATCGGATCAACAAAGTTTCTATAAGCCCCTCGTAGCAGCTGCAGTGCCCTGGTATTTAGACCTCTGCCTACGCGGCTGCTATGATATTTTGGAGTGAAATTAGACATTTTTAATTATTTTTACAATTATGCTTACTTTTCCAATACATACTGGTATATTCTCAAAAATGTGGATGATTCATCAGACGTAGACAAGCGTTTTGTAAAGACTCAATGTTTACCGCAAATGACCAGCGTACGGACATGGCATCAGTGGCGAAGCGTCCATGTAACCATTGTTACCATTGGTAATTGTTAAAAATCTTAAAAACAAATATTTTATGACTAAGTATTGTGAAATAATTTCATTTATTTGTTTACCAACAGCGATATGTAATAGTAATTCAGTAAATAGCAAATTAGCCCCACGAAAATAATGCGCCCTTTAGTGTCTAGGTTTTGCGAACACGATGAAGCTGACTCGCCTCGACTTGGTTGTCGGTTGTTACCATTTTCATTTATGGATACACTTGGTAGTCTGTCGGGGACCGTCAGTACCGGCTCGTGTCTGATCGCGGTCGCCCGAGTGCGTGGGGCGCTACGACTATTATGTGGGCTTGTTACCATTTTTTGATTTGGTTACCAGCTGTAGTATGCGTGCAATTGAACATGGATGAGTTTCGCTGCGTAATCGATCAACTACTTAAAAAGTCATTCACCTTGTATAATTTTTAAGAAAAAAAGGAGATCATTGAAAATGAAAAACCAACGCCTATATTAGATAATTTTAAAAAGGAATAAAAAAACGTAGTTTGATATTTTAAATTAAGTTGGTATATGGAAAATCTTGTTTATGTGGTTGTAAAAAACAGATTGTATTGTTGGCGATGTCTTCTGTTTTATACAGAATAAAATGCAGCGAAGTCAACGATTTAAATAGTTTTAGGGCTTTAAAGAGGAGACATGAAATTTCTCCGTTACATAGGGAATTGTTAAGATTCATTGCCAAAAAAGATCAAAAATTTTCCGAACAGCTAGAAAAGCGACTGTTTTTTCGCACGGCTTGAATTAGTCATAGCATAAGACGATGAGGTATATCAAGTGCCCCAGACGCTCAGTCCAGGGATGTTTACCTTAATTTAAGAATAGTTTACATAAAATACCTAAAATAAGCAAAAACTTATATTTGGGAGGTTCAAAATAAACTTTTTTTAATAAGATTTTTCATATCTGGTTTTGGTAACAGTTTAGGAAAAGTCACGCGTCGCCACTGCATGGCATAATGACCTATCGTGATCTTCACATCATTGAATATCAGTTTTATTAGGAATAGAGAGTTATTCTGTGTTTTTTTGTCACAGGCAACAAAGAACCCGTGCGTTTGAGACTGATCGGAGAAGGAATCATACCTGAGCTAAGCATCAGCAGAAATGTATTGGAATTTCCCCCTGTATTACCATTTGGCAGTGCTGGAACAGATTCATTTATTGTCAAGAACGCCTCACCGTTTCCTGTGGAGTACTGGTTTCCAAATTACGATGAGTAAGAGTATTTTATTTCAATTATTGGACCAATGCCTAACTCATTTCACTTCCAACGCATCAGCGAGAAAATTACAGTGTGTTTCAACAGAAAAGGGAAGAATGACATTATATGGTCAATGTCACACAATGAGTATATTCTGTGGTCCATACATCTGTATTTACAGATCATTTCGTCTGAGTTAGTGAATTTCTATATAATCTTATACAGGGTGTAAACGTTATGGTAGTCATTATTGAAATGGGTAATAGGGGGGTCAAAACAAGTCAAAAAGTTCGCATGACCCATGGTACAAAAGTCAATAGATTTTTGTCTAAATGGCTTTATAGTTTAAAACTTTAAGTGCTTTATATCGACCACAATCACCACAATCTTAGTAATTTTTATAATCTACTCTAAAACGTTTTTAAATTGGGTAATTAACAAATAAATGGCATTAAGTTGTTCTAACTCAAAATTTGTAGTGAGTAAGTAAGTAAGTTTCATTAAATTGAATATTTAAAACACACATGACAACAGCGCGTCGGTCATCATCACTCTTATCGAACCGGCAATCGATCTGAAACGGTAACAGTGGTTAGTATGTTGTTTTGTTTTTGTTCGCGTACGTCGTCGCTTTGATTTACAATGTTCTCGAATGAACAGTTCGCTGACATGTTGTTAGTTTACGGTGAAGCTCGTCAGAATTTAAATCTTGCAGCTCAAATTTATCGCGATAGATTTCGCCAACGGGTACACCCAGACAGAAGGACATTTGTGTAAGTGTGCCAAAGACTTCGAGATACAGGAAGTGTTCAGCCCACTAATCTTCGCACGCATAAAAGACAGGTTACTGTAGAGCAGGAGGAACAAATTTTAAATATCGTGGAAATCAATGTAGATATCAGCACTCGGGAATTAGGCCGTCGCGTAGGACTATCGCATACCATAGTCCATAGAATCCTACGGGAAAATTTGCTTGATCCCTACCATGTACAACGAGTGCATGCCTTGTTACCAGAAGACTATCCTCGCAGACTAACATTCTGTCAGTGGTTTTTGCACAAAAACATTGAAAATCCGGATTTTTTTAAAAACATTCTATCGACGGACGAATGTACTTTTACGCGAGATAGGATATTAAATTTCCATAATACTCACACGTGGGCCTCATACCATTCGTGAAAGTCGTAATGAAGCTTGTGTGGAAAGTGGAGGACGACATTTTGAACACCTTCTTTAGATACAATAAAGTGCAGTGTGGGTTTTAAAAAGAAAAACAATGTATGTATCAAATTTGTATTCCCTATTTATAAGTGGATTTTTTTAATACGTTCAATAAACTTTCACACACCAGGTGAAGCGCTGAGACAGTTGGTGGTAAGTCCGTTTTTTTTAATTGTTTCCATTTTACGAGTACATTATCAAATAATGAATAATACCTAAGAGCCAAAAATAACAAACTCCATCTTTATTTACACTGCGTTCCGTCGTAATTTGCGTCTGGCATTGCGGCGTTGTCAGATTTTATTTTACTTTAAAGTCGCTTTTCTCTAAAAAAATGCCGTTTTGACCCCCATGTTGTATGAATCTTTTTGCTTCTTTTAACCCCCTCTATCACCCATTTAAATAATGACTACCACAACGTTTACACCCTGTATATCAATAACAAATGAGGTCTTGTCTACATGCTGAATAGGTATCATATTTCACGATAAATACTGATGGGATGTTTACATTTAATCTAGACTTCGGCAAAACGGAGTACTGAATTACAAAGAGTTTCAACGATCTATTAAATTTATGAACTCAGTATAGGGGGTTAATTTCAGTGAACTAGTAATATAGCTTTCGTATAGCACGGACAACTGTTTCGTGCTTTTTGACAGCTCATCAGCATAGTCTACGCTTGGTCTCAGGTAGCACAATGAACGAAAGCTAAGCAACTATTCTAGTAAGACAGCACAAAGTGCCAGTCGAGTCTGGTAATAACGGTTAATTTGTTAAGAGGTACAGGATCCGATTTTAAAAAAAAAACACAAAAATTTGAAAAAACGATTAAATCTTTATTTGAGTCGATAGAATGGTCGATATAATTTAATGTTTAAAGATTATTTCATGTCAATGTTGGCCGCGGCTCCGCTTTAGATGGCCCATGCGCAAGGTCCAATTTTGGCACACTCTCTCCAACATATCGGCCGGTATCTCACGAATAAATGCTTCAATATTGGCTTCCAGTGCGTCAATCGTTGCTGGTTTATCCCTGTAGACATTAGCCGTAACATGGCCCCACAAGAAATAGTCCAACGACGTTAAATCACACGATCTAGGCGGCCAATTGACGGACCCCAAACGTGAGATACACTGTTCACCGAACTCGCCTCTCAATAGGGCCATTGTTTCGTGTGCGGTGTAGCATGTCTTGTTGAAACCACATGTCTGCCAAGTCCAGCTCTTCCATTTTGGGTAAAAAAATGTTTGTTATCATCGCACGGTAGCGCTCGCCATGCACAGTTACGTTCCGGCCATTGTCGTCTTTGAAGAAGTACGGCCCGATGATGCCACCGGCCCATAATCCACACCAAACAGTGATTTTTTCGGGTTGCATTGGTAGCTCTTGCAATGTTTCTGGCTGGTCTTCACTCCAGATGCGGCAATTTTGCTTGTTAACGTACCCATTCAACCAGAAATGAGCTTCATCGCTGAACACAATTTTTCGATAAAAATGTGGATCTTCCTCCACTTTGCCAGCGCCCATTCACCAAATTGGAAACGTTGTGGGAGGTCGTGTGGCTTCAATTCTTGCACCAGCTGTATGTTATAAGGTTTTACACCCAAATCCTGTCGCAAAATTTTCCACGTAGTGGAGTAACAGAGGCCCAATTGCTGCGAACGGCGGCGAATCGACATTTCACGGTCATCACTAACACTGGCGGATACAGCCGCAAAATTTCTTCAGTCCTTACTCTACGTCTGCGTGTTGGTGGTTTAATGTCCAATAATGTAAACTGGGTTCGAAATTTAGTCACAAGTTTCCGAATAGCTCCCTCAGTAGGCCGACCAAATTTCCCATCAATTGGAAGCAGTGCTCGATGCACTCTCTTAACCGAGCATGAATTTTGATAGTAAAATTCAATAATTTGCAAGCGTTGTTCGTTCGTAAGTCGATTCATGGTTAAATTATAGACCAAACTGAACAAGTTTGACAATGACACAAGACACGATTCACGCGTCATCTGTGAAAAACAGTGTTGCTAAAAAGGTACTAGCAAAAAAATCACCCATTAGTTGACACTTCGTGCTATCTCAGTGATTCATATTTATAGAGCCCACAAAATAATGTATCAAGTTCCTACAAAAATGTTCTGTCCCTCCCTTACAACGGTACATGCCCCTAAAAAGGATGAAATGGAACTCGGTTTTCCTTAAATAACCTATTTGGGGCGTCACACAGAACAACTGTCATTCAGTGTAGGCCAGTGTAGGTGGCTGATGCAATTTAGCGTATGGGCAGAAGGTGTACACGGTGGCCAATATATAACTGACTGATTTAAATTGCGCACCATTTTTTATACACGCATTTCAGTAGGTGGCGGCGTAGTAGTTGTTTAAAGCACAATTCATCATGGAACGCTACAGGGTCCCACAACGTGTCAGTATTGTTAAACCGTTTTCTTAAAACATGAGTCGATTGTTGCTACGATTCGGAAGCTACGAAAAGATTTCGGTCGAAATAATGTGCCCAGTGTCAACACCATTCGTCAGTTGGTGCGGGAATTTGAACAAACAGGTGAAGTTAAAGACTTTCCAATGTCGTGTTCGATCTGTTAGTACTCCGGCAAATATCAAGAGAGTTAGTGAAATTGAGATGTCTACCAGACATCGTTCTCAAGAACTGGATATTCGTCGCACGTCATTATGCCCTATTTTAAAAAAAGACTTGCATTTGCGGCCATACAAAGTTAAGTTAACCCAAGAACTACAGCCTAGTGACCATGAAAGTCACCGACAATACAGTCATGCAATAGCAACTTAATACCCAAAATAACAATTTTTACCGACAGCTGATAATGAGCGATGAAGCCTTCTTCGATATGAACGGATTTGTTAATAAGCAGAATTGTCATATCTGGGCATTAGAGAACCCTCGTGTCATCCATCAATGACCACTACATCCTCGTCGAGTCGAAGTTTGGTGCGGAGTTTGGTATGGAGGTATCATTGCACCTTACTTCTTTGAAGATGCTGTAATTCTCTTACTGTCACTGGAGAGCGCTACCGTGATATGGTGCAAAACTTTCTGGCTTCTCAAATCCAATAATGTAACCTGCAAAATATGTGGTTCAAGCAGGATGGAGCAGCTTGTCACACAGCTAGGGAAACAATGAATCTTTTGCGAACAATATTTCCAGGACGTTTAATTTCTCGATTTGGTAATGTCAACGGATTTAATGGCTCCTGGCTTTTTTTCATGGGGATTTTTGAAAAATAGGGTTTATGCCAACAAACCAAATACTGTAGAGCAGCTTAAGAACAATATTACGTAAGCGATTGAAAATATTCCTCCCGAAACCTACCAAAAACTGATCGAAAATGTAATCATGAGGGCTTGGGTTTAAGCGGACATTTGTCTGAATTATTTTTCATGCATAAATTTTTTAGTTTCAATAAAATATTAAGATGAAAAAATTGACGTATTTTAATTTATTTCACAGATATTCAAGATACAAACCAGTCAGTTACATATACCCTATAAAGTCTTGGTAAAAATAAGTGGTGGTTGTCAATGTTGTCGCCTTAGAGCTGAGCTACGCCGTTCCTTTTGATGGTACAATTCCATGGTTTCGTCTCCGGTGTCAAAACCGATTTCTTCGATTCGTTCACGATTATTTTTAATTTCGATTCCTTATCATCCCTATTGCGGTAGCGACAATATTCGAGTCCGAGTCATATCGTTCGAGAGTCGGAATATAAGCCTCCATAATAGGAATCATCGTAATCAGATTTGAAACCACCGGAACCGACTCGTACGAGATGATCAAAATAGTTTACTTCAAGATGATCGAACACGATTTCTTCGAAATGATCGGGATCGATTCCATCAATTATTTCTTCTGCGGTATCTTTCATTTGGAACCACCCATCTCTAGTTGCGAGGCCTCAACTGGTTACTTTGCTCTTAAGATTTCGTTAAAATCAAACAGCGTCATTCAAGAATTTTTCAAGAAAAAGAGATTTCTAGTGTCGTTTTCTAGGGGACAATTGTTTCACAGGGGACACATTTTATAAGAACTTTTCATATTATTTTTTGTATTCTATATGCATACAAGAGATTGGCCACTCATTCTGGGAACCTTGTATATTGTCTTCCAGAGAATACAGTGAAGAGCAATTCCTGATCCACACCTATCTCGTCTACCATAACATTTCAACGCTTCTAATACCGGAACGACGACCTGGCGAAAAGCTCCCGGAAATATTTAATATGACGTTCTCGCAGATCAAGGACGCGATCAGACAGAAACTGTTGGAGGCATCTAAAGAAGAAACCCTTCAAGATCCGCTGACAATATGTGATAAAGAACAACTCGTCGCCATGGTTTCTGGTATGACATTTTTACTTAAGTTTTTCTATTGTGGCTCACATCTACTTTTATTCTTCCCAGTAGCTCTGACCTCATAAGAAAGTCGATCAGATTATTTGGAGAAAGGTCTTCGACTCGGAGCGATACCCCTACAAGTGTGTTTTAACCGACTCTGACGATTACAGGTTTGCACAAAATGAGCTTAAGCGTCTCTTGCCCGTCCATGAACACTCTGCACTCAGCGTCTTTCGCAGTCCCAGTAAAGATTTGAAACTGTTTCTATTTAACCGCAGCATTGATTATGTCACCCTCTTTGTTAAAATTGATCTAATCACAACCACGCGGCCGGTTATAGCCTTTTATGCTAGAATCCACTTTCTTACCTTTTGCGGATTTTGCCCATTATTTTCCTACTTTTTGTTATGTACTCGTACCTTTCTCCGCATGATCATTTTCTCTTTTGATCCTTTGGGCCTGAAGTACCACAGCAAGTGGCTATAACCGGCCGCGTGGTTGTGATTAGATGTCTCCTTGGAAATTCGAGGTCTTCTAGCCATTTTATACTACAATGTGTAGGTTGGCTCTTGTTGTGGACTTCGTGTGTCGATTTTTCCCTCTCCATCTTCGTTTCCTCAGGTTACACCCGTATCCGGTTGTGTGGACATGTGACTTTTGTAGTTGCATATGTACATTCATTTCGGGTCTGATGAAGCCAACCAGCAGAAATACGTATCGCTCGGGTTACCTATCCTATTTTCTGCTCGAATCCAATGTCCTCCTTTTTACGGATTTTGACCATTATTTTCCTACTTTTTGTTATATACCTTTCTCCGCATGATCATTTTCTCTTTATATATATATATATATATATAGTTGTAGTTGCCATTCTTGGTGGTTACGTCATCAACGCCATATGAAATAAGTAAGATCTCTTGATCAGGTCTCCGTACCATGGGCGGAACACTGCATAGACTAATCTTCAGCGCATCTGGTACTTCCGCATGAAGTGGGAAACAGGGGACTGCTGTTTTCATTCTCTTCCTGGAAGTACTCTAATAAATTTAGCAAGTGCTGTCGGCCTTTTCCTGTTGATCGTATTTCCGCGCATTGTACAATTTTATATTGAAGATTGATAACAGGACAACTCGAATTGCACGCCAATGTCAAGTAAGTTGTCACTCCGACAAATATCATAAATTGAAGGGCACTCATACGTAACGACAAGGTTTTCGAGACGGAGACACATAACTAAAAAACGTATGCCTTTGAGCTAACCCAACAAACATTCACAGTCAGGGGTAGGTTGCATGTGTATGTATGAGGAAGATAGAGATATATAAAGGGATACTGGTGGTCTTACTTTGACCCTCCAAGAACGGTGACTACAACTATAGTTGCCTTAGCATGGGTTAATCTGTTAACATCCTCCAATACCGATGAATCTTTTCGCTCATTCTTGCATATATAATTTCTTTAGTCTCATCGCGTTCCTAATCGCTGAATCTGACCCTATTTATGGTGTAATAGCCTCACTATTTGCCAGAATATCGGCTGTTTCGTTCCCTCTCAGACCGGTGTATAGATACATGAGACGGATCTTATTTCCTGTGCTACCAAGAGCTTCTTACTTACTCCATACATCATAATGATCTGCTTGCCCCAAGATAACGTTGGTTTCTGGTTAAATTTGTATATAGAATATTCTAGCTGAATCTACCCTAATATAGCGAATATTCTGTGTCAAAGTACAGCAGGGTGATATATTAACTATTGGGATAGTAGCACACGTTATGGACCTACTAATCAACGCGCCGTGTGCTGCGCGAGTCTGAATCCCGTCCCAAGAGAACTTTTCTCCTGGCTATGGATGTTGTGATTGCCTGTAGATGGTAGGCGGTCTCTGATTGTCGAGCTTGGAGGTACCTCCCGGCGGATCTCAGGAGGGGCCAGAATGTGTACACGTTGCATGCACGTTCCCTCACTAGAGTCCGTGTGGCGTTCCCCTCTTTCCGCTGTATGCTCTTATAGCCACACAGTACCCACCCAAAGGTGTTTAGGCCTTGGACCTTCGTGCTGGTTCAAGTATAAAGAGTGTATAGATACATGAGGAGGAACTTATTTCCATCTCCTGTGCTGCCAAGAGGTTCTTACTACATATATCATAAAGTTATGCTTGCCCCAAGCTAACGTTTATTTGTTGTTAAATTTGATTAATCTAATATATATATATATATATATACGCAACACCCATTAACATTGAATTTTGATAAAAACTTGTAAACATATTTGCTTTTATGGAAGTACGGGTGAATGCTGACAAAATGTTGAAGGCATTCCGAGCAGTACTTTTTTTGTCATATCAGAATCCAAACAATATGAACATGTTTACTTAATATTCAGTAATTTTTCTGTATTGGTTTCATTTGTTTCATTGTTGTTATATTGCATTATCATGCCTAGAGTTCGCAGACGCGTTAATTTCACTCAACTTTCCGAGTTTGAGAGCGATCGAATAATTGGGTTACGTGAAGCCGGATTTCTTTTAGAGAAATCGCAAATCGGGTGAATCGAAACGAAGCTATTGTAATGAGATGTTGCCGACGTGGTTCAAAAAAGACCGACATCGATGAGTTAGAGTTAGAGGTACTTTACATCAAAGACAGACTACAGAACGACATGATCGTTATTTGAGGTAACTAGCACTTAATTTTCCACAAAAAGAGCAGTTGCGAACCAGTGGTTTGATGTTGTTGGAAGGGCAATAGCATTGAGGACAGTTTATCGCCAAATAAGGTATTTTGAACTGTTTTCATACCTTCCCCATCTTGTACTACCTCTGACCCCGCAGCATCGTCGGCAACGATTGGTATGGAGTAGGGAGAGAGTTGAATGGAATGTGGAATGGAACTCAGTCGTGTTCAGCGATAAGTCCAGATTCTCTTTGGGCACACATGATGGCCGTGTAAGAGTAAGGAGGAGACGTAGTGGAAGATGAAACGTCCAATATTCCATCGGACCGCATATGAATCCCACTGTGGGTGATATGGTATAGGGTGCCATTGCTTACGATTAGTATTCATTCGAGGTAGCATGACTGCCCAGCGCTATATCCACAAGCTTTACAACCCACATCTGCTCCCGTTTTCGGAAATACTTTTTCATCTCATATCGCACGTGTTAGTTTAGACTGTTTAGAAGCGTCCGGAGTACATCTGCTTCAGTGGCCTCCTCGATCTCCAGACCTTTCCCCCATCGAACATGCATGAGACATGATGGGAAGAACGTTGCAAAGTTCAAGGTACCCATCACAAACATTGGAGGTTCTACGAAACCAAATTTAGATGGCCTGATGTGTAGAGAACAGAGAAGCTTCAACACACTATTAACATTGAGGTGGAATATATCATCTATTTCGAGTTAAAATTTTAATCACTTTCTATTTATCAGTAGACCAAAAACTTGTAAAAGTAAGCTCAAAATTACAGCACTCCTAGTCGGTGTTGCATTTTATGTCATTTAATACCTATAGCTATTAACTATTAGATACTTTTGAATATGTCTTTTGTTATTAGATTATTTGGATGGTTTGGAAGATCATCTCGAAACCGGTGATACAGACGGTTGGACCACAGTGTGTGACGAGGAAACTAAATTATCAATCATGGAACCAGTGAAAGTTGATGAAGATGCGAATACCAGGAATGCATTTTTTGTGATAGTACATGGCGGACCATCAACAGGTTTGCAAGTTTAATATAACAATATCTCATTAAATAATATGTTCTGTGGTTCTAGAAACCTCAGTTATTTTTCTCTGTACAAAAATCAGGATACAACAAAAGTTCTATTTTTGTCTTATATACAAATAATTGGATTTAATTTTACCTATGCTTGATATATCCCATTTTTCCATATTTCAGAATATCACAAAGTGGCTTGCACTATAAGCAAGAAGCTGCGTTTTCCAATGTACAGCGTAAACTATATGATACTCGAAGAGCTTGTTAATAACACTTCTCATACAGCTAAAGAGATTAATGCATGTATAAACAAACGAATCGGAATTGTTCATGATCAGCAAAATTACGAAGAAGATTTTGGATTTCCCTTTGAAGGTTCGACTTCAGCTTGTTACTTTTTATTTATATTTCAATACATCTCAATGTATCAAGAAACTTGAATTATTATGCTAAAACCGAGCTTACCGGTAAATGATGTTTGATCCTAATTATGTGAAGGTCCCGTCGAAGTAAATACTTCTTGTAGTACCCTCGTATCTCACCAAACCCACGAGTTCAAAGCGCGCACGCAGCGAAGGAAAGCAGCTCATCGCGCCCACCTACCTTCTTCCTCTCTGGCCGCCTATAGCCTCTCATTTTCTTCAAAGCTAAGTTGTAGCAACAATTGGGTGATACATAGGGAGCGAGTAAGTTATTTACTTCCACAATACCTTCACATAATTAGGATCGAACATCACATAAAGGTAAGTTCGTTTGAACACGTAATTATGTTCCAGTCTCGTCGAAGTAAATACTACTTGTAGATGTTCAAAGCAAGTTCAAAGCAACTAAATGTAAATTTCGATTGTAACAACTCAAGTTTTAACAACAGGTAATATGACGTACATTGGTTCAAAAATTACAATCCGTTACATGTTAACAAGCAAATAACGTAATAACATAGTTATGTTTAAGGTGTGGATACTTGGTTCACCTCAAATGCTGCTCGAGCAAAGCTATTGTTTGGCATAAGAGATTTGAGAGGTGTCTCAGAAAACGCGCTCCAGCCCGCCGCAAGTCTGAGCCTACTATAATTTAGCCGACGCAGAGGTAGACGCATTTCATGTACTGTAGGCTGTCAATTGTGACACAACTAAATCACTCTCTGCTGAAACTGACTTTATCCATCTGGGATCAGAGGCGCCAGGATAAAGTTACTTGACAGTGACGAATAAATAATTTGACTGCACAGAACTTTGGGCGTAAGATACGGTAAAACTAAAAGTGGTTGCCACATGAGTGGCCCTGAGACATTCAAAAACTGAGAAATCCCAATTTCAATATTATTCAACCCGATCCGGATGTTGTCTGTTGCAATTAGCTTGCACATTCTCACCGGAGGTAGGGCTAGCAGTGTTACTGATTTCCTCATCCGAATATCTATAAAGATCACCAGCAACCCTTTTGAATGGTTGAGAACGACCACAGTATCTTTTTCGGTTGAGATGGCCTCAGCCTGTAAATACCCTTCAAAAACCATCTTATGCCTGCATCGTTAGTAGCATTTTGGCTTGAATTTTAAGTTAGGAAAACAGACATGCATTTCTTCCCGACCAAGGTCCTACCGTAATCTAAGCCCACAACAACATGAACGATTATAGATGCTGATCGGTATGACAGCTTTCCAGTGACGACAACCAGGGTAAGCTTCAGAATTAGTGGGAGCGGCGTCCTGGGTCCCTCCATCAGATCTTCGCGTTACTTCTAGAAGTGAAATTTCAGGGACACCGAACATCTGAACCAAAATCAGAACGTTGACAGGTGTAGCTCCCACTACGTTTTCACGTCCCACTGTAAGACAGTAAGATTTCTCTCTTTACACAACTGCAGACGTGGGAACTAGAAGCTCCCCATTCTATTGATGTAGGATATAGTTGTTGCATTATGAGTGGAGTATAATATTAGACAGCCCATCAAGTCTTTAGCAAAGCATTCACAACAGAAGAAAACTGCTAGTAGTTCTAGTTGATTAGCATCCGGGAACTTCTTCTCGGGTGACCAAAAACTGTGAGACTTTTGCCCTGACCATTGTTGACCATACCTTGTTGCTACGTTGTCCCAAACGTTTTCAGTGTTGTTATTTATCGTAGGATCTTAGCCATCACAAGCTAAGTACAAGTTACCATCACAAGCAACCGAGTTCAGTGTTGAGTCGTTATCCCAAACGTCTTCATTCGACCTTCGCGTGGAGCTGACCATCACAAGCCAGGTCCACGTTGCTATCCCAAGCAACCGAGTCCAATGCTTCCACGTTATCCCAAACGTGTTTGTTCGTCCTTGGTGTGGAGCTGACTAGCACAAGCCAGGTCCACGTTGATATCCCAAGCAACCGAGTCCAATATTTCAGCGTTATCCCAAACGTCTTTGTTCGTCCTTGGTATGGAGTAGGCTATTACAAGCTAGGTCCAGGTAGCTATCCCAAGCAACAGAGTCAGAATGTTATCTCAAACATCATGTGAGGCACAGTCTGCAACGCCGGTGAGGCGTCCATACTAACATTCACCTCTTGCACCTAAAACAGATCGGTTAGTCGGCAATTACCTAATGGTGACACCCCTTCAGAGGAAGAGGCCTTGACGCCACTTTCTAATTTTGCTGCGCGACCAAAGGAACATTGAAGGCGACCGACTGTATTGTTCAGCGATTCCTTGACACTGCTGAAAACGTTAAAATCTGTTCGCGAACCCAATGGACATGTTAACCGTTTGACACGAGAACAAGGAATGAGGGGTTATAGGCGGCCAAAGAGGAGGACTGTACGGGGCGCAGTGAGCTGCTTTTCTTCGCTGCGTGCGCGCTAACTTGTGGATTTGGTGAGATACAAGGATACTACAAGTAGTACAGGGTTCGGCAATGAAACGGGAAGATTTCGTAAATAATTTTATTATCGAAAAAATATTTTTTTTGTAATTAGTAATACCATACTGGGAAATAAAAGAGTAGCCATTTGATATACAATGTTAAAAAACATTATTTTCTGAAAATTACATCTGTCAAATGGCCTCCGTTGACACGTATGCATTCATGGAGTCGAGCCTGGAAGTTCTGCATAACTCTTCGCAGCATATCAACAGGTATTGCTGCAATCTCGTCACGAATTCGTTGTTTGAGGGCCGGGATTGTCCTGGGTGGATCAGTTTCAAACACTTTCATTTTCAGATAACCCCATAAAAAGGAGTCGCAGACAGTAAGGTCGGGAGACCGAGGGGGCCAGGCAATATCCCCGTTTCGAGAAACGACACGCCCTGGGAACAAAGCATTCACCGCATTCATCGAAATTCTTGCAGTGTGGCTTGTTGCACCGTCTTGTTGAAAAAGTGTGTGTTCATTAACTGGAAAGCGGTAGAGTTCAGGTGTGAGGAAGTTCCGAATCCTTGAAACGTATCTCTCAGAATTAACGGTAACGGCATTTTCAGCCTCATCCTCAAAAAAATACGGACCGATGATTCAATTTGCAGACGTTGCACACCATACTGTCACTTTCTGAGTATGAAGAGGTGATTCATGAAGCATACGAGGGTTAGCCTCCGCCCAGTATCTAAAATTTTGTCTGTTAACAAAACCGGAGAGGTGAAAATGTGCCTCATCGCTCATCCACAAGTTGTTAACCTGGTCATCAATTTCTTCCAGCCTTGCAAGCATAACCTCACAAAATCTGAGACGCTATTGATAATCATCCGGGTGAAGAGATTGAACAACCTGTATTTTATACGGGTGATATCGAAGATCTTGATGGAGAATCCTTCTCACCGATCTGTCACTTAATCGAAGGCGTGTGGCGTGACGGATGGCCGATCGACGTGGACTTCTTAAAATGGCTTGTCGAACACGTTCAATATTTTCAGGGGTTCGAATCGTTCTGGCACTACCACCTCTTTCTCTAGACGTCGATCCAGTTTGCTCGAGGTTGTTTAGCCACATTCGAATCGCATGGTCTGACGGAACCGGTTGGTTACGCGGTATGTTAAAATGCCGTCTAAAACGACGCGTTTGCACTAAACTCTCGCCATTTTGGTAATAAGCCTTAATTGCGTAACCGCGATGCTCACCCGTCCAACGCTCCATTGTAGACTAAATGGCAAGCCACTCGGGTCCCGACAGGTCTGTGACTGTCCTCACTAACACTTCACCGCCCGCTGCAAGCCCCACCCCAAATCTTCCCGTTTCATTGCCGGACCCTGTATTTACTTCAACGAGACTGGAACATAATAAACGTCAAAAGATGTCAGGAAAACCCTCGCAGAAACTTATAGAGTGCCTTCTTGCATCTCGCAATAGACATTTTTCGTTCGAAAAAATCTCGCGTAGCTAAGACCATGCGACAATGAATGACACATTAGAGATTTTTTCACGGTCTGACAAAATTGCAGACGACAAAGTAGCAGTTTGCTTGCGAATACTTGTTTTGTCGTTACTGACCACCTTTTTCCAACATCCGCCTTGTTATTATTAAATAATTTTACAAAAATGACACACAGACAGTGAGAGATGATGAGAAGAGTCACAAAAACCAAACACCAGTGTCGCATTTTCGAGAATATGTCGCAGAGAAAAACCCCTATACATAAATCGTTTGCATAAACGAGCTTTAACAGTCATAGTACTTTGGTCTAGGTTTTGTTTTTGAGTTGACTTCACTGTAAGAGATAGAAAATCTTGGGATAATTTTAGACGAGTACGACATACTGCTGAGGAAAATAGGAATGGCACAGACTGGCAAACAAATACCTAAACAAGAAGCGCCTGCTGATAAAAAAGGAAAAAAGGGATCGGAAAAGAGTTCTGGAAAAAGCTCTGAGTTGAAAAGCGGGAAACAAAAAAAGAAAGATGCTGACGGGCCTACGTTGATTAATATTCCTATGGAGTTGTTCGTGTCTTTGCTCAAGGATAAGTTTAGCAGGTTTGAACTCGCATGTTTAGTTTTCAACTCGCTCTTTATTTATGTATATTAATTAAGATGAGACTCAAAACAGATTCTTGAGATGGCCCCCTATCTTATGTAGGTATAATCCGCATTGCTCTTTGCAAAAAAAAAAATAAAAAAAGCGTTATTCTGTGTACGCAAGTAGGTGAAAATCTGACGATCACTACTTACCAATGTTTCGCCAAGATGATTTTCATCCTCATCGCGCAAGATGAAGACGATACAGAGATCCTTACATTATCTAGCCTATAAGTATTCACAGAGCAAACCAGCAATGCATATACAGGGTGGCGCATCGAAAACGAAACATGCATTTACTGTAAGCTCAGTTTTTGGCAAAAAATCACGTTAGCCCGTGCAGCCCCCTAAGCGGGGGTGACACCACCCCCAAAATCTTAAATGGAAAGGGGGGTCGAGTGATACCTTATTTTAAAGGTCTTTCAATTCCCTTTATAATGATATAAAATTAATGTACTTCAATTCAGTAGTTTTGAAGATTTATTGATTTAAAGCTTAAATAAAACTAATACATCATCATTAGTGGAGATCAATACATTTGGCAGCAAAGTAATTTAAAAATGAAGAATGAACTGACCCGTTAGGCAAGTAAATTTTGAAAATGGCCACCATAACTCTCCATGCAAGACTAAAGATTTTGGTGAAAACGTTGCCGCACATTTTGCAATATTTGAGGAGTAATTTAAGGCACTCATTCACAATTCTTTGTCGCAGGTCTTCTAATGAGGTTGGCTGAGTAGCATACATTTTGCTTTTTAAATGACCCCACATAAAGAAATCCAAAGGTGATAAATCTGGCGATCTTGGGGGCCATTCAATGGCACCTCTTCTACCAATCCATCGATCTGGAAACGTCTGATCTAAATATTGTCGAACACGTAATGCGTAATGAGGTGGGGCACCATCCTGTTGGAACATCAACCTATTCGCAATTTACCGCCGATCATTCTGATTTTCAATTATGGCTGTTAATGCAGTATCTATGGCGTCTTCCAGTAATTCCAAATACATTTCACCGGTCAAATTTCCAGGTAAGAAAAAATAACCAATTAAATGATCGCCAAAAATACCAGCCCAAACATTTAATTTTTGTGGCTGCTGTGTATGAACCTCATGATAAATTCTGGGATTAGAATCGGACCAATATCGGCAGTTATCACGATTTACTACGCCATTTAAGAAAAAGGAACATTCGTCGGAAAAGCAAGTGTTGAATAGAAAATGTTCATCGTGTATAATTCGTTCACTCATATCTTCACAAAATTGTAATCGCCGATAAAAATCGTCTCCATTAAGTTCTTGTACCAGGTGAATTTCATACGGATGAAAAATATGGGCCTTTAGAATCCGTTGGACAGTACTTTGACTAACACCACACACAGTCTTCAATTTGCGGGTACTTATCGTAGGATCTACATAAACTTGCCCTAGAACCCCCAATTCTATTGCTTCGTTCCTTATGGGATTTTCAATGTTGCGTTTTTTGGCGACTGACCCAGTTTCCCGAAATTTAGCTGTAGCTAATATGTTCTAGAACTTGTAAGTTCTGGAACATATTTTCGATGCACGTTACTGTTCTCATGTCGCTCATTAAATATTTCTAGTGTTCTATTAGCGCACTGATTATTTCCGAAAAATATTTCGATAATTTCAACTCTTTCTGTTGTGGAATATACCATGGTTAATTTATGTAATAAAGCGTTACAAGGTATTTTAGCAACAAAGTTTGGTCAAATCAATCGCAAACTATGTACTAAATTCCTATTTAAAATAAGTACGAGATATTTCCATATCTTTCTTCAATAAATAACTTTTTAGCCACAAAAAAACGCTCCCATAGCTATTTTCAACAACAAAATGATAAACAAACCACGGGCGTAGTGAAGAAAAGCATTTACTTATTAAGTAAATTCTTTTAGTCAAATTTCTTCTGAAAGTAGTACAAACTAATCTGATGTACCTACTAAAGTCTACTTTAAGCTTTAAATCAATAAATCTTGAAAACTATTGAACCGAAGCTCATGTATTTTACATCATTATAAAGGGTATTGAAAGGCCTTTAAAATAAGGTATCACTCGACCCCCTTTCCATTTAAGATTTTAGGGTTGGTGTCACCCCCGCGCAGGGGGGTGCACGTGTTAACGTGTTTTTTGCCGAACTTGTGTCCCCCTCGAAAACAAAATCGACGGGTCTGAGCGTTTTTCAAAAAAAAAAACTGAGCTGCCAGTAAATGCGTCTGTTTCGTTTTCGATGCGCCACCCTGTACAATGATAATAATATTTGTTCACATCAATTATAAAATGTGAATCAACTGATATGCCACAAAAGGAAAATATTCTTATGGATGGATATCATTCTAACACTTATATCATATACAAGGTGTGCATTCGAAAACTTTCCACCACGGTTTTATCAAAAACCACTGATTAAAAGGAAAAACGTCAAAACACGTCAAAAGATTTGTCAAAGAGGACAACTTTTTGACCAAAAACTACTTCACCCTCTCTGCCCCCCAGGGTAAAAAAAAATTAAATGGCAAGGGGTACCAAGTAATAGGGTTTTTAAAAGGTCTTTCGAAGTTTGCATTTTTAAAATCGGTTGATCCGTTTTCAAGAAAATTAGAAAAATCTTTAAATTCTTTCTTTCTCTTAGCTACAAATAACTAAACATGTATAACAATAAATACAGTTCGCCCAGGATATCTGTGTTGATGAAAAGAATGCGGAAAAAACAGGTTGTTATTTGATTGTTACCACGTCTAATCTTCCGAATTGCTGTTTATGTTGGTAGATTCCGTTTTAAATTATAAACGAACTGCAGATTTGGCAAACCCTAACGGGCAGCATGTCTGTCAGGAATTTGCACATCGTCTATATCATTATTTGGCCAATAACGGGCAACATTTTGAACACTTATTGAAATAAAAAGTGATATTTTCGTGTGTTTTTGTTTTCTATCTGAACAAATTAATATAAATGAAGATTTTTCTAATTTTCTCGAAAACGAATCGACTGATTTTAGAAAATCAAACGTCCAAATGGACTTCGAAAGATCTTTCAAACAAGCTATTACTCGATACCCATTGTCATTTAAAATTTTTAAGGGAATCACCTGGGGGGCCTAGGGTGAAAACAAGTGAAGTAGTTTTTGGTTAAAAACTTGTCCCCCTTGACAAATCTTTTGACGTGTCTTGGTGTTTTCTTTAATCAGTGGTTTTCGATAAATCCGAAGTGGGAAGTTTTCAAATGAACACCCTGTGTGATAGTAGTTACAATAAAATATTGTATCATATTTATATTAGTAATGCGAAAAAGATATTTATATGTTACAGTTTTCGAAATTACATGATGCTTATATTCGTATTCAATAGCCACTTGTATAAAACCATTTTTAATAATGATATTCGGTTTTTTCTAATAGATGTTAATAAGTTATGATACAATTTAGTACCTAAGTCTATAAATGATTTCACCATGATTTCCTTTATTGGTGTTGCAATTATTGTTTGTTTATTTTTATCTCTAGTACCAGTATTAATATCATAATTTTATACACGGTCGAATCTTCGTTTTTATGGAATTCTAATTAAGCAAAATATCAAAATAATTTTTTTTATTCAAAAAATTTGATCCTATAAACAGCGATTTTGAGAGATATGTAAAGGTCTGTTATGCACTGTTTTAATCAATATTTTTTATTATTTGTGACGGATTTACATGGTTGTTATTCGTCGATCCATAGATAATAATTCCATAGGTCATGTGGCATTCAAATAGTGTTTGATATATAGTAAACTTTTTAATGCATAGACACTGCTGAAATGGATATGTTTGCTCTCCGTGTCTATAACCATGGCCAACCGCAGACAGCGTTGTTTCGTGCGCATCGGCAACTCATTAGTCCAGTATAAGAATTGAGTCTAGTCTTGGAGAGAGAAATAAAATAACTCTGTAATGTTTAGTATGTAAGATGGATAAATTTTAACTGATTGATTGTTGACGCCAAAATTAAAAATATTTTTCATTTCTAGAATCCTACATGTCTATTTTATAACTCTTTGAAACTGGTATGTAGTACAAATTTTATGTTCAGAAATTAAAAAAAGTTGAGCTTTAATCGTATATCTGGATATTTATTGTATCTAACAAGGTACGGAAAAACTCAGTTCTACTAATTACAAAAATGGTTTAGATTTGATACAATTTTTAGCAATGTGTTTGGTGTACTATATGCTTGTGGTGAGGAAGGTGAACCAATTTCCTAACCTTGTACTCAATGTGCTGAAGATGTGCGTGGTGCCTGTTTTGTTCACGTGACATGATGAATACGTTAGCTGAAAGAAAAAAGTAATATTCAAAAGTATTGTTTTAGCTTTTTCATATCGATAAATATTCTTATATTGATCAAAATGTAAAAGCAGTGTTTTTATTTATATTACCATTTTCCGTCTTGTTGTCACAGGAATAGGCCGCCATACTATGTTCATCTGCCAAAAGGAACCAGAACTTGACATTATCTGAAATAATATGTCTTTATTACATCGAAATACAAAGAAACAACAGGCAGAGTCTAGCCTTGTGGATACTCTACCCAATCTATCTAAACTCACTCTAAGACTAAATTAATATTAAGCTTTACAAATAACAAAATGTTCAATTTTTTACCTATACAGGGTGTCCGCAAAGTTGGGGTTTTCCTTTTCAGAAGCAACTACCCTTGAAATAACAAAGGTAATGTGTAGTGAAACGAGGGCGACCAAGTAAAAAAAAATAAAGGAAAAAGTACTCACTCTCCAGTTGACGAGAAGGGCTAAGTACGTCTCTGCCCGAAATCATACCGCTCCAACAGAAAATGAAATCAGCTGAAGCGCTACCGAACAGATGCAGAAACCACATTGATTGTCTTACACTTAATGGCACATCTTCTAACAAGGAAGGCAAAATGTTGCGTGAAAAGTCTAGGTATTGCATCCCGTCCAATCGATTTGGGAGAATAAATGGTCCAATGAGCATACCGTTCACCATGCCAGCCCAAACATTCACCGAAAATGTTTGTTGAAAATGTGCTTGACGGACAGCGTGCGGATTTTCTACTGACCAAACATGAGTATTGCGAAAGTTATTCACCCCATTACGCGTGAACGTAGATTCGTCTGTCACCAATATGCACTTCAAAAAGTCCGGATTATTGTCATGTTGATGCAACAACCACTCACAAAACCGCACTTGGACGTGAAACGGATACAGCCCCTCTTCACGCAGCGTTTGCCACAATTTAGTTTTTGATACTTGCACTTCACTAGATACGTCTCTAGTGCTTGTTGTTTTTTGAAACGCAATCGATTATACGAGTTCGTTTACCTCTACACGCGTGACCGTGACCGTCGGTTGAAGGTTGCTAACTAACCTGACACACTGACCCCGACCCAGTTCTGCCGTCGGGTTGAGACCTTGTACCACTGGGTGATGTCCCGGGTCGCGGCTACAGGGCGGTATTCAGATATTTTTGATGTTGCAGAGCCCTTTATCTCGGTTCCCTTAAGACATTGGTGTATATGGTACTAAGCAAAATTGCTATGTTTTCAAGATCTACACGTCGTGTAAAGGAAAACCCCAACTTTGCGGACACCCTGTATCACATTCAGATTCACTAAACTGTGTATTTATCAAATGCTGTTTTGAAGTTACTTTAAATTTTTGACAACTGGTTATATTTCTGATAGCTATATACAAAGGATTAAAAAAATCACTGTGTTGAGTAAATAGAAGCGAGTATATACAGGGTGACTTCGAAGTTGAGTCATTTATTTTAACAGTGAGTAGATCTGATCAAAAGAAATGTTTTTTTCCTTTACCATTTTTCTGGTAAAATTAAAGTAACAAAGTTATAGCCCTTTGGAAGTTTGAGTACCGCCCTGTCTCAATAATAATATCATGTACTCGTGTTTGGCAACAACGGATATAATCCGCCTTACCGGTTCATCGCATCGGAAACAAAAAAGCGAAAGAATTTGGAACGACTTTTTTGCAATTAAGTGTTTTATTCAGTTCAGTTATACATACAGTCAGTATCTGTCGGTTAGCGTGTGAATAGTTTCTGTTGCGTGGCTCAAACGAAATAAAAAATGGCACATGTTTATGCGGATCGGTTTCCCAATCGAGTGCAACCAACCCCTCGTGCCTTTGTTAATGTAGTACAACGGGCTCGTGAATCAGGTGACTTAAGACCTCACAGGGGACCTCATGATCAAATACAGGTCCGCACTGAAATACTTGTGGGGAGGATACTTTATAAAACAAGGTAAAATTTTTTTTTAATTTTTTTTATTTTTACACACATATTCTGGTTTATCTTCCTTCTACAATCATTATCTGAAAATTAATGACTCAACTTCAAAGTCACCCTGTATATATATATATATATATATATATATATACAGGGTGGCCAAACACGTGACGTCATAAAAAAAAAATTAGATTCCCCACATCGAGAGGAACCCAAATCACCCCCATATATATGGTCCGATTTTGTTTAGTTTAGGAGTTATGATTTTTTTTCGGATTTTTCGAGAATTTTTGAGTTCTGTGTTTATTTTTACCATAACTTCGTTAATAATTGTGATAAATGCCTGCTTTTTTCACGATTATGTAGCTAAGACCTAAGGGTTAACTATCATATAATCATTCAAGTCATGTAACTAATACTACTTTTTAATTTTTTTCAAAATCTTCGAACATAACAAAAAAGTAAAAAAGTGCAACAACTTTGAACGTTTATAAAAAATTGAAAAAACATGTTCTTACTATTCGTAAGTATCTTAAAAACTTCCTTACGGTATCAGCTATTTACCGTAAAAATTTCATCAACCTAGCTTTACTACATGCTACCGTAATTGTGGCTCAAATAGAACCGAACCCAAAATTGGATAACCCTCTGCTCAATAGAAATTGTTAGTTTCGGAAAAAAAAATTTGCAAAAACCACAAAAACACGTTTGATTTTTACTGAACAGCAGATAATTATTCATTTATGCTATTTACAAGAGGTTTTCAAAATGTCTGCCTCTAACAGAAATGCACAGTGTACACCTACGTATGAAATTTTGTTTTAAATCTCTAAATGCTTGTGTGTTGTTTTTCAACACATGTGTCGCTTCTTGAATTTTGTTCCTCAATGAATTTTCATTTGCACATTCTTGGGCGAATGTTATGTCTTTAAAATATCCCCAAACAAAAAAATCAATGGGGTTGAGGTCAGGGGAGCGTGGAGGCCATCGTATCGGTCCGTTTCGTCCGATCCATCTGTCTGGGAACCTTTCGTTTAAGTAGTTTCGCACGATCGTTGCGTTGTGGCATGGTGCACCATCATTCTGGAACACCATGTTCCGTCTGGCTTCCAGGCTTGAATCTTCCAGCAATAATGGTAGGCTATTTTCAAGGAAGCTTTTGTAGGCTAGCGAATCCAACCTTGACGGCAGTTCAAATGGACCGATAAATTCCATATTGAATATTCCTGACCACATGTTCACACTAAAACGGTGTTGAAATGTCGACGGCCTTGACTGGTGGGGGTTTTCAACAGCCCAAGTATGTAAATTATGGATATTGAATATCCCTGTTCTTTCAAAACGTGACTCGTCAGTCCATAAAATTTTATCAAAAAAATCGGGATCCTCTCGTTGTCTTCGCAGCATTGTCTCGCAGAAATCCACTCTTAACTGGTAATCTGAAGGCATCAACGCTTGAACTCTTTGAACATGATAGGCATGATAACCTTCTTCATGAAGAATATTTTGTATCGATGTTCGTGGTATTCTAAGGTTTTGTGCCATAGATCTCGTACTCGTTGAGGGATTCCGGCTAATTTCTTCAAGTACTACTTCTCTGCGATCCGGATCAGCTGTAAGATATCCTTCATTGCTTCCTCGTCCTGGAATGCGGCCTGCCATGAAAGTGTTATGTGTGTTAATAAAAACACGGTGGTCTGGGTAATGCTCAGGTTGTGGTCCGCCTCGGCGTATAAGTTGTTCCCGGTACAGCTGAGCTGCTAAAGCGCCGTTGCCTTGAGCAACGCCATAATAATAATGCATTTCTGCATATTCACGCAACGTATAATGCATCACAAACTTCTTAGCAAACAAAGTCCAAATCAGTATGCAAAGCAGAGTCCCGGAATATCCAATTTTTTAGAGCACGAGGTTTCGGCTGATATGGCCTCTTATTTCGTCTGCAGGTGACTTAGCCTTTCGGGGTTATTTATACCAGAACGGCTGACGTGTCCTGTGCCGTAGATGACGTGGCTGGTCGGTGGTGATGACGTGTCCTCTGTTGGTTGGCCTAACCAGAGCCTGATGGATCGGACGAAACGGACCGATACGATGGCCTCCACGCTCCCCTGACCTCAACCCCATTGATTTTTTTGTTTGGGGATATTTTAAAGACATAACATTCGCCCAAGAATGTGCAAATGAAAATTCATTGAGGAACAAAATTCAAGAAGCGACACATGTGTTGAAAAACAACACACAAGCATTTAGAGATTTAAAACAAAATTTCTTACGTAGGTGTACACTGTGCATTTCTGTTAGAGGCAGACATTTTGAAAACCTCTTGTAAATAACATAAATGAATAATAATCTGCTGTTCAGTAAAAATCAAACGTGCTTTTGTGGTTTTTGCAATTTTTTTTCCCGAAACTAACAATTTCTATTGAGCAGAGGGTTATCCAATTTTGGGTTCGGTTCTATTTGAGCCACAATTACGGTAGCATGTAGTAAAGCTAGGTTGATGAAATTTTTACGGTAAATAGCTGATACCGTAAGGAAGTTTTTAAGATACTTACGAATAGTAAGAACATGTTTTTTCAATTTTTTATAAACGTTCAAAGTTGTTGCACTTTTTTACTTTTTTGTTATGTTCGAAGATTTTGAAAAAAATTAAAAAGTAGTATTAGTTACATGACTTGAATGATTATATGATAGTTAAGCCTTAGGTCTTAGCTACATAATCGTGAAAAAAGCAGGCATTTATCACAATTATTAACGAAGTTATGGTAAAAAAAAAAACAGAACTCAAAAATTCTCGAAAAATCCGAAAAAAAATCATAACTCCTAAACTAAACAAAATCGGACCATATATATGGGGGTGATTTGGGTTCCTCTCGATGTGGGGAATCTAATTTTTTTTTTATGACGTCACGTGTTTGGCCACCCTGTATATATAGGGTGGCCCATCCATGTGTGGACGGAATATTACTCATAAACAAATAAATTTTGAGCAAATCTATTTATGGTATGTTATACATGACATTTGAGGGAACATTTCTAAAATATTGGCTATTAGACAGGGTGTCCCAATTTTGACCTACATATCAAAATTGTGATTTTTAAATGGAATGCATCAAATTTTACTGCATATTTGGATAAACCAACTCAAAAGAAGAAGATTGATAAAACATACTATGGGGTTTTGGTAATTAGCTACTGAGATGTAAGGTGTTTTGTCCAGAACAGAAAAACCGTCCAATTCGGCAACCCCTCAATCCGCCATTTTGAAATTTGGAGTACTGAATTTTGTATCAAAATAACTTAGACACCTCAACTTTTATCTTGTTACTTTTTCGAATTTTCATTTTTGCTCATACAGGGTGGTCAAAAACGCGAATTGAACTTTTTCTCAAAAATTTCAAATGCTGAATATTTGTGCAAGTTTGGATTCAATTTCTTATAAGCTTTTATTTGGTATAAGGTTTGATTCAGCTAAAATCACTAGATTTTGAGTTATTAAGCTTTTAATAGAACAACACACCAAAATTAAGGAAAAAACACATCATTCATGGAAACAAAAGATAAACAGTGGGATAGTTCCATATTGCCAGATGAGTACAGATTTGACGTGTAAACTAATAACAGTCAGAACAGTATAAATCAGCTTCAAGCGTAATAGAGAGAAACAACCATGACGACAACATAAACAAACAACTATCACTACTCAAGACAATGTACAAAAACTGCTCGAAAATATCTCCACCATGTTGAATACACAGCCGTAGTCTTTGGATAAATGACCGTTTATGTTCAGAAAAGCATCCTTAATCCTGTCCATATTTTCCGGGGTAGATGGTGGACATCTATAAAACTCTTGCTTAACGTAGCCCCATAGAAAGAAGTCCATCGGTGTCATATCTGGTGTTCTAGGAGGCCAAGATATAGGCCCATCACGACCGATCCAACGATTGTTACTCCAGGTGTCCAAATAGTTACGCACACGATTACGATAATGCGCAGGTGCGCTGTCATGGCAAATGCTCGATCAAAAAATTCAAGTATTCTGTACCTGTTAATCTGTTGTCGAAAAAGAAAGGCCCGATAACTTTTCTTGCCAATAACTCCTCCCCAAACATTCAAGCTCTATTCATTTTCGAAATCTATTTGACTAGCACAGTAAGGGTTTTCCGTCGCATAATAGTGCATGTTATGCCTGCTGACAAACCTATGCTGTTAGAAGTTGCCTCATCGCTAAAAAGAACCTTATCCAGGAAAGTAGTGTCTTCACTCACTTTATTTAGCATTATTGTATTCGAGGTGCGAAATCCTGAGGACGAAGGCCTTGATGCAAGCATAGGTGATATGGATGGTACCTATGCTTGTAAATAATCCTTTGGACAGAAGTTCTGCATATATCAGTTTCTGCTCCAATTTCCGTGCACTTACATGGGGATTTTCCTGCACTTTTAATAGAACCTCCAACTCATTCGCCTCATTGGTGACAGTTGGATTATTTATACATCTTTTACTATATTCCACTGCTCCACTTGATTCAAAACGTTCTCGTAGTGTGGAAAATGTTTCTGGCCTTGGATGTCGCATCTTAGGGTACCGTTGCTTGTACATAAATGCGAGATCCTAGAAAACTATTTCTTTGGGCTTCGCCCAAAACGAACACCATATACACCATTTCTTGTTTAGAAAGCTAATTTTGACAGTTTGTAACTAATCAACAATTTATTTGTTTCCAAGGATGATGCGGTGTGTTAGGGAATTAAGCCGTTCCATAAAAGACGTGCTAATAACCCAAAAAAATAGCCGTAAAACCCGTGAGTGTCTAGTAGCAAAAAAAGATTATAAAAAACTGAATCCAAACTTGCACAAATATACAGGGTGATGAATTTGAAATTTTTGAGAAAAACTACAATTTGCATTTTTGAGCACCCTGTATGAGCAAAAATTAAAATTCGAAAAGGTAACAAATAAGATAAAAGCTGAGGTGTCTAAATTTTTTTGGATACAAAATTCAGCACTCCAAATTCTAAAATGGCGGACTGAGGGGTTGCCGAAGTGGGAGGTTTTTCTAGACAAAGTACCCTATATCTCAGTAGCTAATTACCAAAATGCCACAGTATGTTATATCAACTTTCTTCTTTTGAATTGGTTCATCCAAATATGCAATGAAATTTGAGGCATTCCATTTGAAAAATCACAACTCTGACATGTAGGTCGAAATTGGACACCCTGCATAATGGCTAATATTTTAGAAATGTGCCCTCAAATGTTATGTTTAAAATCTCATAAATAGATTTCCCCAAAATGTAATTGTTTATGAGTAATATTCCGTCCACACATGGATAGGCCATCCTGTATATATACAGGGTGACTTCGAAGTTGAGTCATTTATTTTAACAGTGAGTAGATCTGATCAAAAGAAATGTTTTTTTCCTTTAACATTTTTCTGGTAAAATTAAAGTAACAAAGTTATAGCCCTTTAGAAGTTTGAGTACCGCCCTGTCTTAATAATAATATTATGTGCTCGTGTTTGGCAACAACGGATATATCGGTTCATCGCATCGGAAACAAAAAAGCGAAAGAATTTGAAACGTTTATCACGATGTTTTTCGTCATTCGGTAACGCGTGAGTGACTAGTGGTGTTTGTTGCGTGGCTCAAACGAAATAAAAAATGGCACATGTTTACGAAAATGCTCAACTTGTGGGCATGATTCTTATTTACGGGGGGGGAGTCTTTACAAAATGCTGCCGCGGCATCACGGATTTGTGCGAATCGGTTTCTCAATCGAGTGCAACGAACCCCTCGTGCCTTTGTTAATGTAGTACAAAGGGCTCGTGAATCAGGTGACTTAAGACCTCACAGGGGAGGGCAGCATGCCGGTGCTCCAAGACCGCACGATCAAATACAGGTCCGCACTGAAATACTTGTCGGGAGGATACTTTATAAAACAAGGTAACATTTTTTTTTGATTTTTTTTTAATTTTTACACACATATTTTGGTTTATCTTCCTTCTACAATCATTATCTGAAAATTAATGACTCAACTTCAAAGTCACCCTGTATACATAAATTCAACGTTTAGTTCATGAGATAATGCACATAACATTTACATGTCCTTTTATGAGAAACATATTTTTCCGATTCACCTCACTTTTCATCGGGAACAATAAATCAAGGTCTAAAACAGGCGATCTCGGCACTAAAAATAACCCAAATTTTTAACTGTTAGCATCTACGAGTATGAAATATTTGCGCAACACTTCCAAAACTATAAACTATGAACTGTGTTAAATTTCCCCTGAAGAAGCATCGTTAGCGAAATACTTGTCGGGTATTAAAACGGTCTGTTACTGTCTATAAGTTTTACCTTCGACAGGTTTATACAGGGTAACCCATGATTTTTTTGAAAACATGACATTCTTTTTTCAGTGTTTGATATACATTCTGTGACCCCTGTATAGGAAAAGCCAATACGAACTTGAAGCACTTATACTAAAATCCACATTTTATACGTTGTAACTTACCATCTCCAATATTAAATGTGTAGCTTGTAACACCCTCTTCAGTTTCGCTGTCTACCTCAGCAGAATCTACGTTTACCTCTTTGCCCCTAAAAGTGTCATTGCTTGAACAAATGTATGAACGTATAAGATAAACCTACCCATGATCTTTCCAACTGTCATGTACTTCAATTTTGCTATCGTTATTCACTGACCATTCTGTTACAAAGCATGAACCGTCACCAATTGTCGGTGGTCCATATATGTCGTGTCCGTACCATACTCCAGATGCCTAAAACATTTCGGGTGTCTCAAATTCGTTCCATTAGGATCTCGGAAACAGTGAGAGATACGAGGTCGCTTGAATGGGGGCTAAGTTGTGTACGTAGATAAGTTACAAAATGCAGCTTGGAAAGTTTCAAAACTCTAAGTACTCCTGGAGAGAGACGGAAAACCAGAATTTTCCCAAAATCGTTTCAATTTTTTCGTGACTGTATCTGCAGTGTGATTTCAAAATAAATTGCACATTAAGATTACCACTTTTTCTCCTCTAAGATGCCATGATCAGAATTTCAATATAACATTTCGTCTATTGTTCTCCAGCATCAATATTATTTTTTCTTATGTACGCCATTTTAGATTTTAACACAGATCAATGAAGTTTTTAATTCTGATTCCAAAAATATATAACATGTCATACGTAGACATTTCCAAACCTAAGTAATTTTAAATAACAGAATTTCCTAGGCAGGCCTTGAAATTCAGATAGTCATTTGTTTCGTATACGGCATTTATCGCAAAACCATTTTTATTTCTCCTGACTTTATTTGAGATGGAATAAATTGCTTCCTGTCATTGCCACTTTTTATCCTCTAAGATGGCGTAGTCAAATTTTCAATTCGAGGTTTCTTCTTTCGACTCCCACCACCAACTTTTTTTTTCATATGGACACTATTGGAATTTTATACATTTAAATACTACTATAAATAAATATTACTTCAATTAAATATCGAGACATGAAGGAATGTAGAATCAAAAATTGTGTTCGATTGTGCAAAATTTCAAGATGGAGTCCATGATAAAAAAAAAGTTGATGACAGAGTTCGAAAGCAGAAATTTGTAGTATGACTCGCCTTCTTGTAGAGGAGAATAGCATTGCGTATATACAATTTATTTTAAAATCCCATTTCTAATAAAACCATGAAATTAACAACGATTTCACAATAAATCCGGTATACGAAACAAATAATTTTTCTGTTAATTCCAAGGCCTATCTAAGAAATTATATTTCTTTGAAACAACCAAAGGTTCACAATGTTCATGTACGATATACAGGGTGTCCGCAAAGTTGGGGTTTTCCTTTACACGACGTGTAGATCTTGAAAACAGCAATTTTTCTTAGTACCATATATACCAATGTCTTAAGGGAACCGAGATAAAGGGCTTTGCAACATCAAAAATATCTGAATACCGTCCTGTAGCCGCGACATCACCGACTGGTACAAGGTCACTGTCTCAACCCGACGACAGAACTGGATCGGGGTCAGTGTGTCAGGTCAGTATGCAACCTTCAACCGACAGTTACGGTCACGGTGTAGAGGTAATCGCGTAGACGAGAATCCCTCAACAAGCACTAGAGACATGGCTAGAGATGTGCAAGTATCAAAAACTAAAGTGTGGCAAACGCTGCGTGAAGAGGGGCTGTATCCGTTTCACGTCCAACGTGTACAAGCCCTTCAACCTGACGATTTTCCAGCAAGAGTGCGGTTTTGTGAGTGGTTGTTGCATCAACATGACAATAATCCGGACTATTTGAAGTGCATATTGGTGACAGACGGATCTACGTTCACGCGTAATGGGGTCAATAACTTTCGCAACACTCATGTTTGGTCAGTAGAAAATCCGGACGCTGTCCGTCGGGCACATTTTCAACAAACATTTTCGGTGAATGTTTGGGCTGGCATGGTGAACGGTATGCTCATTGGACCATTTATTCTCCCAAATCGATTGGACGGGATGCAATACCTAGACTTTTTACGCAACATTTTGCCTTCCTTGTTAGAAGATGTGCCATTAAGTGTAAGACAATTAATGTGGTTTCTGCGTCTGCTCGGTAGCGCATCAGCTGATTTCATTTTCTGTTGGAGCGGTATGATTTCGGGCAGAGACGTACTTAGCCCTTCTCGTCAACTGGAGAGTGAGTACTTTTTCCTTTATTTTTTTTACTTGGTCGCCCTCGTTTCACTACACATTACCTTTGTTATTTCAAGGGTAGTTGTTTCTGAAAAGGAAAACCCCAACTTTGCGGACACCCTGTATATTTTTGGAATTATAATCCATTAATAAAAAATAAAGTTGATGCCGATGGACAAGAGACGTCATGTTGAAATTATTATAGTAATTATGCCATCTAGTAGAGGAGAAAAAGTGGCAATGTTAATGCGCAATTTATTTTGAAATCAAATAAAGCCAGAAAGTAATTAAAACGATTTTGGGAAATAATCTCTCTACGGAAGTACTTAGAACTTCGAAACTTTGTAAGGTACATTTTGCTGGTTACCTAAATACGCTCCTTTGTCTCCATTTAAGCGTCTTCGTTACCGTTCCAGAGATCCCAATGGTCAATTTTGAAACACCTGTTATACTTTCATAGTCCAGGAACTACTCGTATATTCGGATAAATATTCTGATTCGGTTTTTTGCATACCCTTATTCAAAAAGGACCCCTCTTTACGAATCTACTTGTCGCCACAAACTCATAATTGCGTCAAAAACTGTTACAACAATAATTTTTTAACAAACCACAAAAAATACCTTTTTGCCCCAGAAAACGTTTCTTGGGTAATTCTGTACAAAAAAGGTTCTTATGAACTTTTCTTTGAAATTGGTAGTTTTCCAGATATAAGGGATTTAATATTAGTAAAAGTGCGAAATTATAACATATTCTCAGTTCAAATAAAATGAATTTGATACTGAATAGAATTCCTATAAATTGTATCTATCTTATAAACGTGTTATACTGTGGATAAATGTATCTACCGGACAGTTTGGGAAAGTAAAATGTTACCTACCGTATTGTTATCAAGTTCAACACCAACAGACGGAACTTTACATTTTGCTTCACATGCTATTGCTAAATAAGCAATGCACAAAGTTGTAAGTAGAATTTTGATCATCTTTGAAGATAACTTGACTGATTACTACTCAATCACAAATAAATATAGGATTACTATTTATATTCATTTGGAATAGGCATTCTTATGTACTTTGTGTCGAATTAGTAGCTATGAAACAATTTAAAGTATACACTGATGTACAGGATGATACTACGAAAATACATAAGTTATATATTTTTATGCTCGAGCCATAACGAAGGTCTAAGGCTAAAATACCGATGAGTACCTAGTGGGTACTGTAGTAGGCCTATAGCAACTATAGGGAAGGGGGGACACAGTCTCCAGACGAAAACATACAATGCTTTTTAAAATGAAGGCATCCATTTGTTGAACAGATCAAAGTAGTAAGTGGAAATTTGGGATTATAGAATCAGCTAAAAATTTCTAGATTTCAGCTAGACACTTTACGTGTAGCTTATCATGCTGGAATTTCTGATGAGTACTCAGAATACTGGAAATTTGCTTATTAAGTCTAGCCCATCAAAAAATGTATCAAAGACCAACCTTTACAACTACACTGCTCAAACCTTGAACGTCACGGCTTGGTTAGTTACAGGCAAAACCACACGCAACTGTAAAGTAAACCAGTCGTATCGTGAGGCTCATGTCGTTGCTCTTGCAGCCCCCTTATGCTAACTTCCATCGTATGGCTTCGCAAAGAAGCTTTGCTAACGGGTAACTAACTTCCTCTCGGGCCGCAAGATATCCATCGTAATTGACGGGTTGTCCTCTTAGTGTCAGCGCGGGTGTTCCCCAGGAATCGGTCTTGGTTCCGACATTGTTTCTCTTATGAACGACCTCCTTTTCTGTACAACCAATGCGATCCACAGCTTAACTGATGACAGCACTCTACATGCAGCAGTTTAGTGTAACAATCTAATATCTGCCGGTGAGCTGGGAAAAAGAAGACTAGCAGCGACTTCCTCTCTAACGAGAGACCTGGAGGTTACCACTGCTTGGAAACCGAACAATCTGCTACTGTTTAGTGCTTCCAAAATACAGTGCTGTAAATTGACTCACAATAAGCGTACTAGCGCTCATCCGGTTTCGATGGGTGGCCGAATTGTACCAAAGAGCCGTTCAATTTGACTAGTCGGAGTCCAGATCACCGAGGACTTGATCTGGCACGAATTCATCTTGTCAACAGCGACAGCTGCTGGGAAAAATCTAGGCTATTTATTCAGGGCTAAGGGTCGTATCATCAGTCGTTCCTATGTATGACGCCATTATGGCGTCCTTGATTTTCATAGTTTTCTACTCTTTCGTGTCAGCGATCTACTTTGAGGTTATGTTACAAATATCTATTTGCATCAAATTGTTCATACTTTTGATTCATATCATCTGCCTGAAATTTCCTACAATTCAAAAAGAAAATATAGCCCGACAATAGGAGAGCGCCGACGCTCTCCTCTACAGGTATATCAACGGGCTTTGCTCCTCGGAGTTCTTCTCCATGATGACGCCGCGATATGTGCCTGCCAGGCAAACCCGCCTGGCTTCCGTCTCATTTGCCCTCAATGTATCTGGATTTTGGAAAAATCTACATGAAACTTTTCCCAATTCTACCGACCCTAGGGAATTCAAAAATGGGATCAGCAAAGTTTCTTTAAGCTCCTCACAGCAGCCGCGGTGCCCTGGTATTTAGGCTTCGGCCTACGCGGCTGCTTCGGTATAAAAAAATCTATAAAATTTTATTTTTTAAAATAGCCAAAATAGCGAACTTACGGGCGTTCAAAGTTAAGCATTTTTGTACAATTTACTCGCTTATAACTAAACTAACCGTCAAAACCAGATAATGTGTAAGGTGAATGTCACGCGATCAGTATTTACTATGATCTGTCACTATTTACCATGGCATGTGATATCTGTTCATAGTGTAGCGAGGACTTCAGTGATTATTGATGTAGAAGATTACGTAGAAATCCACTGCTACTGTCAGATCATAGTAAATACTGATCGTGTGACATTCGCTTTGAATCAACCTTTTTTTTAAAGGTATATCCCAATATGTATTTCGCATTTTCGTGGTAGTGATAGTATGTTTTTACTCTTCATTTCAATGTAGTGATTCCACATGATCTAATATAAATCACCTTGTAAGTAGTGAATACCTCTATGAGAGTACTTTCCATATGCCTTAGATAAGTTTTTATAAATTGTAAATATATAGACTTATCTGGGTTCTCCGAATGCTACATTAATTTCATTAAGGGTTATCAACGACCTAAATCGTAAACACTTATACAGAAATGCACTCAACATGTTTCCTGTTAATTTAACTTGATGCAAACAAAATAAAAAATAAAAAACCAACTGAGATACTTCTCTCAGAAATGCACTCAAAATGTTTTCTTTTAATTTAACTTGCAAATAAAACAAAAGTGCTGACAATTGCTAATGAAGATGAAACCGCTGTACACGGTTGGCCCTCTGTTGGTCGGATGGAAGAAGGCAATAATACGAGTACTAAACAATGCCTTCACATGATCTCAAAATATTCGCATCAAAACAGAGGGTAATTCTTTTTGAATTCCGTAAGCAGTACTCATTTTTCAAAAAGTAGTTCTTTGGTCCCTATAGATAGATAGATAGATACATTTATTGTCTTGTAGATCATAAAAATGACGTAAGACTCGTCCTAAGGGGGAGGTACATAGAACACATAATAAAAAATAAAAACAAAACAAACATAAGTATTTACAAAGTACAAACAGGAACAACTTAGGCGTAGACATTCACGTATAAAAAAGTTTTAAAAATATGTCACAGTGCGAGGTATTCAGACAAAGAGTAGAAACATTTTTCAACTAATAATTTTCGTAGTTGACATTTAAAACTAGCAATACTACCGACATTCCTGAGGTTAGGTAAAAGTTTGTTACATATTCTGATGCAGGTGAATTCCGGTGACTTTTCGAACAGCGTCAGTGTGTGTTTTGGAATACCCAGACTCTCACCTGCCCTTGTATTATAATGTGTGTTGATGTTTTTGTTCTGTATAAATTTTGTTTTGTTTGTATGTGTGAAAAGGGCTCACTTATAAATATGAATGCTTGGTAGAGTCATGATGTTTTTACTTCTGAAGATCTCTATGCAGGATTCTCTTCTACGAATGTTGAATATCAATCTGATTATTCTCTTCTGTTGAACAAATGCTCTAGAAATTAAAGTTGATTGCCCCCAAATTATGATGTTTCTTGATAAATGTGAGTGGACGAGAGCATAATATACATCTAGTAAAGCTGACTCTGATAAGCAAAACTTGAGCTTAAGAATCCCATAATATGATTGGCTCAACGTTTTACACAAACTGTCCATGTGTTGTTGCCAACTGAGCTTTGCATCCATTTCTATTCCCAAGAATGTCGTAGTTTTAGATGTCTCATGATTTGCTAGAATAGGGGCGTTTGTATAAAAATGTACAACATCTGACTTTTCGAGGTTTAAAATCAAACAATTTGCTTGGCATCACCCTTTCGTTTCACCTTTTACTTCATTTATTTTTGCAATAATGTCTTTGCGTGTAGTTCCACTGACAAGAGATGTTTGTTATGAAACTTGTGATATCCAGCATATATCAAAATCCAATAAATCATGAGCTGTGGTTACTCAGACTACTCCAAAATAGGGATGACAACAGATGAACAGATATAACGGTTGAAATGAGCGATATGTATGTACTTTCGTGGCAGATTAATTTTTAATAATTTAATTTTTGTATTGGGCAGACCTTGCTATCGCAAATATAGCAATAATCTGCCTCACTTCTTACGGTTGTTCTATGAAAATTTAAGTTTCAGTGAGCATGGGGGCTATATTTATGGACAAAAAATTGGTAAGGAAATAGGATATGTCGACAGAATTTCATCCAAATTGTGGTGTGTAAAAATAATTTATAACACATTTCAATCATTGCTCAACATTAGTAATTTCTTGTTGAATGGAAAATAAATAGAAGCACCAACTATTATTAAACAAGTGTGTCTGAGACTACTACTAACTGTAGTAGGGACACCCATTTGAGGTCATGAGACAAAATTTAAATTTTTTAACAGTGCAGGTTATCATAGAAGAAAACTTAATTTTATCGTATAAAATGAAAACCAAAAAGCACCAATTTATTTGAACAAATTCATGTTGAAAGGACCTAGTGTGGTATAATATAACATAAGATCAAATGCAATTATTATACTGAAAGGTTGAAAACTAGGCCCTTGGATGAATCGCTTTTCTTGGAGGCTTAACGCTTTATACCACTAAAGAAAATCGTACAAAATGTAAGAATATTTATGTTATGTATGTTAATGGTAATATTGTAGCTTAAAGCTAAATAAACATATATTCTAATCTATTATATACGGATGAGCTGATGTCTTGGGCATGACCTTGACGGCGACCATCACGGTCATTGCGGACAAGAGAATATTTTCCCTTTATACTGAAATTGGAAAGAGGATGAAATGTTACGTCCGAGTATGACCTTGATTAAGACGAACACCATGACTAGAAAGGCCATTTCAAGGTAAAATTAAGAGACTGAAAACAATTTGCTCTAGCAAACGTTCGACTGCACAGTTATGAGCTTTATGGCGGTCACCCAAAGGTGATGTGGACCATGACCTGGACAACCACCTCCAAGGTAATGTAAAATTTTACAGGTTTAAATATAAAGTTTCTTGCTCTCTGCATCGCAATCAAATATTAGATGTTACAAATAACATTTAAGATTGATATGACCTGGAATTTAAGGTTAAGGTCACATTTGGACATAACTTTTCTTGCTTGTTCCAATTCCAGGATAAAAATGAGGGGTTCCTTTTGAAAATTGTGACTTAACCTTGAATTGTTTCCAATGTATTTACTTGGAGTTGAAACGGCCTTGAAGTCCATACTTATGTTTATGATCGAAGTCATATTCGGACGTAGAATTTCCTTCTCTTTCCGTTCCCGGTATAAAAAAGTAGGGCTCCATTTGAAAATATTCGCTTGACCTTGAAATAACCATAACCTTGAAGGTCATAATCAAGTTGACCATCATCTTCCCCTTGGAAACCAAGGGCGTACCAGGGGGCCTAGCTCAGCAAAAATTAAATGGAGAGTACATTTTTTGCAAAAATTAAATTATTTATGTACAGGGTTCTCCACAAGCTAAATCAATATCTATCAGATGAGAAATTATTTTTTTAAAATATTTAGTGGGGCGATTAAAATGGGACACACTATAGATTGAAATTCTTCTGTTCTACATAGATTTGATGAGATGGTTATAGCAGGTCTAGAAAATATGTTCATTAAAGGATGCAGCGATACATTTTACTGCTTACTGCAAGCTATAGGCGATGTTGGATTCATCCAGCTTGTTTTAATGAACTACATTCTCAAAGATTACGTAGCTCGCAGAGATGCCGAACTTCGAGCAATTGATGAAGTAAAGAAGAAGCAACTGGCAGAAGCAGGTACAAGAATTTGTTTCAATGTAAAAATATTTTATGCATGTCAAACACATGGATCGTAAATTTAACGGGCAATTGTTTGGGCTACATCAGACTATTTTTTCACCATTTCATCACTTTGTTCCGAATATACAATTTTTTCTTCCTACGCTACTGGCGAAGCGTTACTGCAATCGCGAAAAATTTTGAAAATGATATAGTTTTTGGATGTTTTATGACTTGAACATCGTGAAAAACCAAGTCACTCATTTCCATCGGCCTGTCTGACTTTGTAGTTTTTGGAAATCGGTCCAGTGGCGACGGAGCTACAGACAAAAAACGTAAAAGAGAATAAATATCACACAAACTTTTTTTGACCTTTCAGAGGATCTGCACCATTTTCAAAAAAAAAATTTGCAGGGGTTAAGAATTGGATGCTGAGGGTTATAAGTTTTTTTGTGTATTTAGCATTAATGCTACGATGCCAATTTGGTATAAATATTCACTTACACATTTTTCTGTAATTCATTTTCTGTAATTTTACATTCTTGTCTATCAAAATTAAATCACTATGCATTTTGAGTATTCATCAAGTGATTTTTCAATTTCATCTTAACATTTTTAAATTCGAACTCTGTTTAATATCATTATTTAATTTATTAAATTCAAATACTCTTTTTTGAAATACATATTTGATAGTTATGTTACTAGCACAATTTTGCAGATGGAAATCAATAATGCCTCTAGATTCGCAGTGATGATGACTTTAATTTTGTGAGGTTTTCTAATTGTGGTGATAATAGATTATTTTTTTAATTTGAATATGAAAATTAGAACTAAATAACATATGAACTTCTTCACATTCAATCACTGTAATTCTTCTAACATAAACTTAATCCTAGCATATTTGTTTTGATTTAGAATGATCCTCATAGCTTCATTTAGTAGAATTTTTAATTTTGAAAATATGCTTTCATTTGCTGTAAACAAGATCGTTGAACAATATAAAAAATGGGGAGGAATTATAGTGCTATACACATTTTTTTGGTATACATACTAAGATTATGGCAAACTCTGTAGAAGTAATTTATCATTTTTGATTTTTTTGAAATAGTGTATCCATAATGCTCGTGAAACGTTAATTAACTATACATATATATATATATATATATATACCCACATATTTGAATAATTATAAGCCTAATTGTATTGTCACCTCAATGTTTTGTAGAAAGTATATGTAAATTTTTTGGTGCTAGCAAATTATATGTTTGAAACTCCGGTAATTAGACATATTTCATACATCATAGATTTCCCCGTATACTTGTCCTTTCAATGTTGTCAAATCTGTTGGACTAATTGTATGAGCCTGTTTGACTGGCATGATCCATGTCATTTCTTTGTTATACATGACTAACTTGTACAAATCTAATCTTTCACGAACTGATGACAGCGTTGAGTAGGAAGTGTACAGTTAACCTACTTGACGCCATTTTTTCATCAAAAGTGAAAAGTTGAATTTTGGATGAAACTCGAATAAACGATTATGGTGTATCAAAAAGGGTTCTTTGGTCCACGAGAAAATCTGTGCTCTGTGCTTTACATTTTGTACCTGGATATAGTAGAAGAGGCCCTAAGGCAAAACTGTTAGTTTTGAAAATTTTGAACGTCTTGTATCATCAGTGGACAATAATCTTGGAACTTTCCAAAGACTCACCTCCCGGATTTTTAAACCAAGTGTTGGGAACGCTTTGTACTGTGCCTATTAGAATATTTTTCAAAGTAAACGACTTTCGCAAAAATTGAGAATTTTTGCAAAACTTCGTAAACGGTTACATGGCGTAAATCGTAACTGATAGACGTGCCAGCAGCGAGACCAAAGTTGTGGATATCCTCGCAACACCAAGGTGTTTCGCAATATAAACCAAAGACTTGCATGACATTTTTATATTTTTATTGTTCCAAATAGAGCAAACAGTCTCTGACCCGTTAAAAAAAGCAACCACTAGAACTCTTGATACAGCTGTTTCTGAATCGAAAAGTACGAAAGACGGAAAAAGCAGTGTGAAGAGTAGTGAGAAAAGCAGCAAATCTAAAAAGAAAGAGAAAGCAGTAAACTATACAAAACGTAAGTATTAAGTTCATTTTCTTCTCTTTTAAGTTAAAGTAGTGCATTTAGATTTCTAAGAAAGTTTCGCAATTCAGAGTATTTCCGGAAAGAATCCGATTTTCCCGAAATCTTTATTTTTTTCTTGGCTTTATTTGTTTTCAAAATATAAAAAGTACATTAACATTGTCGCTTTTTTCCCTAAAATAATAATAATACGAATTCAAAAAATGTATAAAATATGCCATACATTGACATTGTCAAACCTAAGTTATTTCGAAAAAACTAATATTGTCATAGTTGCTTTATAAAGGAGGAGAAACAGTGACAATGTTGAATTACATTTTTATTTGAAATCACATCTCAAACAATGTGAGGAAAAATAAAAACGATTTTGAGAAAATTCGGTTTCTTTTATCTATCTCCGGAAATATTGGAATTCCGAAACTTTCTGAGCGCGATTTTCTCAGCTACCTGATTGCACAACCCAGTTACGTGACTTCCCATATCTTACCGTTTCCGAAATCCTAAATGGTAAATTCGAATTTGAAACACCCGGTATATTGAGCAGCCGCGTTGGCAGAAACCTAAATACCGGAGCACCGTGACTACCTTAATATCTAAGCAACCATCTGAACTATATCGGTAATAATTTATTCGCCTAAATTCAGATACTGTCTTATTGACATACCTGAGTCCGTATTTTTCTATTATTTTTTAGAGATAATGAAGGAGTTACCAAAAAGTTTCAAAGTACAGTTAGATGTGTACGAGGATTTAATGGCCGAACTTATTCACGTCTGCGAATTTTGGGACAAAACACGAAGCTTTTTAACAGTGGTAAGACTTAACTAAGAGCCGCAAAGTCATTTCTTTGAAGCTTCCTTATTGCAAGGGTTCCTTATTTGCCTTAACAGTGTTGACACATGCCGTGACAGGCAGCGATGTGTGTCACTTGTTTAGATTGTATATATTGTATAACAGGGTGTTCCTTAATGATTGCGAATATTTAAGGATGCGAATCTACTTGAAAAATTAATGTTAATTTGCTTTATAAACTATGGTCCAAAAATGTTTCCTTACAAAAACTCGGGGTGTTGAAGTTTTAGGAAAAAGATGGAAATTAATTAATGTTTTCAGAACCGCTTCAGATATTTCACTGATATTTAGTACGTAGTGAAAGTTAATAAAGGTGCATATTTTTCAATGCAAAAATAATTTTTAGCTTTAACAGTGGCGTGCGTGGTGTTGAGTTCGATATTTTTTAAGAAAAAAATAGTACGCCAATAGTTTTTTGCCAAATAAAAATAATTTTTAAATTCCCCGTTAAATTTAAAACAAATGATCTCTCTTGAATTGTTTTCCTTCTATGCGCCATTTTTGAGTAAAAAAATAAAAACCGTTATATTGTCCGAGAAAATTAATGTAATAATTGAAGAATACAATTTAGCAATAAATATCTAGTTGCTCTGGAATATGTGACTGGCTTTTGATATCTGACAAGTCTCTAGTATTCAAATCTGTTCGCTGTGACATCTTTTTCATTATTTAGTTTTTACAATCTTGGTGAATTATTCAAATGCAGAAATGGCGGAAATGCATTACGTATATGGCCTTGCCGACGGTAATGGTGAGCAAGCCAGACGGATTTATCAACAGAGATACCCCGATCGTGCTTTGCAAGATAGTCAAACCTTTTGTAATGTTCATCCTCCTCTTGTTGAAACTGGTTCTGCCAGAAAAGGAACATCTAAAGGTAGACCTCTAAGTGTGAGAACACCTGAAATTGAAGTCGAAGAACATCCTGAAACGAGTACAAGGAAGATCGCTAGACACTTAAATATTTGAAAATCAAATTGTATGGAGAATTTTAGTGGATTTTTTGTTATATCCTTACCATATTTTAAGAGTACAGGCATTACTTCCTATTGATTTTACAAGGCGTGTGACCTTTTGTCAGTGGTATCTTCAAAAAATTACACAAAATCCGCAATTTGAATCAATGATTCTGTTCACGGACAACGCTAATTTTTCTCGAAATGTCATTCAGAATTTCCACAATAATCATTTGTGGGCAGAAGAAAATCCCTATGCTGTAACCGAAACTCATTTCCAACACCAGTTTTCGATTAACGTATGGGCAGGAATTATTGGCAACCACTTTATTGGCCCATTCTTTTTGCCGGGACGACTTGACGGACAGACTTACCTCAATTTTCTTCAACAACAGTTGCCTTTGCAGCTTGATGATGTACCGTTAGTAATAAGAAACAATATGTGGTACATGCATGCTGGTGCACCAGCGCATTTCAGTGTAGCGGTTCGTAATTATTTACAAACTCTTTATCCAAATCGTTGGATTGGCCGCGGTGGGCCCCAAGAATGGCCACCAAGGTCCCCAGACCTCAACAGTTTAGATTTCTTTTTGTGGGGCTATCTTAAGACACTAGTGTACACAAGTCCCATTAACACTGTAGAGGAATTAAGAGAAAGAATAGTTGCAGCTCGTGATAGAATAAAAAACACTCCAGGGATATTTCAACGAGTGCGCAATTCCATGAGAAGGAGGGCGGAAGCATGCATACTAAGTGAAGGAGGCCATTTTCAACAAATTTTTGTAATCATTTCGTTGGTTTTAATGTTATGTTTATGCTGTCAGTTGTTGTTGTTTATTACCCCTAATGTGTTTATTTTTTACAATTAAATTAACAATAATTTTGCAAGTTAGACAATAGAACTGTTTTTATCTTTTTACTCAAAAATGGCGCATCGAAAGAAAACAATTCAAGAGAGATTATTTGTTTTGAATTGAACGGGGAATTAAAAAGTTATTTTTATTTGGCAAAAAACCATTGGCGAACCATTTTTTTCTTAAAAAATATCGAACTCAATACCAGTACGCACGCCACTGTAAAAGCTAAAAATTATTTTTTGCATGGAAAAATATGCAACTTTATTAACTTTCACTACGTACTAAATATCAGTGAAATATCTTAATTAATTTTAATTTTTTTCCTAAAACTTCAACACCCCGAGTTTTTTGAAGGAAACATTTTTGGACCATAGTTTATAAAGCAAACTAACATTAATTTTTCATGTAGATTTACACCCTTAAATATTCGCATATCATTAAGGAACACCCTGTATAATAGATTATCTACACCTTGTCTATATCGAAACGTAAAGTGTATCTAACGAAGCTACAAAGTAATCGTAAACAGTGGTTGATTCGTGATCAACGCGTGATCGGTAGCCATGGCGCTCTGTCGGCCTCTTCCTGATTGGCTTGTAGCGACGAGCCTCCAGACCAAGTCGCACGGTTGCCACGCTCGGCGAGTTTTCGCCAGAGTGGTTGATCACATTCGCATGGATCACAAATCAATCTGTTGGTGCAATACGTGCAATAACTGTTGTAAAGGACATTATATAACAATAAATGGCATCACAAAGGTATATTCCAATTTGATCTGCAGCAAATTATGAACGGCATATACGGAGATGCGAAAACAAGCTCAAAAAGGTGAAGAAAATTTTTGTGCAATCTTTATAGTTAAAATTTTCCTAAGAGATAGCATCAGTGAGGGAATTTTTTTCTATTGTCTTATTTTTCACATTAATGCGATGTCGAGGTATGTGGCCCTATCGCAATTGAAAATAAGGTTTCGATAATCCTTCCATAAAGTTTCGATGAGTACATCTGAAATAACCTTGAGATATTCTTCAGGGAAATACAAAAATCTCCTTTTGTGTTTTTTTGTGCAGATTTATCTATTAAAATCCTATCCGCAATCTATTTTCCGTGCACACACCTTCAACCGAATGTATGCCATATATGATATTACCGTTTCCAACTTTCACCAAGGTTGATTGGAACCATAACAGCTCCCTACCCTTCCCCCCTATAAGAATATCGATTTGTAGCCTCACATTTCAAGGTTAGACTTCTTGTAATGTTTCTGTTCAACATTCGGCGATTTCTGACAATTTTCCCAATAAAACATGATCATTGTGACATTAAGCCTGGCAACGCTGCATAGTAGAGGGAACTCTCAGCGTCACGTTGATGGTTCGTCGCACAGGATTGTAATCAGTTACGGATACCCGTTTATGAGCGCGAACGTTTTATGCACGTCTTGACTTGATTTTTCTTGCGGAAATTTAATATTAGTCTAAAATGTCTGACACAGATACAGCTGATGAAGTGGTTGAAATCAGCTTAACGTCACCCAGAAAAAGGGCTAAAAAGCTTCATCTTAGCGCAGGTGAAAAACAAATTATTCTAAATATCTACAAGAACCAGATGCAAGAGAATAGTGGATTGGCTATAGAAAATATCGTATGTAAGGTTGCTGAAATTTCTGGAGTAGGTCTATCAAGTGTTTACAAAATCTTGAAGGAATATAGACAAAATCACTCACTATCTGAGCCAAAAACATATCCAGCGAGAAAAAAAAATCATCGAAAAAATAGATGACTTTGACAAAAGTGCCATTAGAAGAAAAGTATATCACTTTTTCTTCAGGAATGAAATACCTACAATAGATAAAATATTGAAGCAAGTGAATGATGATGAGGACCTGCCAAATTTTAAAAGATCTACGTTCCATAAGCTGTTGAAAGAACTAGACTTTCGATTTTTGAAAAGAGGAAGGAATAGTTTATTGATAGAAAAGGAGGAAATTGTTATCTGGAGGAGAGAATACCTTAGAAAAATTAGACAATTCCGCGCTGAAGGAAGAAAAATTTATTATTTAGACGAAACATGGGTGAACGCGGGGCATACGCAGGGAAAGGTTTGGGTAGACAGATCTGTGAGATCCTCAAGGCAGGCTTTTTTAGATGGCCTTTCGACGGGATTGAAAAATCCTGCAGGTAAGTTTCGAAGTATATGAACTTTTTTGGATGCAGATAATTCATTTTCTGATCGAATCAATGATTTGGAAGCTCCGAACTCAGTTTTGCTATCTCATCCAAGTTTCTGAGTATTTCCTTCACCCAAAAACTAATCTAAGACCCTATCCTACACTAACCTAAAAAGAGTAAGTTGCTTAATTTCGTCATTTAGTGCGCTCGCTGAGAAGTAAAATAACTAATTACTTTCAGGCAAGGGAAAACGCCTGATCATTTGCCACATAGGTAGCGTAGATAGATTTGTTCCTGAAGCATTGTGGGCATTTGAATCCAAAAAAACTGGAGACTATCACGAAGAAATGGATGGTAACTCATTTGAAAATTGGTTCAAAAAAATTTTGCCGACACTTGATGATAACGCAATTATTGTGATGGATAATGCCCCGTACCACTCCAGAAAATTGGAAAAAATTCCAACAATGGCCACCAAAAAGGCAGACATTCAACAGTGACTTGTCTCAAAGAAGATCGACTTCGACCAAACAATGGTCAAAGCTGAGCTGATAAATATAGTCAAGCGACATAAGTATAAATATGATTTAAAAATTGTTGACGAAATGGCCAAAAACCAAAATAAAACGATTCTCAGGCTGCCTCCCTATCACTGCGAACTGAATCCTATCGAGTTGATTTGGGCCGACATCAAGCAATACGTGGCGTCAAATAACAGCACTTTTAAGTTTTCTGACCTTAAAAAACTGTTTGATGTTGCTGTCGATAGAATTACGCCAGCAAAATGGAGAACATGTATTGACCATGTCCAAGAGAAGGTTGAAACCAAAATGTGGGATATGGACAATATCATTGACACCCAAGTTGAACCCCTTATAATTGACATCAACAATTCTGATGATTCAAGCTCCTCGGAATACAGCATATAAATCGATTGATACCATTAAGACTGGCAGTTTAACGGGCTTTTTGGCAAGACAGGTAAGTTCATTATAGACTGCAATCAAAGTGTAAGTTTCTAGTTATTAATGTGGAAATTCCAAATTTATAATTACACAAAATTAGGGTTAATTTAGGAGATCCAAAGCAGAATAGTGCCATTTTGACCTTCTTCCTATTTCTCATGTAAATTTTAATAGCAATCAAACTAACAAACTTTATGGAGTCTGTAATAAACTTTTGTACTACTACTACTACGTCTGTAGTTTCTATTTGCTCAAAAAAATTTGCTCTGCATTGTGAATAGAAGGTTGATTTGTAAATATTATTGGGTATATATGTAAGTTAATAATAAAATATGAACAATTTCAATTGAGATGGTCCACAAGTTTTTTTCGTGTGCGTTTTAGTAACATTTTGCTGAAATGGTGAATACAGAATTTTTTTCACTGATTCCTAATGTCGAAATATGATTAGAAAGGCGTGGTATATTCCTGATAATTTACTATGCTTTTGATAGAATTTACAGCAACACATATCTTGTACGACATTTTTTGATAGATCAGTCACAATAGCTTGATACGGCCCTGTAGCGTCTCCTACGGTTAAGTTCTTGATCACGTGCAATACGGGTGTATATGTTTGATTTTACTTTGTTTCTTCGATGGATACAGTTTAGACAACGTGTACACGTAAATATCCATGATTGGCGACTGGAGAGATGTCAAATATCTTTCTTGATGGAGGAAGAGGTCTTACTTAAGCCGAGGTGATACAAAGGTCAAACTAATAAAATTGATAATCAGACGAAAAGACCGCCTTCGTTGATGTTTGATGACTCTCTTATCGCTACCAGGTGACAAGACTAATGAGGCGTTCCCAAAATAATGAGGAGCGCCAATAGCCAATGCATTTGAGCGTAAATATTTGTTCAAAAGAAAGGGAAGAAATAAAAGTAATTTTGAGTTGATTACCAGTAAATGTGATTTATATCAATTTCTCATGATCTTAACAAAAATACATTATTGAACTTCCAGCCATATGTAACGAACAAGAAAAAAGCAAAGGATAGCTCACCCAAGGACTCTACTAAAGATTCGAAACCATCTTCTAGAAGGACAAGACAAATTAGTTCTGAAAAATTTTCAACTAGCAACAAAGGTGTGGGTGAGTGTCCTGGACAAAGAAAAAAGACAGATTTAGTGATACAGATTCAAACAAATGGAAAATCATACATATGAAAACTCATTCAGAATTATACGAGGTGTTAATAAAGTATCTGGTACCATTTCAAGGGGTGGTTCATTAAGTGAATCTAAATCGAAATATCGAAAAATGATTTTTCGTAAGCACCTCGATAAGTTTTCAACCAGTTTCGTTGAGTTGAAATCCAAACCTTTAAAGGAAAACATTTGCTAGATTTAAATCTAGCGATCTACGTAGGTACCGCTTTTCATTAAATTTTAACAAAATCTGCAGCATTTAAAAACGGTTTGACACCTTATATTTTCAAAACGAAGCATGACAGCTAGAAGTATATCACATTTTTCTCTGACAGGTGAGCTGTGAAATCTGAACTAGTAAAACTTCTAGAAATAGCGCTCAATACAAGACTAAATTGGACATCCCACATCGATTATTTACATTCTAGACTGTATGCACAATTATTTGTTCTTAAACAGCTTAGTAGATGGTTCGATAACCATATTTTGCGGGTAGTGTACTTAAGCATGTTCCAAAAAACGGTTCTGAAGATAATTACAAATTATTTTTAATTTGAGTTTTTGAAGTCCTATGTTGATGCTATGAAATAGTTTTTAAGACCTTATATGTACCTAGGTCAGTCGGCCGGCACGTGTTGGATAATGTGGAGGTTATCAGTGGAAAAAAGATGAAATCTCGGGGGAATTTTCAATAGTTGATAGTTTTAAAATCTCAAAATTTCTTCCATACTCAATCAACGCCTAATTTTAAATAAAACCTTTCAAAATGATTTGCCATTTAATATACTAAGTGACATATAAATCCGCACACCCAGTTTAAATGGTTTTATTTTAATTTTGTATAAGTACTTAATGAAGCATAATAAGTAAATGATAAAAATTTCAAAATGATTGCACTGCTTTAAAGCCTTTTGACCTTTAATAATGTGTGGATGCACCCTGATGTGCTACGCATTCTCCAACGCGCCTAGGCATGCTTCTGATCAAGTGGTCAATGTTCTCCTGTGGTATCTCATTCCAGGCAACCACCAACTCCTCTCGAAGTGCTTCTAGAGTCTGAGGAGGACGTTGCAAATTGAGCAATCTCCTACCCATCATATCCCACACGTGCTCAATTGGGGATAAGTCGGGAGATCTTGGTGGCCATGGTAACAATGTGACATCATTATGTTGAAAGAAGTCTATTGTGACTCTTGCAACATGTGGTCGGGCATTATCTTGTTGGAAAGTTGGATCTGCCAGGGTGTCAAGATAGGGTAAAAGATGGGGTTCTAGAACTTCGTGGATATAACGCTGCGCGTTCATGTTACCTCTGATGAAGATTAAAGGTGACCTGGAACCATAAGCTATAGCACCCCAAACCATAACTCCAACACTGTGATGAACATGTCTTTCAACAAAAAACTGTGGATTCCTCCTTTCACCACGTCGCCTTCTAACCCTGGCACGACCATCGTGAATGCCTAAATAAAATCGAGACTCGTCACTAAAGACAATACTGTTCCATTCCTGATCCCAGAGTGACCGTTGTCTGCACCACTCAAGGCGATTACGTCGGTGTTCTCGAGTTAAAGGGAGGACCCGGTGTGGCCGGTATGAAAACCAGCCAAAACTTCTCATTCGTCGGTAAACACTTCGCATGCCAATAGGTCTTCCGTGTTCTGCAAACCATTCATTTGCAATGGACCTGGTAGTGGAGAAACGGTCCCTTAAGGCCAATAATCTTAGGCGGCGATCTTCACGGCCTGTTGTTCTACGGCGGCGTCCAGTGCCCCTTGCTCTTTGCGTACCGGCTTCTCGAAGCCATGCCTGACAACACCTAACCACAGTGTCTACACTTCTTTGCACTCTAACTGCAATTGCCCGAAAAGAAAGTCCAGCTTCCCAAAGTCCCACTATACGGCCCCTATCAAACTCACTAAGTTGACGAAATCGTACAGGTCTCCGTACTCTAGGCATCGTAACCGATCGTAAAGGATGTCAAGAACCAAAATCCTCCAACATTGATTCTTTACTGCGGCTGAAATATTCATTTTTAGAGCGTTAGTGAATTAAAAAAAAGCAGTATAAAAACCGGAATGTCCAACTGATAAGGCTGAAAATTTTTTCACTTGTTATTTACAGTAAGATAAATACATTCACCAACTTTTATTAAAATAAAACCATTTAAACTGGGTGTTCGGATTTATATGTCACTTAGTATAATAAAATAATTCCGTCCGAATCGAACCTCATCGGTCCAGTTTTTTATTCGCCGACTATATGTTCCCTTCACTGTTGTTTAAAAAACAATTTCAGCAACAATCTCGCCGACTTACTCCAGACGATGAAGATTAAATTCTTCGAAAGCTTGAGAATTTAAGTTATAAGAGTGTACTTTTGCAATACTTTGCCTTCTACCTAAAGAAATTAAAGGATATATATAACTATTTCATATATATATATATATATATATATATATATATATATGAAATAGTTTTTAAGACCTCACATGTACCTAGATTATATATATATAAATATATATATATATATATAATGCGGACAATAAATACTATGGTATGATGTTACTTCTTATTACAATCACCTACTTGAACTTTGGCAAGGTACTTCATTAACACCTGTATACAAGAACTAAAGGAGTTTGCCTCAACATAATTTGATTTGTTATATCCAGCAACATTTTGCTTCTTCTAACCTCAAAACGGAAATAACGGAGTTTTAAAGTCTACTTTTTCAATAATTTCCAACGTTATGGTTTCAAGGTTGTTTGTTGTGGATAATTGACGACAGTGCTCCGAAGAAATCCATGGATTTTCCAGAAGTTGTAGCAGAAGTCCTTGCGAAAGACGCGTATATGGAAAAATACAGAGCCGAAAAAGAAAGATTGTCAGAATGTCTATTTAGCCTTCCGTCAGATGATCTGTTTTCAGTCATACAGGAACGCAGTAAACATCATAAGCATAAAGCAGATGCATTTTATATATGCAATTACGTTATGGATGAAACGAACGCCTCTGTAAGTATAGTCAAGTAGAAACACTGTTAACAAGGTGTGTCGTTGAGTACGCTGAGATCGATGCACACGTATATAAGCATACATCTTAATGACTCAACATATTATTTTCATAAAATAATGTGCCGCTCAGACTTAAAATCTTTTTTTCTTTTCCTCTCAGAAAAGCTCGACAGTATTGTCCTGTCGGCCTTTCCTGAAACCTAAAGTCCCTCAGTCGTTCGTTGCACATCCCACCACGGTAATGCTTACAGCATTTCGTTATGGTGGGTAGCGTTGTGCTGAGTTTTCACACCAAAGGTATTTATTTATCTTATTTTCAACTTCGTCCATATACATATTGTAACGAAAATACCGTTTTTGTCATTCAAAGTCGAATTTATTACCCTTACACTAATTTATAGCAACATTTGCAGCTAATTTATGAAAAATGTATAACCATGTCGACTGGACTATAGTTTGTTGCTTCAGCTGTTCATATATGTTCAAATTGACCATTCCAGAGCATTCTAGCGCCTCATTGGAGTTACCTAGATCTCGATTAATGCTTTTCGATGTGGGCCGAACGCCCTCAATGTGTATCGTATGTTCTTGATGTAGCCGCGAACCCTTCCCATGCGTGGTCGCGTAGCCGACGTACAAGGGCGCCACACAAAGTCCTAGTTTACTAGTGCGCTACGAACTACTCCCTCCTTAGGACCGTTTCGTCCAGAAATGGCAGGAAGGTCCATTGGTGCACCTGGACGTTCTGATGAAGATGCATGGTACCTCCATTATGTTCCTGTCTTTCTCGCTCACATTCAAGCTTCGGCATCGCCAGCTTCCAGGCGTTCCATACCACCGCGTAGACGAATCAGCGTCTATCCAGGACACATAGCACCTTCTCAACCTGCGGCTGCTGCTCTTAGAACCTCCGATGTCATCGAAACTCCTGCTGGAACAGATAAACTACGCCTCATGATGTTTTTAAGTTCTCGGCTTTGCAGAATGCCAGCAAGTATTCTCAAATCAGCGGAAACAAGTCATCTTGTGCTTCCCTGGTCACGCCAAAACAAGCCTTCCAACGCTCGTCGATCTAATCTAGATATCGATCGATGCTTCTCGATGTGTGTCGAACGTTCTTGATGTAGCCGGGTCCCATGGATTCCGGCGATATCGGCAGGTAGGTCCCTTGATGATATGTAGAAGAGACATGGCACCGTCTTCTCCTGGGACTCCTCTCCGCAGGAAGGCGTCGCTGCAAACGGTTATCCAATTCAGTCCCCTCACATTCCAGCTTCAGCATCACCAGCTTTCAGGCATTCCAGACCATCAGGTGTTGTCGTAGGTCTCTCAGGACTTCGCACATTGCTTGATTGGTCGGCGGCTAATGATGAGCTACCCTGGTGACCAGCGTGTAGACAAATCGGCGAGTATCCAGAACACACAGCGCCTTCCCAGCCTGCGGCTGTTACTCTTGGGACTTCCGGTGTGATCCAAGCTTCTTCTGCAACAGGGAAGCCACGTCCTTTGAGGTGTTCAGATCCTCGGCTACGCAGTATGTCAGCTGGTATCACAAGGCAGGGAAAACAAGTTTTCTTGTACTTCCCTGGTCACGACAAAACGACCCTTCCAGCGCTTCATCGATGATATCTGAATGTCGATCGATGCTCCTCGATGTGGACTGAACATCTTCGATGTATGTATATGCATGGTCGCGTAGCTGATCTACGAGGGCGTCTCACAGAGTTCTAGTTTATGAGGGCACTACACTACCCCCTCCTCAAGGCCGTTTCGCCCCGAAACGGATCCCCTGGATATCGGATCGATATCGGAAGGTAGGTCCCTTGGTGCAATATTCTGTAGAAGCAGCACTTCTAGTTTATTTGGTACGGTCCTCCAATACAGTCCACCTCGCTCAAATTCCAGCTTCGGCATCGCAAAGCTTTAATGCGTTCCAGCCTTTTGTACTTCCCTGGTCACGCCTTCTGGCGTTTCATCGATGTTATCTAGATGTCGAACAATGCTTCGCGATGTGGGCTGAAGGCCCTGGATGTTTGTCGAACATCCTTGATGGTGCCGCGAACCCTCCCGATGCGTGGTTGCGTAGCCGATCTATGAGAGCGTCTCACAAAGTTCTAGTTTACGAGGGACGATACCATACGTTCTTATGTGCATCCACAACTCAGCAAATAGAAAGCTGTTGCTTCCTTGGTCTATTTTTGTCCTCCTGCACCTTGATCAGCATCATTCGCCTCACTATTGGTTTAATTTTCCCTAACCTCTCTGGTAGTCAACCCATCTACCATATTCGAGTAGTTGATTAGGAATATCAGTCTGACACCATTCTGTAAGGGCAGGCCACGCGCTGCACTGTTTTTCGCTGGATTCTTAGCATTAGCTCGATACTTATTTTTCCTGAAGATCTTGTTAAGTGATACGGACTCCATGCAGCATGATCGAGTTAGCCGCCGCTGGCAAAATCCTTCCTAAAAACTATTTTTGATATTGAAAGCTGTTTGACTTGTAGAGTCGATCACGCAGTTCACAATTGTCAGGTACCTTCGATCGTGAAAAGAAACGACGTAAAAGGAACAAGAGAAAATCTTTTGATAGAAAGAGTTCAGCTGTATCGGCTGCCTCCTCGAGATTATCAGGTGAGTGTTTAGGATATTTTACCTTATTACACAAACATGATCTGGTAAAGACCTAGCTTATAATGCTGTTGACTTCTTTGAAACCCACAAACCTTTGAATCAAACTATTCAAAATGGTTTAGGTCACTCAAGATAGTAAGTTGTCGTATGAAGAATTGACCTTGAAATCTGATTATAACCTCGAAACCAAAGTCATAGTCACATACAGGGTGATTCACAAGTCGTGACCAAAAATGAAACATCATACACAGGACCGCATTTTAAGAGGGGTCTTGTATAATATGTAACATTTTTTTCCCCGAGGGCTTCATTAAAAAGATACAGGGTATTGGAGTTTAAAAATAAAAAAAAATTCTTAGTATCTTCAAAACTATCAACTGGAATGAACTAAAATTTGGTATGTGGATTTGGTAAGTCCCTACTTAAAACTAACGTGTACCAGTGGCGGAGATACAGGGGATTAGTGGCATTTTTTCCAAATAAAAATAGTACGCCACTATTTTTTTGAATCGTACAATTTCTCAAATTTCACCTTTAATTTGCTACAAATAATTACTCTTGTGTTTTTTTCCTAGCAGTAGTTTTAGTAAAAATAAAACATATTAGCTCATTCATGAAGAGCCGAGATACAATTAGTTTCAAAATAAAATAGGAGGCCTTGGTACCAACTTGACGTTTCTTGGGAGACAGTTTATCAGAGTTATGTGTTATACGGTTGTTATCGTTATTACTACCATTTTTTTTTGTAAAAGTCAAGTCGTTTCTTCTTTCCATTTTTGAGTGTTGTGAAACGGAATTTAGCAATGATGAGTAGGCCGATAATATTTTTGTGTACGGATTCTGTAATGGAAATGCTTAGCGACTTCTTGGGAGGATCAACGTAGATTTCCTATCAGACGCCAAGCTACACCAAAGGTTCTTACGCATTCATTTCTAAGACTTCGGCAATATGAAATTGCCAAACTTCCCGGAGTTAGAGGCCATGGTGTCAGGGTTCAAGAGGAACTGGAGGTGATCAATTTGACGTTGGATGATCCTAGTACAAGTACTAGGCGGATTGCAGTCCAGTTACCATGTTCCCAAAGTCTTGCGTGGAGAATTTTAAATCGGGAAGTTTAACATCCTTACCATCGGCAAAATTTTTGCAACCCGGCGACGAAGTGCAACGGCGAAATTTTTGTGAGAGGTTACTGCAAATTCGTAATCAAAATGAAGATTTTATTGATTAGGTTTTGTGGTCAGATGAATCGCTTTTTACGAGGAGTAGTATCTTTACTTCTCATAATGAACATTTTTGGTCGTTAGAAAATCCCCGTTCGGTAAGAATTCACTCGTTTCGACACAGATGTTCTAAGAATGTCTGGTGCGGCATTTTCAATGGCCAACTGTTTATGCACGTATTGCCAAAACGTTTAAATGCAAACTCAAACTTAGCTTTTGAAAAATTGCGCATATAAAAAAAAAACAGTGGCGTACTATTTTTATTTGGTAAAATAATCCCCTGGTTCACAATAATTTTAAGTAAGGACTTTTGAATGTGGACAATACCAAATTTTAGTTCACTCCAGTCGACGGTTTTGAAGATATCTATCTTTTTAATGAAGCAATTGAGGAAAAAATGTGACATACAGGGCCCCCCTTGAAATGCGGTATTGTGTATGATGTTGCATTTTTGGTCACGACTTGTGAATCACCCTGTATAACAGGTCAACTTCCAGAACAGGTTCAGGGTCGATGACAAGGTCATTGGAAAACGTGAAGCCCAACGTTTTAAGGTGAATTTTCATTTTTAGTGGTTGAAGCCTTAGAAACAATGCCTCTTGTGCCAAGACAAATATTATTACCTGGTGAGTGCAAGAGGTACGATGTAAGCTTTTGTCCTCCGTCGTGTGGTATGTACAGGTAAGCTGCTAGATCTAGCTTTTCTTATGATTCACTTTATTATTATTCTTATTCACCATTTATATATATTACAAGAACCGATGAACCAAGCTGATCTGCACTGTTAAATCGACGTAAATGCCCGAAGAGAGTGGTGGGTTAATTATTTGGGCCTTTCGTTATTTATATTTTAAATCTGACATAGCGCTGGCGACCCTGCATTTCTGGCTTATCTGTGATCTGAAGATCTATTCATTATAGTCCACAATACGCAATCGAGAACGTATTGGAATGAGCAAAGTAATGGCTGATCATAGAGACCAAGATCAATAGATCTTGATATTTTTCCTGCAAAGCAGGCGTTGTACACAATGCTTGCCACTGACTTTTTTTCTGGTTGAGGAAGAAAAACGTGCAACCGATATATTAGGAAGAATGCTCCAAACAAGTGTAGTCACCATGTTGCTTGGCAAAGACAGTGGTGAACATCGCGGAATGCTGTTTGATGCACTCTTTGTAACATTCTATCGCACACATTGACATCGACCAGGGAAAATGTCTACGGCCAGTATTGTATAAGGAATTCGCACATATAATGATGGTTCATTTTTAGATATGAGTATCTGTTAAATGTAGTTGGAACAAACATAACGCACAGTGTAACATGCGAGGCAAGCAGCGAATTGCCTCAACTGGATTTTAATCCAGAGAAAGTGTTTCCATCTGTAATGTCAAGTAGTGCAGCAAAAGAACTAAGCGATCGACAAGTTTACACTATAGATGACAACGTATTTGATTTTGGATATGTGTTAGATGGCAGTAGTAAAAAGTAGGTATCTTAGCTAGCTCACTCAGACTTTTGACTTGAAACGGACAAGATAAGTCATTATTTATCATTTATTTACCATATGGAGATTACAGTACGTCATCAGTAAGGGGCTCACTTGGACAAAGACAAAGTATTGATTCTTCCTTTATTATAAAGGGTACTTCCGGATTTTAATTTGGTACAATTCTTATTGAACAGCTGAGGGGGGCGGTTACAGAATATTTATTGTACAGCGTAATTTCCATATTTCTACATTATGACAATATAAACAAACTTGATACCTTCAAGATTGTTGGGACATCCCTTATGTAAAAATTGATGAAGTGTCCAACTAAAATATATGAATATTTAGAGACATCACGTACGGAGTCAAGCTGAACCTGGTAAATGAGTCTCCAATGCCTTGTGACATTTCTGTGGAAGTTCCCGGCGAAACTCTATTCTATTGCGAACCAAACAATCTCAGTATACCCGCAAATAATAAAGGTTATGTGAACTTATTCCTGCAACCAGCATCAAAAAAGAAGGACGTTATCGTGTCACAATTATACATTTTGACCAAGAATAATCCGAAAGTAGAAGTGATAAGCTTAAGGGCTTTACCCACCCCCGCGGATTTCAATGTGAGCCCAAAGATACTGAACTTCGAAAAGGTAAGCCCAAAGATTAAGAGTCCATCCTGACTGGCACGCCATGATGACGTCACCAATGATGTAGTCATAGCTACTTCTGGAATCGGAAGTCGCCAGCTAGCGTATTCAACTTATTACAAAATTATTTAATCAATAGAAGTCAAAGAATTAAAATTGGCAATACATTATCAAACATTAAAAACTTTTTGGTAGGTGTGCCACAGGGTAGCAAATTAGGTCCATTACTATACTAAGTGACATATAAATCCGAACACCCAGTTTAAATGGTTTTATTTTAATAAAATTTTGTATAAGTACTTAATGAAGCATAATAAGTAAATGATAAACATTTCAAAATGATTGCACTGCTTTAAAGCCCTTTGACCTTTAATAATGTGTGGATGTGCTACGCATTCTCCAACGCGCCTAGGCGTGCTCCTGATCAGGTGGTCAATGTCCTCCTGTGGTATCTCATTCCAGGCAACCACCAACTCCTCTCGAAGTGCTTCTAGAGTCTGAGGAGGACCTTGCAAATTGAGCAATCTTCTACCCATCGTATCCCACACGTGCTCAATTTTGGATAAGTCGGGAGATCTTGGTGGCCATGGTAACAATGTGACATCATTATGTTGAAAGAAGTCTATTGTGACTCTTGCAACATGTGGTCGGGCATTATCTTGTTGGAAAGTTGGATCTGCCAGGGTGTCAAGATAGGGTAAAAGATGGGGTTCTAGAACTTCGTGGATATAACGCAGCGCGTTCATGTTACCTCTGATGGAGATTAAAGGTGACCTGGAACCATAAGCTATAGCACCCCAAACCATAACTCCAACTGTGTGATGAACATGTCCTTTAACAAAAAACTGTGGATTCCTCCTTTCACCACGTCGCCTTCTAACCCTGGCACGACCATCGTGCATGCCTAAACAAAGTCGAGACTCGTCACTAAATACAATACTGTTCCATTCCTGATCCCAGAGTGACCGTTGTCTGCACCACTCAAGGCGATTACGTCGGTGTTCTCGAGTTAAAGGGAGGACCCAGTGTGGCCGGTATTAAAACAAGCCAAAACTTCTCATTCGTCGGTAAACACTTCGCATGCCAATAGGTCTTCCGTGTTCTGCAAACCATTCATTTGCAATGGACCTGGTAGTGGAGAAACGGTCCCTTAAGGCCAATAATCTTAGGCGGCGATCTTCACGGCCTGTTGTTCTACGGCGGCGTCCAGTGCCCCTTGCTCTTTGCGTACCGGCTTCTCGAAGCCATGCCTGACAACACCTAACCACAGTGTCTACACTTCTTTGCACTCTAACTGCAATTGCCCGAAAAGAAAGTCCAGCTTCCCAAAGTCCCACTATACGGCCCCTATCAAACTTACTAAGTTGACGAAATCGTACAGGTCTCCGTACTCTAGGCATCGTAACCGATCATAAAGGATGTCAACAACCAAAATCCGCCAACGTTGATTCTTTACTGCGGCTGAAATATTCATTTTTAGAGCGTTAGTGAATTAAAAAAAAGCAGTATAAAAACCGGAATGTCCAACTGATAAGGCTGAAAATTTTTTCACTTGTTATTTACAGTAAGATAAATACATTCACCAACTTTTATTAAAATAAAACCATTTAAACTGGGTGTTCGGATTTATATGTCACTTAGTATATTTATTTTATATATTAACGATATTCCTGATATTTTACAACACTGCAAAATTTAGTTATTTGCTGATGATACATTAATATGTATATATATATATATATCTCTCAATTAAAGACACTGAAATTGCAATAGAGCTGTTAAATAATGATATGAAAAACGTAAAAAATTGGTTAAATTTAAATAAACTCAAACTAAACACAAACAAAACAAGATATATTATGCTAATAGAAAAATCTTTAGATCAAAATACGATAAATCTTACAATTAATCATGAAAAAACCATTTAAATATTTGAGGATATACGTAGACAGTAAATTAAAATTTGAAGGGCAATATGAATATATTATTTCAAAAATATCCAAGAAAATAAAATACTTTTATAGAATTTCGCATAGCCTAAGCGTGTATTCTAAAAAAATTGTGTACAACACTATCATTCTTCCTCATTCGTTATATTGTTCGACTATTTTGTTCACTGCAAATGAAACTGTAGTTTCAAAATTACAAATATTACAAAATAAAGCTATGAGAATCATCTTAAATAAAAATAAATATACTAGAATAAATGTTATGCTGAAAGAACTACAATGGTTAAATATCAAAAATGTCATAGCCAACTCGGTTTTATAATTTTCATATTCAAATTAAAAAATCTTTTTACTTAGAAAATTTTATTGTATTGAACAATTATTCTACTAGAGGAAGTATAGACTTTCATTTACAAAACTGCAGTAGCAATATAATGAGCAAGTCAATATTTCAAAAGGGATTGTACGAATTTAATAAATTAAGTAATGATATCAAGATGTGTTGCAGTTTGAAAATGTTCAAGGGGGTTTTGTATAAAAATATGTAGTCTTGAAGACATAATATATTTTGTGATATATTGTGTAATATGGATATTATGGACATTGTAGCATTAATGCTAAATAAATCTAAAACAATCAAACAAACAACCAAGGTAGCCAGCCGCATCGTTTGCTTGTCAGGTGTCGGTGACAGTGTGATAACTTCATTTCCACCGTTCCATTAGAAATTAGAAGATCTTATGGCGAAAAAGAAGAAGCATATTTAGGTGCATCTCTTCATCTCTGATAGAGAGGATTTTTTCTAAAACAGAAAAAGCAACAGATAAATATCAAATGTTCGATGACACCGATAATATACTTTACAACTATCTCACTTACATGACTCACTGAGAAGCAATTTAAAATACGTTGACTAGCTAGATGTGGCCAGACCCCATATGGGTGGACGATGGTGTGGCTATGCGTTAAAAATGGCGACACCACAAAAACGGTTGCCAGGTCAGGAAGCTTCCATATACAGGGGGCCGATATGTAACTGACTGGTTTGTATGTTGAATCTTTCAGAAATGACATAAAATACGTCCATTTTATTCATCTTGATCTTTTATTGAAACTTAGAAATTACGTGTGAAAAATAATATCAGACAAATGTCCGCCGCGCAAACCTGAGCCCTCTTGATTACATTTTCCATCACTTTTTAGTACTTTTCGGGAGAAATATTTTCAATCGCTTCCGTAATATTGTTCTTCAGCTGCTCTACAGTATTTAGTTTATTGGCATAAGCCATATTTTCAAAAACTCATCATAAAAAAAGTCAGGAGCCGTTATATCCTGTGACTTTGGTTGCCAAATCGAGAAATTTAACGTCCCGGAAATATTGTTCGCAAAAGATTCATTATATCCCTAGCTGTTTGAGAAGTTGCTCCGTCCTGCTGGAACCAGATGTTTTGCAGGTTAAATTGCTGGACTTGAGGAGCCAGACAGTGTTGCAGCATATCATGGTAGCGCTCGCCAGTGACAGTAAGCAGCGTCTTCAAAGAAGTAATGTCCAATGACAACACCGTACCAAGCACCGCACCAAACTGTGACTCGACGAGGATGTAGTGGTCGTTGATGGATGACACGAGGGTTCTCGAATGCCCAGATACGACAATTTTGTTTATTAACAAATCCGTTCAAATCGAAGTAGGCTTGATCGCTCACTATCAGTTGTCGGTAAAAATCGTTATTTTGGGTATTAAGCTACAATATTGCATGACTGTATTGTCGGCGACTTTCATGGTCACTAACTAGGCTGTAGTTCTTGCGTTAACTGAAGTCTTTTTTAAAATAGTACATAATGACGTGGAACGAATACCCAGTTCTTGAGAACGATGTCTAGTATACATCTCAGGGTGCTCCACTATACTTTCACGACCTCTCTCAATATTTTCCTGAGTACGAACAGTTCTAACACGGCCCGACCTTGTCAAGTCTTTAACTTCACCTGTCTGTTCAAATTTTAGCACCGACTGACGAATGGTGTTGACACTGGGCACATTACGGACGCGTTGTGGGATCGTATAGCGCTCAATGATGAATTGAACAAATATGCTTTAAACAATTACTAAAATGCGTGTATCAAAAATGGGACGGAATTTAAATCAGTCAGTTATATATTGGCCACCCTGTACTTTAATAGTATCACGACCCAAATCATAAAACCTGTATTATAAAGATTGATTTTAGGAGGCAAGAACGTCAGCTAGTCATGTCATGATTCAGTTATCAGCAAGTTTGTGACTATAATTGCCATCCTTTATTGGTGACTGGAATACTATCAATGCCTTGCACTAATCTTTATACTCGGTCATATTTCTACCGTTGCAAAAAATATTCTATGTAGTATCTCGCCATGCGGGTTAGAAAATGGCGGCTACCTGAGCAGTGCAAACATTTTGGTCGGAACTGTGACTCCGACTTTTTCTTAATCAGCATGCGGGTTTCCTCCACAGGTTCCAGTGGGTAGTACCTGTAGAAAGAAAATAACCCTTACGAATTCCACACCGATAGACTTTCACTACAAGCTTTGTACCACGAAACAAATCACAGAAAAGTTTCACGTGAAGAAAAAGGAAGGATCGATACAACCGTATTCCGTTGGTCATATTACAATATCGCTTACGCCACAAGAAGAAGAAGTCTATAATAAAAGACAACTCGATCTTGAGGTAAGAAGCGATGTTGACTTTCTGAATCTAGCTTGTCTAACAAGCTGATCATATCTGTTAGAAGAAATTCTCGGACATATCAATCTATCAGTGTCAAAGTACAGTAGAGTAACAATAAAAATTACTATTTTAGCTATACGATAAATTGCTATCGGATACGGAACCATTTGAAAGAGTCTCTATAACAATATTCGGGGAATCTCAACTGTATATCATCGAATGTGAAAAGGAAGTAAACTTAGGTGAGATGACAGGCCGAAAAGAACACAATGTAGAATACTCCATGACTAACAAAGGAAACGTCAACGTCACTGTAGCGTAAGTTGCTTTTATATGCCCGATTACACCGCCTTTCTCAAATCTAACACTTGGCAAGTTGTTCTGAATTTGAAGGTGAAACTTGAATTGAGTTTAATAATTTTTTGGGGAAACACAACAAATCAGTTGGTTGTCTGTTTGCTTTTGATACAAATTTATATTAATAAAAAGCGATAAAATGACATGTATTTCGATTTGGATTAAATGTCATTTCTTTCCTGTACCGTTATTATACAGGGTGTTCATTTGAAAACCCCGGATTTATCGAAAACCACTGATCAAAAGAAAAAACACCGAGCCACATCAAAAGTTTTGTCAAGGGAGACAACTTTTTAACCAAAAACTACTTCACCCCTCTCACCCTCGGTCCCCAGGATCATTCCCTTAAACATTTTAAATGACAAGGGGTATCGCGTAATATCTTGTTTGAAAGGTCTTTCGAAGTCCTTTTTGACGTTTGATTTAGAATCAGTCGATTCGTTTTTGAGAAAATTAGAAAAATCTTTATTTATCGTAATTTGTTCAGATAGAAAACAAAAACACACGAAAATATCACCTTTCATTTCAAGTGCTCAAAATGTTGCGCGTTAGGGTTTGCCAAATCTACAATTCTTCATAATTTAAAAAGGAAACTACCAACATAAACAGCAATTCGGAAGACTAGACGTGGCAACAACCCAATAACAACCCGAATTTTCCGCATTCTTTTCATCAACACAGATATCCTGGGCGAACTGTATTTATTGTTATACCTGTTTAGTTATTTGTTGCTAAGGAAAAGAAATAATTTAATTGGCTGTCAGTTACCTTTGTGATAATCTTGGTATAGTGAAGATTAATTTATTGATTCAGGTTTTACATCCAAAATGGTTTACACTCTAGCTAAAAGAGTGGAAATGCTTATAGTTTATGGAGCCCAAAATCAATTTGCTTGGCAAACTGCCGTCACGTTGAACGTCAGACATCCGGGAAAGATAACTTCGCATTGGTATGTTTTACATAAGCTGGGTCTGTTGCAAATAAAAAACGTGATCAACGGAGAGTTTTGGATGAAGCCGCTCAAGTTGAAGTTTTGGGTCATTTTGGAATATATCCTAATACTTCATTATGTAAGATTGTTGCTGCAACTGGTATTTCATTAACCTCTGTACAAAGAGTTACTAAACTCCATAAATTTCATCCATTCAAATTGAAAATATTGCAAGAGTTAACCGAAGATGATTTCGATAGGCGAGTTGAGTTTTGTGAACAAATGACTGCAGCGATTAATGATAATACCATTCATGTAAAGAATATCTGCTTCAGTGATGAATGCACATTTTATCTAAATGGATTTGTTAATAAGCGTAACTGCAGGAATTGGAGCAATGAAAATCCTCATGCTTTTGTAGAAACAAAGTGACTGGGCCATTGGAAATTTGAATGGAGACATTTATTTGGATGTGTTGGAAAATACCATCAATCCGCTTATCACTGAAACCATTGAAAACCAAATCGAAGATGATGTATACCCTATACTTGATGAGGCAAAAATATATTTCCAGCAAGACGGCGCTCCTCCTGACTATGTGGACACTAAGAGGGCCTATAGAATAGCCTGCTAGATCTCCTGATTTGAGGCCACTAAACTTTTTTCTATGGAATCATTTGAAATCTATTTTGCTTACTCCGCAACCTGAAAGTTTGAATGAACTTCGTCAACGCATCATCGAGCTGCCATGATATCCCACAACATGCTTTTGAAAATGTCCGTCAGGAATTTGAATTTCGCCTATATCATTGTTTGGCCAATAACATTTTGAACACTTATTGAA